AGCAGAAGGTACAAAGGGTCGGGGTGAACCAGTAAGCTAGTCACACTGGGTAGCACCTGAGGTGGTGGCTAGGGGCACTTACGGACACTGAAGGGATGTAGATTGTTGTGCTTCTGTACAGGAGGGACCGTTTATTTGAGCAGCGGCCATAGCAGGAAGATCAAGCACCGGTAAAGTAGCTGCATTTACTTGAATACATGAGGGAGCATCGACACCATAGTTCGACTCGCCTTTATTATGACGAAGGTCTGTCGTGAACTGAGATATATAATCCAAATGTCTGGACTCTCGTGGTGCTGTAAAAATTGGTACCGAGTATGGCTGTGGGAACATCAGCAACCATGAACGTCCACAGATAATGTCGTCGGTTGCCCAGGTTGACCGTAAACTGTCGTGTGCCATAGGTAGTAATGACGGAGCCACTCACGGCGCGTAGTCGAAACATCATGAGTTGAGACTGACTGTTACCAAGTGGTACGACAGAGGCTTGGACAGTTGTGGTAACTAGGTACCTAGTGTTAGAGCGGATGTCGTGCACGTAAAATAGGCGGCAAACCTGCGGTAAGGGGGCGATGATTACGGCCGTATTTACTCGCCGGCACTGGAGTTTCCCGTCCTGTATGAGCAGGGGGTTCGACAATCGCGGGCACCAGACCTAGATGAGCGGTGGAACAATCACCAACCGGTACTAACTTCGGAAGCCGGCTATTGGCGTGGCTTGGAAGATGCCCGTCGGAGGAGAGTACTTGTAACCTTTCTTGATCGTGATCGGTCTCGCGGAAAGATGGATTCTGGAATGAAAGTACGATTTCGAAATTTGAGACAATAGTTGATACAGCAACCCCGGTCTCGTTGAACCTGAAGGTGATTAGCATCGAGGTAAACATTAGTTTGTGACGTGGAGGCAACTATGTGGTTTTGTCGCGAGCTAATCCGCGCAACTATTTGTCTGCTATGAGGGCATCCTGGTTTATTGGCGTGTCCTCCAGCAGTGACGTGATCTTGGCTTCACATATGCTGGCAATGCTTGGAGCCACAATTCACTGACTATGTCATAGTCGGCTGTTGTGGGTCCTGCCAATGCTAGCAGGCGCAGAGGATGTGGCTTGGTTTAGCATCACACATGGGTGACGAGCTAACAATTTTCTCAAGCGCTCCTCCCTCGGTGGCAGGAAATATCTGAGAATCGCCTGTTAACGACGATATTAAATATCAGGCACAGCAGGATTGACAATTACCTCACGAACAGCGGCCACGTGGTCCTCAGGAGGAGACTCCTGGGCAAAGGCAAACATTTGCCGCTGATGCGGCGGATCACAAATTGAGATTCCATTGCCGCGAACCAGACCTCTGGTTCGCGGGGAATAAAAGCGACAAGTCGAAATTAAGGTCCTGTATCTCGGAGTCTCCTAAGTTATCGTCATTTTTAGGTCTTTTCACCATATTAAAATGCTGTTGCCGATAAATGTATATATGAGAAAGTATCAATATATATTATGCAGCAGTTAAAATTGTAAGAAAAGTGGATAGAAAAATGACAGACTCACCATATTTGATGCTTGTTCATTGTCCTCACCCACCAATTATAGCGAGATGGTATTTATTCTTCTTCACGAGATTACCAGGTTCCAGAAATCAGAACGCAAATAAATTCTGGAAGAAGAAGTATGTTAATCCGTGATATCATGATATCGAAATAATATCAAGACCGGAATAAAGAAGAGGCTAACCACCACCGAGGAGTGAAGCGGAATGGGAATGACACGCTTGGCGCTCGAGAGATATTCTTTAGTAAAGATAAACAAAAGGAGTACAATATAACAATTATTGTTAGAATTAAGTACAATGATAAATGTTTCCATTTCAGCATTTGTGTTATCGTCATAAGGGTATACCACTACAACCTCTTATCCTCCGATAACTCAGGGGGAATAATTCCAACTGCTCGAGTTTATCTTCATAAGTTTCACTTCCCACACCTATCACCCATTATTTTAACTAGCCACTTTATTCTACTTGATTTCTTACCACTTCTTTCTCGTTGTTGAGTCACAGTTCTAGATACTTAGTCATGTTAAATGGGTGGTAATCTAGCGATTCGGTTGTACTAATTCCAATCATTAAGTAGATATACATGGATTTATTTTTCCTGAGACTTGATAGTAAAGTTTCTGGATACCAGCAGCCATCACACTACGGGTCCAGAAATCAGTTGATTGCTACACAGTAGAAAATTTTAGTGCTGGTGAGAAGACAAGTGTTTCAAGAAATGAATAACTTAACAAGCGCATTAATTAGTAATTTGAGTGTAAGAAAACAAGCGCAAGTGAAAATGATAAAAATGATAAAACGAATAATTTATCATTACGTAATCTTGATGACGACGGTTAAGATGATTAAAAAGCATTAGGCATTCCAGGTCTAAGTGAGAGATGGTAATCCGTATGTCAATAAGTGTTGTTAAATTCTCATCTTGAAGCAGCTATCTACACAGTGAGCTGTGGTTATTTCGTCTGTGAAAGCATCCCAAATATGTGCAGCTCTCAATAGGTGAACGTTGCTGTGCACCTGGATTTCTTTTCTCCCGTATGCAGTTTTTCGAGGATTACCTCGAAGGACGTGGTGGTGATGTACGGGTAAAATGTTTGAGTTCCGGTGACTTGGTATACTCAATGTATTTACGGTTAATGGTAAGCACATTTATAGTACATTTAAACATTTTATTTCCAGCCTAAATCTGATATCGAAAAAGCATAAATTCCATAATGCTTGCTTCAAATGCAAGTTGTTGATTGTGTATTGTCGAAGTCCTATCATATTATTATTATTATTAGTGGTTTGCTAGTTGATTTCAAATTCATATCTGGAGTCGCCATAAAAATAGACACAATTAACTATCGGAAGTGGCATAGGAACTCATCAGCACCACCAGAGAAAGAGTTTTTGATAATGTTTTAATTCATGGATGTTTTGAGAGCAGGGGAAGAATACGGAACCGTAAAACCAACTGGGACGTTTTCGTGTAACGTTCATTAGCAAAGCCTACGTGAAAGATGCCCTACTGACAAGTCGCTTACTAAAATCTGAAGATGTAAGGATCTGTCTTGTTATACCATAATCGGAGCACAGTATCATCCACAGCAACCAAAAGGAGTTTCGCAAAATATCTTGTGGAAGAAGGCACAGCGTCCCAGAAAATATGTACTATGATAATTTAGTCAGTGATATTGACAAGTGTAACGCTCATTTGTTAAAAAATTTATGAACCAGGGGTATCTTCTTGAAGCTAACGGTACTTGTTGTATCTTTGTTTCACAAATGAAAAATTCCTGACCGACAACAATTTTAAGCCAAGCTCTCAAGGGCAGAAACGGTCGTACGATCACAGGCTTCAATTTTATAAGCAAAACTGAGCTAAAGCATCCTAATAACAGCTGGCGATGGAATTCAATATGCTGAATGTGTCCGCTCTAAAGGACAATCCACAGCATATGGACTGGAGAACCCGCATTCAAACTGATGTGGACGCCCACTGAGACTTCTTGCTGAATAAAATATTGTATGTAGAGAACCAGTATGTACCACGAACGGTCGCAAGGTGTTACAAGCAGTCAGCAGTCATAGGAGGAATACGAACTAACTAGTGACGACAGTATATATGAGCAGTTCAGAATAACGAGGAAATAATGTATAAAGGAGTTAAGAGAATGCAAACTTCAGTCTCAGATCCAACAAGTTGACAAGTCTATCCGCTGTCCTAAGAGCATGTTCCGTTATTCAGCCTATCTTCAGAGACCCGAAGTCGAAGTTTTCCATGTTTATGTCCTAATCCTCCAACCAACAACGACGTTGGTGATGCAGAGCTTCTGGTGAAGCAGTATCATTAGAAATTTCAACCGTTGCACACGACGAATCTCAAAGGTAAATCTAAGCACTGCATCATCTAAACAATATCAATTCTCCTGGACCGTACACGGTTCACTCTGCTATACCGCAAGAAACATCTTCAGTCTTAGCAACATTATTTAGTGTGATGTTCGCACATTTGTTTGTTGAAAGACTGGTCCAAGACAATTGAAAGCTGGTACACATGACTCCAAGTTACGAAGGTGGCTGATGTAATGAATCTGCAAGCTATCGGCCGTCGAAATCCCTTCAATACAATTACTAAATATGGAATCCCTGATAGATGACGGTCTATGCTGTTATTTACTAACCATGAACTTTTCTTCTCCCGAGAAACTCCGTTTTAGCACGATGTACTTCTAGACACTCAACCTCCAGACTACTTACTAGCGATGGACAACCACCATTTATTGTGAATGAAGGTTTGATGTGATATATTTTACATTTCCAATCATATGCATCTCCTAAGTAGGCTAAAACTGTTAGGTTTCAGACCATCCGCAATACACTGGTTAATGTCTCACCCAAGAAGTCGAATTTTTAAGATCAGGGTTAGCTTTGATTTTTCTAAGGCCACAGAAGGTGCTGGTTACATTCTTAAAAGTCCAATATTGTGACCAAATCTCTTCTTAATATATCTAAATGGCCTTCCTCGACACGTATAGTCTGAGCTATTAATTTCCGCTTACGATGTTAGACTCTAGAGAGAAATTTTCAGCCAGGCCGATGAGCTGTATCAGCGTCAAAGTTAGGTGAATGATGACGGACCAAATTTCAATGCTTTAAAAAGCAATATTTTTCACTTGTTCCATGCTGCTAACAATGTATACACCTCAGATAACGCTCCTTTCGAGGTGTCTAGAGTTACAAAACTCAAGTTATAGCTATAAATATCATGCAACATTCAGCGAAGTGATGGCGAAATAGCATCATTGCTTGTATAAAAAGAAGAAAGTGAGTAAAACTGGAGACAGCAAATCGTTTAAAGATTAGTAAGACAGATATAAATATGATCGACCGATTGGAGATGGGTAAAACATAGGAATCGCCCAATGTTTACTGCTTCAATATCCTAAGACTAATATCGACGACTGTCTGCCTAACAACGACGGAATGTAATATCTAACATTCAGCTCTAAAACACTGACCACACAGGCAACAAAGATGGAAGCAACGCAAACCAATACTTCAAAGAAACTACCGGTTGTTTCAAACGGCCCAGTATCGGTTAACACTTCGGATCGGTAGGTATGCGTATGAAAAGGAAACAGTAATAACGCGGCTCTAAAATCACTACAAATCAGGGACAGTTAGGTTAGAAAAATTTCATTAATTTCATTTACTAATCCAGAGTCGGAAAGAAGCTTACTGGAAAGTATGGCTGCCCTTGGTAAATAATAGAGAGATAAATACTGGTCAGTGCTGAAAATGGGCAGTACCCCGGCTAAATAATGCTGTCTGTTCAAGAGTCAGAACGTCGCTAAATATAAAGTCCTCCATTCAGGACAGCTTTAGACTCGGCACAACTTGCCGAAGAAACCCCCTTAACATCACAGAAACTGTTCTCCCCTATCCAAGTCAGGCACAAAAAATCATGGTCATTGCAAGCAGCCAATAGCACTTCAATATATACTCAAGAACGAACCAGGATAGCGGTTCAAGGAGTGCTCGAGCTGGTTGATCGTTGCTTGAAAGAAGCTCATGCACATTATGTGCAACAATGGTGATGGACATCACGTAGTATAGGCCTTCATGCAACCATGACGACCAGCTCTTCCTGGCTGCCTCATCAGTTACGTCTCGTTACCATTAAGACTGTACATCTAATGGCTGTAAATTATAGAAACTGGGAAGACGTGGCTGAGGAGCTTCAGGCCTAGTGCAGCATGGAGAAACATCTCTATGATCCTATTAGACAATGTGAGAGCGGACGCGGATCAGTGGTTCAATAGCTGGGAGGACAAACAAAGCAGACATCGATATCGGTGGACCTCGAGGGACAACCCGTGGTACAAGAGAAGAAAACTACGGTCTCGCTGACTTGATTCACAGCACTAGCAAGGAAGCTGCAACGGTCAGTTCCCGCCGAACTGACGAACCCAGTCTGATCAACTTATTTAGTAATCCGACAACAGAGATGCACCAGGTAGAGAGATGAACCATCGAGTGCCTCTATAGTCTAATGATAGAGGATCACCTGCGAGCAGATAGAGACGACATTCAGAATGTTTTCCTGCACAGTGTACTTCAGGCAAATCACATGCACCTAGAAACAGAAGAAGCAAAGCGTAAGACGCTTTCTGGCTGCGAGAAGAAGGGCGTTGCACAAGTGTAAATTCTATCTGAAGGATTTTGATCACAGTTCTTAATTGGTCTTTAGAAACAGATTAGATGCCAAGGCTCGAAGCGAAAAGAGACATTTCCAAATGAAGCTACCAGTCAAAATGTCTCTTTAGGTTTATTACTAGAAGAAAACCTACAAACTAGGACGTCTGTCATCTCAAAGTCCCAAATGATGAAGATCTGACCAACCTGAAAATGTCAGATATCGTTAACACCAACTTCACCTACCAGTTAAATTAAGTATCTACAAGTTCAAAGTGCTGATTAAACTTAGTACCAACTGATGGCCTATGGAATATCCGACTTACGCCTGACAAAGAACTTAAAAATTCAAACCCCTGTGCCCAGAAAAGTCACCAGGATATGACAATATTCGCACTCACTTAAATCACGGGACATAACATATTAATAAATGACTGTTAACTGACTGGAATCAGTGCAGTCAACTAGACTACTACCCATTGACGTACAAAATAACTGTGCCCCCACAGAAACAAACATGAATTTAGGTTAAAGAGATCAGCTAGTCTGTACTAGCTAATGTAAAGTTACAAGATATTGGAATAAGTATCCTTATAAATCTTCCCTTTCCTTTATCGATCACAGTCATTTCGTTCATCGAGTATAAGCACTAAATATGTAATAAAATGCCGTCCAAAAACGAAAACATTCCTCTGTATAATAAATACGCATATCATTGATTACCGAAATAGACTTGCTGCGTTTACATGCACAAAAATACGTCCTTGTCATTACATCACCAATTATGAAGTTATGCCCCGATTGGTGGATTATGTATTACTTGTGGGATATGACTTCGGAAAGTCAGGTATGTTTTCGAATGTAGTTTATTATTCTAGGTAAGGAAATTAGAACTCAGTGAGACCTTTTGGATTAAATTATTGACACTTCTCTATAAAGTTGCTTTTGTATTAGGCTGACGTATTTTAATTCTACCAATTTGTTGTATAAATATAGCCATTTGTTTGAGCAAAATTTATCATTCAACTTAGGGCTCTGATAAACCGACTCTTAATGAGACACTTCAGCAACAATAATGGCACCTCAAATTAGCTGGTTACCAATTCTAGTTTTATGTCCTGAAAGCAAAAACTAGAATACTGAATTTGTGGATTTCCACCCCAACTAGCCAGACTTAGGAGTCAGACACTGTTTTTTTCCTCAGTTAAGTAAGTCACCCCCGCTGAGAGAGCCGCGAGTAGTTCCCCGACAGTATCTATACTCGCGTAGCCATGTGAAAGCATTTTGGGGAGATTCGACTCTCTACTTTTGACCGTGTCGAGGCATTTGGGGTCGCCTTTTCTATCATATATCATCGTCCACTAGACAAAGCCAGTGAAACAGATCAACCATCAATTCCTGACCTTCGATTATAAGGAACGTTGTAAATTGCTGTTCACATTCAACTCAATACATGTTTTCCTCACGTGTGTTTAATCATACGTTTATATTCTTACAACCCATACTAACCGTAAACCAATAGTAGGCATCTTGTTGTTCATTGAATTAGAGAAATCAGAATATTACCTCACACATCGGTTTCTGCATTCACTAATTAAAGTTGTACCTAAATTACCATGCTAGCTTCTTTGGTCAACCTGAACAAGTTCACTAACTTCCTCATTCCCTTTATTTCTGTCCTCCTTAATGAGCTTTGGTAGAGGTAAGTCAGTTAGTCAGTTACAATGCAGAATTTCGTACATCAGTACATATTTTCAGGTTGCCATACCACATCAGCACAAAGACGAAACTGTCGGTTAAAATCCCGTAGTAGTAGCGATAACGGAAGTATGGGCAACAATGAAAAAGATTACGGTTCGAAGATATAAATCGAGAATTATAATTCAGTGAGATAACTTTAGAAAGAGAAGGGTAGGGATGATGAGGAATTCAGAAGCTTAGGATTTGAGAGAACACAAGAAATGAATGCACTTGCGCGATTGCAAACGATTTTGAGCCATCTCGTTCAAAGTCTCTAACCATTGGTGACTTTAGTCTCGCGGACCCCAACCAGGTAGTCAACATCTACCAACAAGACTCAGTCCACTTGTCAGTGACTTCATGGATTCCTGTCATGTTCTGGTTTGGCCGCTCCTGACTTTCTTCCAATCTACTCCGGCACCACAAAACTTCGCTCGTCGAGGCAGTCGGTTAGGCATACGTAACACATGTCGTAACCACCTCAACAGATAAAGTTTCATTACTTTATCTATTGATCTGCCATCCTTACGTAACACTCCTTTAAATGACTAGCTCTGCTATAGAACCTCACGATCTGCATAGTCAAATGCCACCTAAGGTGGGGAAATACAACAATTGTGGTACATTTGAACGTGTGTCTATGTTCTAGGACCTGACGAAGAGTGAATATTTGGTTTATACATCCTCGTCCAGGTCGAAAACCAGCCTGCTTTTCTCGAGTCTGCTCTTTTCAAGCTCTAGTTAGGCGTCGAAGTATTAACGAGGCTAACATTTTCAACACTATTAGTTAGACTGATTTCTCTGTGATTGTCTCAAGAGGACTTTTGTCTTATAGACTGGGACAATCAGTGATTGAGATCAGTCAGATGGCATTAAGCTCAGTTCCCAAATTCTACCTAAGATCTCAGTGAATCTAACTGCGAAAGTTGGACCACTAAGCATAAAAACCTCTGGGGTAAGCCTGTCAAGCCCTCTAGCCCTCCTCTGCTTCAAACTTCCTATAGCTTTTTCAACTTCATAAAGAGTCGGGGGACTTACATAGATTTGCCGTTCAGGATGACTAGAGATCGTGGGTAACCGAAGTGTGGCTGAAGGCCACTTGAACTGATCCCTAAAGTGTTCTACCCATTGATCCAATCTCCTGGCTTGAGAATGAATGATACGGTCATCCTTTTCTGAGATAGTTTCGCTAACAAATAGATTGCTCGTACCAGTTTCCTTGATAAATCTGAATAGTTGTCTACTGTTACCTGTCGCCACTGTCTTTTCCATGTGTCTTGCTATAGCTACCCACCACTGTATGCGATCATTGCGTAGGCTTTTTATCAGCCTGCGCTGAAGCTGACTCCACTTTTTGTTACGTTCAGAACCAGATGGGATGAGTTTCCGAGAATCTATCAGTTCGATAGATGCTACTGGGATATATTGTTTTTCCCTAACTTTATGCTTCACTTTACCAGTAGATATCACTTATGTTTCCACAGCTTTTTGAATAATTTCCCAAGCTGCTTCGGTGCAGCCATCACTTACATGGCTGCCTAGCTGTTTTCCTAGTTGTTCCTGAAATATATTCTTAGCTCTATTATCATTAAGTAGAACCCCAAAAGGTTTCCTTACGATGTCTTCCCCACGTCCGGTAAAACGCGAACGAATACATGATCGTACTAGAGCATGATTTGAATCCAAATATGTGCTCCAGAACGAGCAACTGTCTTCTATCGAGCATCTCAATCGGTGGCTGATAGCAATGTGATGTATTTACACTGGCAGGGATGGTGCATTTGTTTCTAGATAAATATTAGCCACGAGTATTCCATAAAACTTAGTCGAACTCTGAATTATTTGAAAATCCAAGATTTATTTGTTAGAGATTTACATTTTGGGATTTTTGTGTTGCTGGCAAATTTAATGTAGGGTGAAGGCCATTAAAATCTACCTTTCTATCGGGTATTTGGATTTCTCTGTGTCACTTATGTTTCTAAATTCGTAGCCTCGATTATGCTTAGTCGCCTAACTGGTTCTCGTGAATAGCAGACTTAAGAAAACCAGTCTGGTTCCTGACCTGGACGTGGCTGTATAGACCACATTTTCACACTACGACAGGTCCTGGAACACAGACACATTTAGGCGTCCTACATTAGTCGTTTTCCTGGATCTCCAGGCTTCATTTGACTCGGTGGATCGTAAGGTTCTTTGGCACATTCTGTCATTGAAAGCTGTATCAAAGAAGTTTATTAACATTATACAAGCTCTCTACTCGAACACTACTGGTCGAGTGAGAGCTTATGGCGAACTGTCATCTGAATTCTCTACTTCAAGTGGTGTCCGTCAGGGCTGTCCACTCTCTCCATTCTTATTTAATTTTATCATAGACATGCTCCTAAAAATAACCTTATCCTCGTCTGAATTTTCAGGAGTAGACCTCTTACCAGGAGGCTCGCTTGTTGATTTAGAATATGCTGATGACATAGTTCTATTTGGTGAAGACACTGACAAAATGCTGAGTCATCTGACTACCCAGAGCAACAATGCAAGCATGTTCGGGATGTGGTTTTCCCCCTCGAAATGCAAAATGTTGCTTCAAGATTGGTTCGCATCGGTACCTGAACTAGTGATAAGGAGTGAAGTTGTTGAGCGTGTTGACCGCTTCACTTATCTTGGGAGTCTCATCAGTGCCGATGGCCTGGTGACTGACGAAGTTTCAGCACAGATACAGAAAGCTTGACTGGCTTTTGCCAGCTTGCGTCACTTATGGCGAAGGCGAGATATCCGTCTACTAATCAAAAGACGAGTGTACTGCGCAGCAGTCCTTTCCGTCCTATTATATGGATGCAAAACATGGCCATTCAGAGTAGAAGATATTCGTAGGTTATTGGTTTTTGGTCACACGTGTCTTCGAAGCATTGCTCGTATATCCTGGGACACCCGAGTGAGCAACGCTGTTGTTAGGAAACGGGTTTTAGGTAAGATCAATAGATGAAATATCGAAACTTCATCATTTGGGGTGGTTACGACGTGTGTTACGCATGCCTAACCACCAGTTGCCTTGATGACCTATGTCTTGTGATGTAGGAATAGGTTGGATGAAAGCTAGGGGTGGCCAAAACAACGGCGAATTTCTCTATCTTTCCGAGTCTCTACTGTCCCTTTTGGTCGAACACCGCACAAGCGACTGTCTATTTGGATTCAGTCTAAGATACCTAGTTATGCACTAGGACTCGGTGCTATATTTACACCAGTGAGACCCCTGGAAGCAGCAGTAGGGCTACCATATACACAACGAGTAAATCGAGTTGCTTCTTTATCTTGAGATGGTGACATCAAGTGAAGGACGCTACTCGGTTCCCGTACGCGCGTTTCTGAGACGCAGCCTACATCAGTGGCGCGAGATTCTAGAGTCTTAGCTAAGGATGCCTGTTGCCCTGTTCGACACAATGTCCGGACATTAAATGCTCCAACATGTAATTTAGATCTGGGTTTCAGGAGACCAGGAATAACGTTTTGTGAACTCGCATCGTTTGCATTATCGGTACGGGGTGATAAAGGAATGTGAGAAGAGTTAGTCGTGGAGATAAGACAGATATTAGGCGGTGTAGGAAGGATTTGTTTGTGACCAATTTGGTCTCGCATGTTGTTACAGGTATGAGAGCGGATGTCACTTCACGGCCGCCCACACCGTGGAAGGGTGTTTCTTAAGAGACCTGAAAATAAGGTAGATTAGTGTTGGTCTTAGAGCCCAACGGACATTTACTTGAGGCCGGTCACGCACGGCCTTTTTATGAGAGGTTTTGTGAGTATTAGTTCCACTCTTAAAAGCCCTTAGTGGACACCCTTACCCAAGGAGACGGAAATCCGTGAGGTAGGGGAGGTGTGACATTTTTAGGGTCGACGATTTCTAACCCTTCTTTCCTTGTGAGAAGGCAGCATCGCTGTAGATGCTGGATGTCCGAGGGAAACACCTTACTGCTGTCACACCTCTCTGTAGTCAGCAGTACGACTTCGCCATCGGACCTTGAGTAGCTGCTTTTAGTCTCATCGTTCTCCAATCGACCTGCCTGGCATGGTAGAACCTTCAGGAACATAAGTTCCAGCCAATATAGCTCACGATAGGCAAGCCCGATCACCACGTTAAGGTAGCAGTTACGGTCGGGTTCGTAGAGCCTCTGGTAGAGGCTTCTGAAATTGACTGGCTTTTCCTAATCTTTACGTTTAAGTTGCCGGCATACTTCTTTTTTATGAGCATCCTCTCCTTGGTCTGTCAAGTTCCTAACTGAATAGCACTCAAAGACTCACTTGATATTTTCTCTCTTAGTGGGTCTTAAAATGATCTTTTCTTCGCTTGGTAAGGAACAGATTGACCACGTCCTGGTTACAAGGTGTGTAATACAGTTATAGGTTTACTGTCTAGCACATAGTTGTGTACTTTTTATTGAGTTACATCTGTTTTTGCATTATTTATTAATTTATTCTAAACTCTATATTTCGTATAATTATTCTTTCAGTTGGCAATGAAAGTGAAGGACAGATCTTACAGAGATTTCCTACAAAGTGTTGGGACGACTACCCTTACAATTTCAAAATTGAAACAGTAAATTATTTCTTATCGTTTATGATGATAATTAATTTTCAAATTTAGTTTTGTCAGCCATGTGGTTGGTATCTTAGTCGAAGTAAACCACCACCAACATTCTTTGTCGCCTGTTTGACAGATTTTAATGGAGATCCTTATTTTGCGGCATGTCTCACTTTTCATGAAGCTGTATCTCCTGGCCAATTGATAGATTTGAAAATCCACCATCACACTCTTCACAGTAGAGTTAGACGTACAGGAAATGGATTTAGTAATTATCCTCAAAATGGAACCGTCCTTCGTGGTTCATTTATTGTAAATAAAAGTAAAACTTTCCTCTCTACTTCAAATTCTGTTTCTAATGGTGAAAACTATCCACTTGGTTCTTTAATTCATTTAACAAACGTGGATAGTAATAATATATCACCTGTCAATTCACCAACTGGGTTTCAAGATTACTCTGGTCTCAAGTCAACTTATAATAATACTGGTGATCCAAATTTAGTACGTCCACCGGAATTTTATGCACCGAAATGTCTGGTGTTCCTTGCTCGTCATCAGCATTTTGATGTATTGAAAGTGAGTTATTCTTTTCGATGTATACTTGGTATAATATCCTTTGAAAGTTTCCAAAAACTGTGGTTTCTGAAATTTAAACATTCAACTAAAAGGGTATTACTGTTAGGTGAATCTTTTCAAAGTAATTTAATATATTTACTAGACGATGAAAGTGTCCAGTATTTTATCATCCAGGGAACAGTCCTTGTAAAGAAGATAGTAATTCGATCGTTAACAGGGATAACATTGACGGACAATTTTTGTTAGACGAGACTCAATTGTTTATATGGAGTCTGTTCATATGGAGTCTGGTAGTTACCATTACATATAGTGAAAAACAAAAGCAAGACGAAAAATAGTAAAGTCATTTCTGGGTTTTTGAGCAAGGAGAAAAGAAGACGTCTATTGGAAATGACTTGAGCATGTGTTCATGAACTGAAGTGCATAAACAGTTGTTAGTAGTCCTTAAGTTTTGTTATTACTTGTTGTGGAATATGAATTTTAAAACAACATAATGCAGGCTTTTCATTGCTTTATTGTCGTATCTTACACTATCGCACATTGAACAGAACAGGTTGCATTGTTGTATCCATGTCTACTTAACACTAGCTGCTAATTTAGTGCTATGTTAGATATAGATCAAGGTAAATTGACTATCTGATTTTGAGGATTAAACATTGTGATTTGATAAAATGCAAGAAATGTTCAATTTATTGTATCAGTCAGTCATTTGCAATTTAGAATTTGGTGCTTACGTACATCATTATAGGAAACTGACAAGGATAAGTAAAGACTAAATGGAATATCGAAATGAGAAAATCAAGTAATTTTATGTCTTAAATTTAAAGGAATATTTGTTCTGTTACAAATTATTTTGGGCTGTATCGTTCAATTGCAAATCGATGATTATCGTCATCCCAGTGGTCTAAACCAGGAGGATTGTACGTTAGTGCTTACTTCAAACTAGGAGTCAGTGAATTCTCAAAGTGATTTATTTTATCGATCTGAAAACTTTTTCTTACATACTATATGTATCGCGTTAAGATGTGTTGGTGATACGTATGTAGCACCTTTCCATTTTCTACCAGTTAATAAAGAGATTGTTGTAAAGGTATACTTCTCTTGTTTTTTTACACAAATTCCTTTTCAATTCTTTGTCAAAGTGATTAGTGTTTACTGATTCATTTTTATCATATCGTCTTATTACAAGTAAATAACTGACAATTTCAATTGTCTCAATATGTTATATGTATGTTTATTAACTATATCTTTATTTAGAACAGTCTCAGCTTATTGTACACAGTGTTCGCTGATTCATTACGTCAATATTCAATTGAACAAATGATTGCAACTTTATTGGGTGTCATAGATGTTCCACCAATAGGTCAGTTGACTTGTTTAATATTTTTCTTATTCTTACTTATCTGAAGTAAATGAATACATACATTACAATGTAATCATTTCAACGGTGTTTTCCAAATAGGTCAGTAATAATGCAACAATACAAGTTATGCATACTATAGCATTCAGCTATCTCTACAATAGCCCGTATAATAATGATAATATTAATGTACTCGCTGTTAACTCATTTCGAAAGGTAATTTTCGTAGCTTCACTGATAATCTGTGATTTCATTGGTTGTATATAAGTAAGAGGTTACCTGATGATGTTAACTATGGAAAAAAAAATCGTAATTTTTTCTTCCTTATTTTTTTTATTTGAATTTCTAAACATTCCAAGTTGTTCATCTCTGTTTGCTTCAATTTTATACGTCCACACTGGTAAAGTATGATAAAATTAGTCTAAAATAAAATAAATTACTTATTACTACGTTCTTATGCTTTTTTTACTATGTTGACAACTGAAGACTGTCACAGAATGAAGCTCCATCCTAATCATTCATCTGAGCCACAAATTTTCTTCACAATCCTTAAAGTATTAAACTTTACTTTATTTTACTGAAATACATTTAATCGTTGTCTGGAACCCATTAGTTGTTGTTTTAATGGGTCCATTTCTGATCATCAAAATTGAAAAATGCAATAATTTGACAGACATTTGGTCTTATTTTTTATTTTGAACTTTACCTTTCAAGGGTTTATGTATATGTATTTATTAACTAGATATATTAACACTGAATTAACTGTCTAACAAAATATTCAATAATATGATATATAGGTAGTATATGTTCATTTTATCGAAGATGTCCTACAATTTATATCCTTAATTATATTAATACAGTTGATTTATTTTGTACTACTTAATTTTTTCATACTATTTCATTTTTTTTCTACTTAACCAAACTGTTTATATGCTTTGCCAAATTTACCAAATTACTTTGAATGTGAGCGTAAGGATAACTTCATTACATTTTCTAAGTATATTTCGATTCTTCTATCGTAGTTGACTTGGCTTAAAAGTTAATTTATCTATTTTAATTTCAAAATGTCAAAAGTTCAAGAATTTTCATCATGGACGATAATTTTCCCTACAAATAAATCAATATTAGTTGAATGGTAGTTTCTCTTAAAGAAAAAACCATTTTACTTGTTAATTTTTGGCATGATTTCAATTCCTCTGATTCTAAATGTATGACTTGAGGGATAGGATACACGTATCCACAAACTTGTCGTAGCACAGACTCTTTTCACTGTCCAGTCTACGTCCAGTATCATGCATTCTCTGGTATTTTTCCGTTCATTTAACGAGTAAGTGCTGGATGTAACAGCATAATTTTCTCTGAGGATTTCATTTCATGCTCTAAGTTTCACTTTGCCAGCTTTTTTTAGCCAGGAAGTTGGAGTGTGCTGCAGTGGCTTATCCATAGAAGACATATATATATATATAACGATCACGGTGTTATACGCAGCACTTACTCACTAAATGAACAGTGAGATTCAATACGAAATGGTTTGGATTATTCTCTTGTTGATATGTTGACTGAAATTCGATCAGTCTTGGTTGGCAGGTACATCTAGCTGACGAGGCCTAAACAGGATGAAACGCGCATCCTAGATTCCATTGCTATCCGAACTCTAGATATTATGCTTTTATTGAACGTTGGATAAAGGATGGTTATGCACACATCAGTCGATAGAATAATGTTTCTAGTGAAATTTGAAAACAAAAAACCTTTCTCAGGAAATGGATAAAATATTAAAACTTGACTATAATGATAGCGTAGCGAAGTAAAAAGCGAACCTCAGAATGTGATTCAAACATTTCACTGAAGCTGTTTAGCATCAATTAATTTCAAAATTGTTTACAAATATGAGAGTTTTGCATTGTGTAATATTCATCATGTCGTATAATCTAACAGTCTATTATCTGGCACCAAATTGATAAACGTCTTTTCATACCTGTCTGTTTTTTAGATCAGGTCATATATTCTTAAATAGTGCTTTTTGGCTTCATAAAATTGTACTGCTTATGATTGACAGCCTATCACACCAGTTACATTTGAAAAATTATTTATGACTGAATAAATTGTATGATAACGGTTGTTTTTCATTTAAAATCATAGTCCAAACTGTTGGTTTAAAAAATTTAAAAAATTCACATAGTAAAGAAAATATTTCTAAGAGTGGGTTTATCTTTATCAAGCGCCGTTCACCTCGATGAGCCGTGTTTTCTAGTGTAGAAATGGGCTGAAAGCGAACTATGGCTAGCCAACACAAGGACAAGTTATTAGTTTCATAAAGTCATTGATTGTTGGTCTTAGCAATGTCAGTAGATGTAGGCTATCAGACTTGATCACATTGGTGCAGATGCATTTATTATTCATCTGCAACTACAGCGTCCCTCCCTGTATTATTTTGCATCCCTCTTCAAATTACACTTTGACATTGTTGTTCCTGCTACTTTTATTTTGACTGTTTCGCTCTTCGTCGACTTCTTAATGTTGTTGTACTGATATGTAAGGTTTGGCAAGGCACTTCAATGTATATTTATGCTGTATTTTAGTGTGATTTAGGTCGATTAATTTAACCAATTCTATGTTGTGGCATAAATTAATGAGGTAAGTAGAGTGTGTTTACACTTGTTAGTCAACGGTTGTTGTTAGCTCAGAGCTTCAACTCATTAGCGTAATTTCAATGATTGAAACAAATAAGCTAGATAAATATTTTCTGTTTTCTTATTGTCGCATTGACTGGCGACATTTTTTTAAAGTGCATTTTTCATATTTTATTTTTAACAGGCGGTCCAAGAATCACATTCAGTTTAGGAATTGGTGATCGACAGACAATTCAACCTGCTCATTGTAGTACTATACCTGTTACACGTAATTGTGTAGCCTTATTATTTAAACAATTAGGTAAAGTATTGTTTTAAGTGTACGATAATTTCTCGATTTTTTTATTTACTTAATTTACATAAGAATATGTATGTATACATAGTAGTGGCTGTTAATTTGTCCGTTTCTGCTTGCCTTCTGTTGGCTTTACCCAGTCAGTCCTATATTTGAATTATGCCTATTTGTTATGAAATCAATATACATATAAACAGATCGTTTTTTATTCATTGTACTCAACTCTTAGTTATTTGAATAATAAGAGCAGAAACTATGTCAAATGAAGTTGGATTAAGCAGAAATTTGTTGTTCACTTATAATTGTTAAAATGATTTCTATTGGTAGACACGTGAAATTTTTTTTGTAGTTTTCTTTTTTAAATACAAATATGACACGAAGACATTGTATTCAAAGTGTGTCGTATATATATGCGTATCGTATTATCTTGTAACTTACTGGAGGCTTTCGTTACTAAAAGCTAAAAATTTGAAAAGAAAATTCAGGTTGGTATTATTTGGGAATTTTTCTTTTGTCCCTAGAGATTTTTCGATTCGTTTATCGAGAAACTTGAATTCATTACCAGTCAGGTATTTCGATTTTGAGTACTATTAGAGTTATGAGAGTGTTTGTCACTTTCCGGCTGGCTACACTGAAAGAACAATTCTTCTTGAGGTACCTGGAACGGAAACTCGCTTAGTGGTAGTGACTTGCGAGTTTGACTCCGAAGCTAACGAAACAACTGCTTGGGGCCGGTTACTCGTGAGGGCTTTGTGAGTAGTTTTAGATGTACTCTAGCTCCCTACATTTGAAGCCTTGTGGCCGGTGACGACAATTTGTGAGCGAAGGTGAGATGTGTTGTGTTCTTATGGCGGAACCTTTTAATCCATTCTTTCTATTGCGTTGAGGCAGTATCGCCGTAGATGCTAGTTATCTAGGGAAAATAATTTACTGCTGTCATACAGCAATATCCTATTATCTTCGAAAAGTAAACAGAACTGAAGCGTAATAAGCGTGGACCGACAAATGTGGACCATTTTAAAGTTAGACGAGCTCGTTTGCCTAATTATGGTATTATAATAAGCTAGTGATAACAGCAGCATTGCAGTTTAATGTAAATGAAATCTGTTGCGATGTAGGTTGTTTGTAAGATAGCGGCAATAAGTACAGCAGAACTTGTAAAAATACAAGAGCATGTTTTCTTCCAATGTTTATTGGGATATCGAAAGGAGATGATATTTTAATGAATTATTTTTATTGTCAGTTTATTTTTCTTTGATGATGTAATCGTATTATTACTCTACATGCTTTTTGCTTCAATATATTAATTGTTTTTAGGAATACATAATGTCATATTGTTATTCACTGCAATTTTAAGTGATCAAAAAGTGTTAGTTTGTTCACGTAGTCTAAATCGATTAACAGAGGCATGTCATGCATTGACTTCCATATTATATCCTTTAAAATATGGGTAAGTTAATTTGAAATAATAGTGAACGAAATTGTTTTTGTATTATCTGTTTGGCTTTAAAATTTTCCTATGTAGAAACATAAATGGAATTTTTCTATTTATCAACAGCACCCATGCACACTCGCATATCTTCGGCATTTACAATACAGTGTAATAAGCATTTCATACATAGGAAATTGTCAAGAGAGAAATATATTCTTGTTGGAAACTTATATTTTTTTGTCTGGAAAAGAAAAACACTTTTTTACTGCATCATGTGAATAGAATATTTACGTCTATATGTAATGTGTATTTGTCCATTCGTTGGTTGTATGTTGTACTAAACGGATTGTGTGCATAAATGTTTGTATGCGAGATTTCAGTCATAACTGTAGTCAATTTGTTCTATATAAGAGAAGGAAAAGTTTATTTCTTTTCCCCTGTTCGTTGATAGATGAATAAACTTTATAACAGCAATAGTAAAAGTAAGCAGCCAGTAATTTTTTCCGGTAAAGTTTATTGATGAATAATTTGGGCATTATCTTTTAAATGCTACCAAATTGATTGGTACATGGAAATGCTTCTCATCAGGTTGCAAACATGATTCGGTGCAAAATCAAATGAAATTCTACAATAATCATGAGCGGTGATAAGCAGTCAAGGCAGAAAAAGATTGAAAAGATTGGTCCAGTAGTTACAGATGTTGGATGACAGAACTGAGATTCAGTCGAAATGTCATATATATTCACCCTTTGGCTAGGCCTACATCTTAAATGTCAAATTGATTTTATCCTTGTTATTTCAGGAATTCATTCTTTCTTTGTGGATTATATCCTCTATGTATCACTGATACTATAAATATATCTCCTATATTGGTATTCATTTTAATAATTTCAAATAGATGAGCCGGTTGATATAATAATATGGTTAACTTGGGCTAATGCACATATGCGTCATGTTATGAATTCCTCATAATTTTTTTTTATTTCATTAATTTATATTTTCTGACTCCTATCTTTGATGCCTAGTCTTTTTCCATTACCTCGAATACTGTTACTACCACTACTACTGTCGGATTTGTTCTGACAGTTTCATCTAGTTGTGTTAATAAAGTATGACAACGTGAACCGACGTACACACATACCAGGTTCTTTGTTGTGCTTGACTGACTGGGTGTTTCAGGTTTTATGTTATCTGTCACTAACTATCTAATAGGTTATACTACTCGACATATACATATATCAAAGAGATCTACTAGATGTTCCATCACTATCGCCATTATGCTTCCTTCTCCTATTTGTATCTGTGTAGCATAAGGTCTTCTGAAGTTTTGATGGAAAACGGTAAGGGTGTTGTTCTTGATACATGCTTAGGGGGTCTTTAATGAACTAACTGTTTTATTTTTAAAACGTTACTCATTGCTTGCCAAACTCATGTAGGAAGAGAGTTCGTGAAATAGTTTAGCTGAATGTGCTTTTATTATATAAAAAGAACTAATCTTGGTAAGAAGTGATTTTGTAGTTTAAATAGTCGGAGATTATGATTAGTTAGATATTTCAACAAACAATCAGACATGATTTTAATCACAAAGTATTAAGATCTTTCCTTCCTTATTTTTAATCAATTGAGTTAAGTCGATGGACTTGAAGTTTCATGAAATTCTGGTGTAGATATTTTGGAATTGTATTTGCACTTAATTAATAATTAACAGTTAACTGTTCCAGCCATTTTTCCTGTTTTCCTAATCATCATCCAAATATTAATGTATTTAGGCGTTCTGTGTTCCTTGCCGTTGAAATGATGAACTAATTTTAGTTAGACCACCGTTGATAATCTAGAATTACTGGACGGCCATTTCGTTTTGGTGTGGGACTCCTCAACAATGCGCATCCCCCCCACGACAATTAAACCAGGGACCTGAAGTCTCTCTCGTGAACACTTCACTTTTAGACCATTGAGCTGATATCCGACGGTGTTACTGTCGCGCTTCAATCAGTCCGTGATCTTTTTCAACCTTTCATCGATTGCTTGTAGTGGATAATTGATTCACACTCGACACGGATCGAATTCCCCTAGCTATGGCTTCTACCTGTACGATATACTTGTGTTATATTAGAATCCATGAGATCGGGCCATTATTTATAGAAGCCGTTGTATTGTCTAGTCTAGATATCCTATATTGAACCAATTACCTTCTGTTAGCCAATGACACAATAAGTTTTCTTTGAACGATAACTCAATGAAAGTTCGATGACCATGGAGATCAATACCTAGTGTATATTGATTCAGGATTCAGTTTTTCACACCCGATAAACAGGCACAGTGGGTAGATAAACTTTTATTGCACGATTTAGTTCATAACTTTGAACTCGTGTGTTAATGTAGATTAATTAACTGACCTGACAACAGCATGAATAGGAAACTACGTTGTACACAAAACTACATCATAAGTAAAGAGAAATCAAAAAAATAACAGGTTTAATCAGCCTACAGAACAATTAACTTGTACATGCAACGAAAGCAGGAGAATATAGAAATGAAATAATCCATGTGTCTGATAATTATACAATAAAAATGCAAATAATAATTCTTTTTTAGTTCCAAAAATTACAATTTTCACAATGTTCACCTTCACCCCGTTATAATAATATATTTATCTATCAGACATAATAAACTACATACATGAGATAGTTTTTCAAAATAATTTTCAAAAATTGTTTAATTAATTACTTAATTTCTATTTATTAATTTTATTTTTTATTTGATTTATTAACATTTTGTAGTCATACATACGTTCCAATCCTTCCTAAATCACTGATTGAATTTGTAAATGCACCAACTCCATTTCTGTATGGAATTCATTCTGGTTATCAGCATTTACTACCAGATATGGTAATTTTGAACAGATTTGTTTGTTTTATTTAATGAACATATTTCTTTCTGTGTTGAAAGTATAAACATTTAAATTACAGGACATGAATGCCACCGACCTGCGTTCTCCAAACTACTCTGTCTCGGGTCTTCCTTTCCAGTTATAACTAATTGCTATCATTTTTTTCATGTTCGATTCTAATTCTTGGGGTAATCTGTTGTTTAATCTGCCTTTTTCCTTTGCCCTTGAGGATTCCAAGTTAAGGCTTGTCTTATAACGTAGTTGAGTACTTTCCGCAACGTGTGTCCTATCCACTTCCAGAGCTTCTTCATGATTTCTTCCTCCACTGGAATCTGGTTTGTTCTTTCCCACAGTAGGTTGTTGGTGAGAGTGTCTGGCCAACGAATCCGAAGTATTTTGCATAGAAAATTGTTAATAAACACTTGTATCTTCTGGATGATGGCTTTCGTAGTTCTTTAAGTTTCCGCCTCATACAGTAGAGCTGTCTTGACATTTGTATTGAAAATTCTGATTTTAGAGTTGATTGATAGTTGTTTGGAGTTCTAGATGTCGTTCAGTTGTAAAAATGCTGTCCTTGCTTTGCCTATGCATGCCTTCACATCTGCATCAGATACATCTTGCTTGTCTCTGATGCTACCCAGATATGTAAAGGTTTTTACATCCTGAAAGGAATCTCCATCAAGCGTGATTTTGTTGATGCATACTGTGTTTTCGCATTTCCCCTGTGTATGTTGAGACCTACTACTTCGGTGGTTAATTTACATTGGCCGTCTTCACCTATGTTTGTCGTGTATGGGACAGAAGAGCTAGATCATCCGCTAAGTTCAGATCGTCCAGCTGTATCCGAGCTGTCCACTTTATTCCGTCATTCCTCTGAGATGTTGACGTCTTCACAATCCAGTCGACCACCGGAAAAAAAGAAAGGGTAGTTGAGTGTATGAGCTGCACGATTCTGCAGTTTAATCGATCATCAGTATTCCCTACGACGATGACTATCTTTACAGGTAGACCACGGTGTAATCTTGTCCATGCTATAAGATACTTGCTCGTAGTCAATGAAGTTGATGTACAGTGGTGAATTCCATTTAACTGATTGATCCACAAGGATCTATAGTGTCGCAGTTTGTGGGAACATGATTGATTACTACGGAATCAAATCTATTGACTGACTTACTGACCAACTGTTGATCTCGAAGTTGAGCGTCTACTGAATCTTCCATGTTGTTGTTTGGTCTTGTAGCTTTGCTGCTCTTGGTTTGTCTGATGGCCATGCTGATTTCTTCGATTGCTAGTAGGTCTACATTCATAGGGAGGTCTCTGTGTGCTGCTTGGATGTTGGGTGGGTTCTTTGTGTCTGGTATATTCAAGAGTTCTTCAGCGTGCTCTATCTACGTGTTTCGCTGCGCTTGAGTACAGGTAATTGCTTTGCCTTCCTCGTTTTACATTGGTTGTTATGGTTTACTATATATCCCCCAGCTAGATTCTCTGTATCGTATAGTCTTCTGGTGTTTCTCTCTCTTGCAGCTTTTTGTGCTATAATTGCTAGGACTTCCTACATATTTATAATCATTCTTTATTCCCATATTTAATTTTTATAAAACTTTTTGCATAGAATCCTTGCTATTTAGTTTACTAATATGAAACTGAATATCACTCTAGAACGTAACACTACGGAACAGAAATCGGCATGTCTCCTGAAACTAATGTTTTTTGTCCGGCACGCGTCCAATGGGTTTTATTACCAGGTTGTATGTTTTCATTCCCGCCGCAACGTCAATGGTTCTCCTGATCTGCCACATTGTGTGGAAATTCCATGTACGTACATTAATTGCCGTTCTGGTTGCGAAAAGCAGCATCGGCCTTGTGACTTCCGAAGAAGCGCGGCTTTCAACATGAGGCGTCATAACTCTTCTAAATAAAGATTCTTAAACTTGCGGGTCCGCGTTTAAGTGACCTGAATGTTCGTTTATGGTTAGCGTCTTATTATCAAGTTTGTTTCCATTGTGGTAGAATTGATGACCCTAAGCCCTACCCTTCTTTATCTGGGCTTGGTGCCGCCAGTAACCCTAGAAAGGCTCGAGGTAGAGTAACTAATATTATTAAACTATAATAAAAAGTTAAATAAATACCTTTTTAATTGCTACTGTGTTGTGTAACTAACTAACTGGCTAACTGCATAACTAATCGTTTAGTTGTGAATTAAATACCTTTTCTACTGTCTACTATCTAAATAATATCTTGGTTTATTTCATGTTATGATGCTTTATGTTAGTATTTGTGTATCGATTGAAATATATATATATATATATATATATATATATATATATATATATATATATACTTTGATCCGTATGGTTGATAGATGAATTTGGAAATATCCAATAAATTAATAATTGATTTATTCATAGATTGATTGATTATGAATTGTAAATGTTGTTGGGTAATGTTGTTTTAACATGGAATATAGCGTAGAATATATAATGATATACTTGAATAATAAATATGATCATAGATTAACTAAACTAATTGTTCTAAAATAAAACAATCAGAGTTATTATAATAGTCTTTATAGATTTAAATAATCATATTTGTAATCAAAGGATCCATAGATTATTTCAAAGATTAATTATCACAATATAGCCTTCGTTGAGGTACGATGAATAATTAAAACAATCTTATATTATAGAATGCTTATTATATTTTATAAAAAAAATCTTATATTCACTGAAAATCAAAGAAGTACTATGATTGCACACAATATTTTAGAATTGAAACAGTATATCTATCTACAGATGACAACAATGTTGTATTACACTTGTTATTGGTGATTTCTTTGTTCTCTATTTATGAAATGAATATGTGGTTATGAACTAGAATTATGAAAACGTTCAGTTAGTTAATGAATTAAACGAAGCAATGAACTGAATAATTCTCTCATTTGATGAGATGAACACAGCTCTAATTATGCATCCAAAATCAGTGACATCTTATTGGTATTCAACTTGGAGTTTTAGCCAAGTGGTTAGTGAATTTGAACACTGCTTCACCAACTTCACTTTCATGAATCGGTCAATATCATTGAATCCTCACATTTAATGTGTAATTTCAAGTAAAGCGTAGGAATGTGTGCCTAGTAAATGAAATGAATAATTTATTCAACATTGGTTTATGTTTATCAACTCTCTTAAATGCCGGTATTTTTAAACTACGCTGATAATGAAGTTTATAACTTTATATGCAAATTAATTGGTCGTTTAGTGAATTTGTGTAAATTTGATATAACCATAAACATTCTAGATTAGTTTCTTGGCGAGACAATATGTGGTGTTGTGAAGTAATGAATTTGAATTCATTGATAAAGTTTGTTGAAATCTTTTCATTGTTGATGTTAAAGACCAAAATTGATCAATCTCTTTTCATACATGTACATTCTGTGAGAATTACAGATTGAACTTCACTACTAACCACAATCCATCTCTGCTGAAACAATTCTCGAGATTTGATAACTATATCGAGACAATCCACACAGCATGGACATATGTCAAAAGACACTGATCAATTGCTGTCTTTAATATTGAAAACGCAAATTAGCAAAGGAACATTAAGAATGAGTTGATATTCACCGAAATGCATATAATTCACTGGGTGTTTGAAAATTGAAAGATACTTGGCTTGATTCCTAATGTGAATGAACATCAACATGGTGGTGGTCTAGCTATATCCAGATGGAGATTCTTAAATAAAGAAAGAATTCACATCCAAAATTAATCTGCTCACCGTTATCCTACTCTGATTATAATAAATTTTATATTCCATTCAATTTCTTTTGACAACAATGCAAAAGATATTATTTCCATGCTTGTACAAAAATCATGTCAGCTATTTCGATAAGATTTTTCAGTTTTTCGATTTTATGGAAGCAAACATTAGAAAGTATACTTTACTAATGTGACTGCAGATGACTATAAGTTAACTGCGTGGTAAATGTTTACACAGGTTTTCAGCTGTGCATCATAATTTTACGTAATGCAAATGAACAATTTATTTCATAAATCTACGAGAGAGGTCTGTGTTCGGTTTTAAATGTTGAGTTCAAGGTTATAGTTATAAATTAGTTTTTAGGGTTAAGGCTACTTTGTGTAAAGTGCATAATGCTTGACCGAATTGTTGTATGTATTTGTTTTTTCTGTCATTTTTTTTCCAATAAAAAACTAATTGTTTCATTATTTGTCACTTTAGTAATTGTTCAAGTTTAACTGTATGTTTTAGCTTTGACATTTTTTTTCAATTTAAAGTAACTCTGTAGCTGAACATTAATAGGTTCTTCTTTAAATCTAAATAATCTACATGCTTATTATCATCAGATCCTGAATTTAACGCAAAAAATACCGATAATCATCATCACCTTTAATCTGATTCTTACATCGATAAAATATGGTTTCTATGTTTCTATAATACTAATTGTAATATGTCTAACACTCAAATTCATTTTCTGTTGGACAGTCAGTTTAGATTTCTTTTTCTATCCTTTCGTAAAAAGTTCTCAGCATGGTTTGTTCATTCTTATCCTTTTGAAAACAGCTGTTAATTGTCATGAAATCTTGTTTAAACGAATACCTGTTATTTTCGTAATTTAAATCATTTACTGATCTCAGCTGAATTACCATTGAAGATCGGAGAGCTGTTTCGTTCTAGTATGAAATTCAGCATTACATATCCATGACCACTCATCCACTAATCCCTTTGTGATGATAATATCTGTCAGAACGGAATACATGATGATTAGAATACAGGATTATTTTTACAACTATTTCTCTCCTGCAGACTACTTTTCAGTATTACTCTGATCGTTGGTGGGGAGGTCACGGATGTGTACTGCCAAGTAGTCACATACTAGAATAGCACACTAGAATAGCTCATTGGTTTCAGGTTTACAGCTATTGTCTAACTTAGATCGGTTTTCGATTTCAATAAAACTCCAAAATGTCTACAACCCACATACACTGGTTAAGCGTATAAATTATGTTCAATGTGAACACCATATGTGTGTTGTTTTGTGTTATCGCTTCCATTGTTTTATGTAACTAGGTTGACGTTTTTGTTGCGGATCTTGATGGAGGAAGCGTTGTATGTCCGGAAAATACTCCCGTCCCTCAACTACCCGATCCATATTTCACTGAAGTTGTGGAAAGTTTATTCCATGTAAGTACACGTGCAGTAAATTAGGCAAATGACTTGTTGATTCTCTCTTTTTTTAATATAAAAATTGACAAAAACATTTCCATCTTTTCACTCATGTATCTGTAAATGAAGGAGTGTTGGTTAAGTGAAGATTAGGAGAGCTTCCTGTTGGAATGCAACTCAATGTATAATTCCCGGATCATCGAATCATGACCAATGTTATCTTTGCTCATTCTTTTGGATCCAATCGAACTTTATCCATGTCAAGTTACTTAGGCTAATGGAATCATTGATATAATTTGATGTATTAGACATGAATAAGACGTAACACTTAAGTCTTTATTGTTTGTAGAGTAGTGAGTGACCTACAAACTGATTTCCAATTGCCTGTGTTATTTGTTGCATCAACATTTTGTATGTGGGCACGTTATTTTATGCAGTAAAAACTGATATTTTTAACCAGTAGTTATGTCTTCGAACTTGAATCGTTCAAGAGCAGATGTCAGTAATTCAATCTCGTTAGGGGTCGTCACTCGGGTACATTAGGTAGCGAGTTTAAGTTCGATAGGGGGCATCAATTTCATCAAGAGTTCGAACTGGCACGAAATCCATTTCTAGGTTATCCTGTTAATTTCCACCAACCATCTAACATCTCAACGTAGAACAACGTTTTGGGAAGAAACTTTTATAGTTTTTTTTTGAGTGATTCAGATTGTTTTATACTTTAGCGTTTAATGTAACAACCTTACTAAGGTTCGTTGTTGAAATGGAAAATTTTTCCAGAAGTACGATGTCTCTACATGATGCTGAAGTAGTGGTCTCTAACACTCTGTCTTAAATGCAACATGTGTGTTTTTGTCAGTAATCCATACTCCATACAGTAAAATCTACATGATTATTACCTCCGTCCATCATGTGTATGACATGAAAATTTCATGTATTTAGTAGTTATACTCGGTAGTGTTATTTATATGCTGTTAGTGTATTTAAGTGATGAAGGCAAACTATGTGACGGAGAATACAAAATCCACTCGAATGAGATAAATTAGACACCTTTCACATGTTGAATCGTTCTCATTTATTCTAAGGTTTGTTATTTTTTTGTTATCAACAAAGTAGTCAACTACACAATTGTTATTACTAAAGATTGTTGAATTTCATAAGTCAACATTACAGAATACTGCTGATTTTAGACAATCATTGAACAGGTGTTGTTCTTTTTTTGTATGAAACTTCTCAATAGTCCACATCCACAATCATATCTGTGATCGAACCTGGGGCAACTCAGATTTCTCATCAAGCTCTTTTAATCTTTAGACCATTAAGTTGACATCCAAATAATTCACAAGTCTAACATCTTTCATCAACGCTTAAATAATATTACGTTTGAGTGTGTCTCTTAGTTATTATTATACTCATCAATGATAGGTTGATCAATATGAATTTTTAAATTTCTTTAATGTTGTATTTCAGTTGTTTTTTATTGAATGATGTATGAATTGACAATTGATATGTTGAGTACATACGTACACACACACACATCAATTTAATTTTTTCATGTTATATATTGTTTTTTTTTATTTTGTCCTATTTAATACATAATTCAGATTTTAAGTCCAGACTTGATGACAGCGGATTATATCTATCCACTTGCTACATCGAATCAATCAGATGATTTAATTTCATTGGATAAAAAATTACGAGCTGTATTCCTTCGTTTGTTTGCATCTTTATTCGCTGGTTATCGGTCGTGTTTAACAATCACTCGTATTCATCCTCAACCGGTGATACATTTCAATCGAGTAAGTATGATACAAATAATATCATAAATTATTTCATAATATTTTACAGCTTATCTCGTCTGAGTTTGTGAAAAGGCAATTTTCATTCAAGCAATCTCACTAACGATGAATTAATTTGTCTGTTGTTTTACGCGGACATTGAAGAATTCTTCCGGAAGAATACTATTGATTTATGTGGAATGAATCCTCGCATATTGATGATATATGTTAGTTGTTGTCGGGATACTATCCCCTACTCAGATTTCATATGGTCGGAAAAATGAGAATTTCGCCAATGCAATAAAAACGTGTCCAGACATGATACGAAGGTTATTCAGTGTATTTGAGTCCAGTTGCGTCAAGCTGGTCTGCATTTCTTACTACCCTCTGCCAAACAATGCATATACCATGAGCTCTATTGTTATATGGGTCTGAAGATTGAACATTATAGTTGGTTTGACATTAGTGCTGCAAGTTTTGCTAATTGTCCATACACAAATTTGGTTTGCAGGGCGACCAATTTAATTGATACTGATGGGTTGCCTTGCAATATTCCCAAGGACCACTTATCATTGGCACGCTCTGGTGCATATCACCACTGTTAATAATGATAAGTTTGACAGTCTTGTAAACGAGATGGGTCAAATTGGCCTGTTCATGCTGTGCATATTGATGGATGATATGAATGATTTACCAGGATGTCAGGTAGCGGTTGTAGTTGTGCCACGAGATTGAGCTGTACTTTTCAGGTTGCAGTGTTAAAAACCTGAACAGTATCTCGTCCTCCTGATAACCAATATAAAACTACGTTTGCTGATTGAGGGTCAATTTATAATTAATTCTTACTTGTTGTATTGTAGGAAGAAATTTGCCTGTGTTTTGATTTAGTTAGTATAACTGGTTTTTTCATCGTGCAATTTCTATGTCAATATAACCTGATTAAATATCAACTGTGCCATTTTATTCCATGTGTTTAACAATTTACTTTTGGCTCAATTTATTCCTGATTGCATAATATTGTTATGTTAATTTTAAAAGAATAATAATAATAATAATTCACGTCTGGAATCGATAAGGTTGTTTCATTTTTTATTTATCTATTTTGCTGTTGCCGCTATTCATCCATGCTAATCAACAAAATCACTATCTCGAATACCTATCATCCACCTACTTATTTGTTAGACATCTTTTTTTTTGTTTTTCACCGTACACTACATGAACTTATCCAACTGGATCGATTGATATTTTTTACACTTAAAACGATTATATTTTTGTTTATGATTTCTTTCCTTCTGTACTATTTGTTCATCTAGTTGTCGATTGAGTACCAATTGTATATATATATATATATATATATATATATATATATATATATATATGTTAGTGAGATTACAAATCTATCTCGGTTAGGCAGGCACCTGTTGAATACCACGAAGTACTGTACCGCTGTTTCGTTGTACTGTGAGACTAAGCAGTGCACATCAGAGATCGAATTCAGCACCTTCAGTTTTTATGGTTGGTGTGTGACTTTTACAAGGCATCTAATGGTTTACATGCTTACTTTCAATCGATTCACAACATTATACAGCTATCTCCCTTTGCTTGTGCTAAATAACCATCTCATACCTTAAAACGGTTGGACCCCACTAGTCATGGCTCCTCATCGGAATTACAGGATATACTTCTTTTTTCCTTTTTGATACCCAAAAAGAATTTCACTACGTATTGTGTGGTTAATTTTAAAAAATACATTTTTAAATTATTCTGTTAAATACAGATTAATTTTATCAAATAAACTTATTTATTAACAAGTTGCGTTTCACAAAAAAGACTTTTCTCTATCTGTAACTAAAATTCACTAAATCACTGAGTAGTAGTGACCAAACTCGTGCTTGTTTAGTCCGTTAGTGTTGGTCGAAATCTATCGATCAAGTTGCTCTATGGTCACTAGTTAAACTGACCGAACATTCGATCCACTGTATTAGGATGTTGCGTGATTTGTTTAGATGTAGCCACTCGGATTTCCTGGATCTGTGTTTGTTCCAACTGAAACTCGTAAGCAAGGCATACCTGCAGTTTTGAAGAAATTGACTCTACCTGTAAGGTTTAGACCCGCGAAACACTTTCGTACATTCTGAAACGGTCAAAGTGGCTCACATACAATATGTTGAGAAGCGAAGTGGTGGTTGAAGGTAGGCAACGAGAAAACTTAGGATTCTCTCTGTTAGCGGGACATAGATAGAATTAAAGCATGACTACGTTGCTGCGCGCTGATTGGCTAATTTCCTATCGAGTCATTTCTTAGAGAACAGGGAAGAAAATTCTCTTATTGTTAGCTGCATGCTGATTGGCTAAATCTAATCCAGTCGGTCACGTGAATTACTACCCAGAAGCTTCTCATGTAAATACTACAAAGAATCTAACATTGTATCTATTTTTACCTTCGGCTTCGTATTTCCATTTAACCTTGCTATTTGGAATATAATTTTTTCCGGTTCAACCGTGTTTTTGATTCTTTGGAACTTGGCCAGTGTGTTGTAGTCAGAGAATACTTAGCAATACGATTTCGCTGGAAATTATTCAAACAAGCGCTATTTAGTTCTCATCACCAAGATGTACATGGAATCTTCAGGTTGCTTTATGGTGGACTTGATTCTGTATCAAATAGCTCATTGATAATAACCCTGATCCGAGTCCTCACTTTCCTTAGATGCCGAGTGCTAAATAGCAAGGAATCTAAGTACAGTTCGTTGACAGGCTGAACTAATGCCTACTTCCTACTTCCTAACACCGATGTTCAATCCAAGGTGGACTTGTAGTCAAATATCTTCACTTGTGTGTTGATTTTAAGGAAAACTCAATTCACACGGTGTTAGTACACATAAAGTGGTGATATATATTTTGAAGAAAAGAAAGAACACAATCACACACTTCAAAGGTGAACTTTCTGTTTGTTCATAGTTTTACTATAGTCATCATATCATCATCGTATGTTGTTCTTCGTATATGTCATGAACATGAAAACATATCGAAAATATTTCACAAAAGCAAATTATCCAGACATTTATTGTACTTTGTATTTTACAATTTTGGGGTTTAGCGATGAGCTTTATATCACACAATGCTACTTTCAGACTGGTCTGAATCAAAAACTAGGATGATATCAAGGGGGAATGAAACAGTTAAGCTTTTTCACTTCACAGTATTCCTTCGTGTTTACCGTTACATCGCGCCTACTGAGATCTTATTCTCAAGGTCTGGTTCACTGTTATTGGTACTGCTATTACAACATAGACTTCTTCGTTGTTCATCTTTTCAATTACATCTCGTTATAAAGAGAGCCTGTACATCAATTATGACTAATTAACTGTCACAATACTAAGTAGTATATTTCAATAATCAATATAAATATCACCATCAAGATCTGAATCGATACATCATATCACTGGATTTATTGCCTACTGGTTACTGATAATTTTCATTTTAGTGTGCCTAAATTAATTTATTATTATATCCATTTTTAAATTGATCAAATACACCCCTGTCACAAATTGTCATTAAATGCGTCGATCCTTTTAAAACTATTCCTTTACCAATTTAATATAGCGGGGGGGGGGCGGTTTTGGTGCATTCATATCAATATGTATATTCTATCTAGTCTTTAATGAATGATACTCAAATCTCTAAGCAGTAGTAGTTGTCAGTTTTATTCTACTTTTCAGTTGATTAGTATTTCTTTATGAAAGAATAATTCACATTATCGCTCTAATATGAACCAACCAACAAACTAACTTATTTGTCGTTTTTTTTTGAACAAAAATGTTTTTTTTCAGACATTATACTTACTTCTACGTGGAAATAATGCACATAATGAATTCTATGATCGTTTATTATCCAGTATGCGTTTTCATCAATTCATATTAGAACGTGGTCCACCATTTCGTGTATGTGATTTATTTGATGAAGAATATGAATTTCATGTGGACAATCATTCATACTTTGATAATAATACTAAGAACAGTACATTGAACAGTGCAGATTGTGAATATGATATGAATGGTGATATTAATCAAGTATTAATAATGGATAGAAGTACAACTGATTTCAGTTTAATTGAACGATTAAGCACTAAACTACTTGATAATGTAAGTGTCATTTTTTGTTACATCTTTCAATTTTCAAACACCCGGTAAATATCAACTCATTCTTAATGTTCCTTTGCTAATTTGCGTTTTCAATATTAAGGATAGCAATTGATCAGTGTCTTTTGACATATGTCCATGCTGTGTGGATTGTCTCGATATAATGATTAAATCTCGAGAATTGTTTCAGCAGAAATGGATTGTGGTTAGTAGTGATGTTGAAGATGTAATTCTCACAGAATGTACATGTATGAAAAGAGATTGATCAATTTCTTCTATTTGTTGGATGAGATTATCCTTTCGGATTGTCCGCTGAATAGGGAGCGACTGCGAATATTGTTAACATTTCGAAGTCCCTACACACTAATGCCTCAGACAGTGTATAGGCCTACAACCATCTCACTCCGTTGGTTCATCAGAGCGTTGTGGTTATACTAGCTTTCTCAATCTCACCATTACCCTTATACGTTGCCATCAGTGACGTTCTGGAAACAGCTTCTAAAGTTCATGTAATGATAGCGTGGATGTATTTCCAGGAGAAAGGCTTTTCGCCTTTGAGTATACGTATAATATTTTCATACTGTTCGAGAACTCCCAAGCCATGCAATCCGCACTTACTCAGTCGGTAATCCGTGTCCATTGCTTTGTCGTGTGCTTCGCACCTTCGAAGTGCGAAGAACCTTTCCAAGACTGGCATGACCCTGAAATGAAAAGCTCTTTTATTCAAATAGCTAAAGTTTTGCTCAGTGTCCTACTTTTGAGTTAAAGTACTCGTCATTATCTAATCGTATTAACAGGGGGAATAATCATGAAGTGCCTATTTCATGTATACGGTTTCGATATGAGTGTGTGTTTCAGAATTCGTCATAAGAATTTTCAGTCCTTTCGAAATCTGTTTCTCTCAAAAACCAATACAATCACAGTATTTCATTTCATGTAAACTAAAAGGTGTGATGTGCTCTGGAAAACATGTCTTTATTCATTCATCTATAAAGTTGTGAATATAACATTTAGAATTGTGGTCTAATAACACATTTTTATTTTTATAAAAAAAAATAATAGAAATTTCAGAAACCTTACATTGTAGTTGATGTCAATTAGGTGATGAAGACTTCTGTCCTTTATAAACTTGAAGTTTGTTTCTCTCTTCTCATTAGGTTTAACAATATATTTTGCATTAACTTTAAACTTCACTCCATGTTTTTTTTTGTATTTCAAATTTGACATTGAGACACCTGAGTTTAAACACTGTCCATCTAATCACATTCAGTAGATTTTTATTTTCCTACAGAATTCTATGGTTTTTTTTGTGATATTCATGACCTTTACAAATTACTTCTTATAGTCTGTTATTGTTTTAAAACATTTGAATTGTAGGAATATGGTGATCAACCGTCTACACAGATTCTTCCAAATGAGGCTGTTGAAGCTCACAAACGTATACATCAAACACCATTTCCTGTTTTAGATGCTCGATTAATCGACGAACTTGTTGCTCAGTATTCACAAAAAAAAACTAAGTTAGTTTTTTCCAAATTGCATTAAACTTTTGCCATTCGTTGTTAATCCGTTTTGTGTAGAGTTTCTAGTTTCATTGCTTTTTTTCTGTTCAACAAATGTTGAAACAAATTCACATTGTGGATTTGTTGTAATACATTACTGGATTGATTAAAGTACATCATATTTAACCTTATTTGCCAGTCAAGTGAATGGTTTTCATAGTTAATAATTTAAATATGGTTTTTGAATATGAAAATAATTCAGCTAATTGCTTCAGTAGTCATTACATTGGTTGGGGTTCGAGGTCTGTCGTATATATATATATATATATATATATATATATATATATATATATATATATATATATATATATATATATATATATATATATATAATCCATAGTCCGCTAAGCTACTGAGTCCTCGATCTCACGTATGTCAATAACAGGCTGTCAGCTAACACGTAGAATTTCGAACGTACGTACATCAGTTCAAGTTGCCATACCACATTAGCACAGACACGTAATTTTCAATTCAAATACCATAGTAGTAGAGGTAGTAGAAGTATTAACAGTAATCGGAGAGATTAGGGTTCGAGGGTATTACTCAAGAAGTTGATTTTAGTGTAAGAAACTTAATAAGAAAAAGATGAAGGTGATGAGGAATTCAGAAGGTTAGGATTTGAGAGAACACAAAGAATAAATGCACCTGCACCATTACAAACGGTTTTGAGCTATATCATTCAGGTTCACGAACCATCAATTACTAACATCTGACAACCAGAACACTTCCACAGTATGGGTAGCTGGAAAGTAACATCCGCTCTCACGAGACCTAATTGGCCAAAATCAAATCCTTTTACACCTCCTCTCCTCGAACAACCTGTCTTTCGATCGACGTAAAGCCAGGTTTGACATTTTTAAGGTCGAACTTTTCTAACCCCTTCCTTCCGTTGTGAGAAGGAAGCATCGTTGCAGAGGCTGGTTGTCGGAGGGTTATAGTCTACTTCTGTCACATAAATTCTTAAATAGTAAGTTTTAAATTAATTGTTTCTAAGTATTGTCAAGAGTTCTTTGGATATTTATGTAGTTGATATATGTGGCTTCGATGATGAAATATGATAATGATTTATTTAAAATCTTAATTGGTGTGATCAGATCAATATGATGAAAACTGTCCGAACAAATGTTTTTCTGTTAATTGTTTTTTTAAATATTTCTTATATTGGTATTTTATAGTTTTACATATAGAGTAGCATACAGTTTTATCACTTCAATCATATAATTTGGGATGGTAGTTATTAACTGTTATCATTACTTTCATGATAATTCAATACAAATAAGCTTACTTAGTAGTGATCTTTGTACGAAGTACATAATTTTTAATTCAATTAATTTTATGAATTATTTTTTATTCTACCGATTGCTATTAGTTGTAAATAATTTGATTGATTCACAAGTATGTAATCAGCTCAACTCACAAATAATAATAATAATAATAATAATAATAATAATAATCTGATTATGCTTATTAGCGCTGTTATTCACGGTTGCATTCATCATCTCTATTTCATGTTCCTTATTTTATGTTATGGTTTTACTCTAAAGAATCATTTATCACAAAGATGCTTCATACCATAGCTGCTGTTGACCTTTTTCGTTTGTAAATATTTATTTGAATAACTTCAAGTTATCGATTTTCGGTCGATAGTGAATATGAGGTAATTGGTAATGGTTTGTAACTCAATTTCTAGTTACATCTGATCAGTTTCTTTTGCTGTATGTTCTTCCTGAGCCGATTTTGACAATACAACAGTATGTTACATGTTTCGGTATAGTTAAGTGATGGCTAAAAGAAGAATTCAATCTACAGACCGTTACTCATACTTACATAACCGTTAGCCCTTCAGTATTTGTGACTCATGATATTTTGTTCAATTCCCAATGTGAACATCAAGACTCATGTTTAGATATACTTAGCTTATGAATGTGCATGCATCCTTCCTTCCACTGTTAGCCAGCCACAGGGCAAATAATCTAAATGATAATATGTCGGTTAATTTAAATTTAACTGTCACATACAACTTGGACATTGATTATACCAGTCAGCAGATGTTTAATTCTGTTTGTCTGATTATGTGTAAAATCATAAATGTGTTAATTTAAGAGTAGTAGTTATAGGTGTATATAGAGAATTCCATGTTGATAGTGTTTTTAAGCAATAAATTATTGATCATTGATTCGTTATGTCAGTAAAAATGTGTTACTAATTAAATCAATGTGTTTGTTTTTTTTTATCCTACAAACTGAGCATATTTAGCTCTTCTTCTTCTTCTTCAGTTAGAGTAGTTATCTTTTTCATATCTTACACATTTCTTAACTTTCATTGTGTTGATTTTTGTTTTGTTTTTTCACAACATGTGCTTATGTAGACTTGTCGACTAGTTTTTGTGTAGGATTTCAATGAAAAGGAAAAATATTTAACTGAAATGATTTTTTTGTTAAGGTTCTAATTTAATCAGTTTAATTCTTTGCATTGTGATAAATTTCCATGTCCTTATTATTGTGAACCGTTGTGTATAGAAGTGAAGGCACAGAATTATTGAAACATGTTTCTATTGCATACTAGTATTCATCATAATAATGATAATAATTTCACAATGTACATGACTTTTTTTTGATGAGAATAAGAAGTTGAATGTAACTTTGGTTAGAAAAAAAACAAAACAAAACAAAACTAAAGAATGTTTGTTAATAGTGTGAAATTTTAGATTTAAAAATGAACTTTACATATTTAGTCCATATTTTCTGATAAATTTTAGGTATTTCTGTCACATTTTCAATTTCCCTAATTGTTTGTTCAATTGTGTTTGAGAATGTTAAATTCTCTGTAAAGAATACGGTTTAATGCTTCCATTTACAATCTTAATTGACATGTTTGGGCATTTTCACGGCAATATAACTATGTTAGATTAGATTATGGCTAGCAGTTGAATGAAATGTGTATTTAGTCTTATTTGAGACTTGTACACACTTGGAATTCACAACCCAGTATCTTTCGATTTTAACACATATCAGTCTGTTGTTTTCTTAGCTACTGAGTTTAGGTAAGCATTAAATTATTCGATAGGTATGATGTTTATGTCAGAGCATTGTTGAAATTTAGCTTCTGGAATATAGCTACATCGTGTTAACAAGATTCACATAGAACAAAATCCACACCCGAGTTCTCATTGGTAGGCACAATTCATCTTTTTACAAAAAATACTTATGATCAAATGGTCTAAATGCAACAATCTATCCAGTATGCACCTAAATCAATCAAATCGAAACTGTTGAATATCAATAATGGTGGGATAAAATAAAGCTTAGAATTTTCCTAATCATGTGATAACTGCCGTTTATTGAATTGAATGCTCTCACTTTATTTTCTTACTATAGCTCTATAATTTTTTTTTTAAAAAAAACATGTCTCTTTTTTACTTTATTGAATAAAAGGAATGTTGTTTATCATAAACCGGAACCACGTTTTGTACCACAAGGCCAACTATTGGATAGACAAATATTCAAAGCAGAAATGTTTCCTGATAAATATCGTGTAATACATGAATTTATTGATGATATTTTCAATCAACATATTACGGAAGCATTAAAAGTAAGGCTAGTTTTAATGTTTATGAATGTAGTGAGTTTTGTGACAAGTTGACTTCCAATGATTAGCAGAGTAACGTAGCACGAGTCGTTTTCCAGCCATAAGACGTGTTATGATGTTCACTAGCTTGCAGTTCCTTGATCGATAGCCTGGAAAAAAAGATACACCAATCAAAATACATTGGTTTATTTTTCTTGTGTCCAAATATACTAGTTCACTTATTGATTGATCACTTAGCCTAACTAATGAAAAGCATGGGAGACATGATCTTGAATGTGATTGATCTATTGATATGATTACCTCCATTCTCTGAGTTTTGATTCCGGGTGGAGAATATCAATCAATCCTACTTCATTATCCTTTTCTATTGTTTCGGTTTCAATATATTTATTGATGTACTGCTTGTAGCATTATTCACACAATTTCCGCCTATTGTTTATTTAATAACATGAAACTAAAGGAATATTGCATTTTATATGCCTGTAATTATTACATTCAAACGTTATGAGTTCACAGATCCGTTGTATTATTAAAATTAACTATAGTTGAGCAACGGTGACAATAATGCGAAAAATATGACAATGGCTACTCACTTTTCAGTGATTAATCGATTCTAAATATATCATCCCGACATGAAATCATTCGCTATCTGAATCGATCAGTGATAACTTCTAACATTGAGTTGAATCTGTCAGGGACAATGCAGTCTCTTGTGTTTATAGGTAGGTACACCTTCTTGACAGGTACTAAACAGTACGAAACTTAAGTCCAGCGTTTACTTCCACTTAACTTAATGACTGTTAACATTATTTCACATGAATATATATTTATTTATAGGATATTGATCTCAGTAATTCTAACGATTGGTACATTCATTTTTTTAAATAAACATATCTTTACTAATATTTCTATGATTTTCCAAATTTTCATTAATTAATTCTATAGAGGCGGAATACAATTCGTCAAGATTTAAAATCTAGGCCAATGAGACGTTTATTTGTTGATGAACTACGTTCATATATCAATCCAGAGACATCTGTATTACCAACAATATCTATCAATAATTTAATTGAGAAAGTGACAATCGATCGAAGTGAATATGAAAAACGAGCTGTATTAACATGGGAACAATTTGAATTGATTGTTGACTTGTTAGATGAAGCATTAAGACAGGAGACCCAATCAAAAGACAGTGGAATTACACCAATTATAATGGATTTAAGCACAAGGCTTTGTACAGTAAGTGTATGCATGTGTAGTTAGTTAGTTGTGCATGTTCATGATATTTCTTAATCTAGATTATTTATCCAGTCGTGTGTTAAATATGTTGTAGTATTGTTATAATGAAGAATATTTATTTCTTTCTTAAATATTGTACCCAATCGTAGTCAGTTTAGTTATTGCCTAATGGTATATTGTCAATCTAACAAAACCAATCAATGAATACAATTAACTGAGGGCGTAATAACTTACTGCCCATATAATAATAATAATAATAATAATAATAATAATAATAAAACACACTTTATAACCATATAAATATGGTTATTTGTTTTTACTCAATGATCAATCAATCAAAATATTTTCACACTACTACAGGAGGTCAGCTGCGACCTCAATCAATAGCTCAGTATTAGTGTTCTGAATTCACAAACTGGATGATACTAGTTCGCGTCTATCACGGAGCACCAACCTATTCAAGACTGTATATTTCGCTTTACTGATAAGTGCTTAGATCCATCGTTAATTAATTGCCAACTGCCTACATTCACTTTGTTTCAAATATGAAATTTCTTTAATTTGTTAAAGAAACATGAATCTATCTCGTAAACTCACAACTTTTCCGATAATACTTTCAGCCATATGATAGGATAACATATCTGAGTAAAAAAATACCCCACTAAATGTGTGAACTATACTTCTAATTATCAATCAGTATATAATATGTCTTTGTACACTAACCGATGAATAGCCGTCACATTTATTGGTCTTTTATTCATCACAGATTCTGCATTATTCATATTGTGAAGTCTTTTATTCAAGAAAATGATAAACCTATTAACAGGTTGATCAACGCCAAACTTATCAACCTGTAAAAGAGTTATTTTCTTCCTTTATATATATATTTATTTATATTCCAAATTTTACAGTTATCCATATTGATCTAATTCTCTTCTCTCTCTCTCTCTCTGTGTGTGTGTGTGTGTGTGTGTGTGTGTGTGTGTGTATTTTTGTGAATTCAATCTAAAAGGAATTAGAAGATGTTCGTTATTACGCAAATATGAGTCATCAAATTCAACGTCATGAAATCTGGCGTAATATGCCATTTTGGGAGAGTGTTTTCAATGAACAAGTGAATAATCAAATTCGTTTATTGTATATTGATTTTTTTGAAGAAGAACAAAAATCACATAAACAACAACATCAACAAGATAATCAACATTCAGCAATGAATTTGTCCAATGGAGGATATACATGGAGGTCACCATCACCGACATCCTCCTCTTCATCATCATCATTGTCTGATAGTAGTAGAAAACAGTTAAAAAATTCATCTGGAAAAAATGAAAAATCATCATCTGTCATCATTGTTGGATTAAATAATAATAATAATAATCATAAATCTAATGTAAGTTTTGATGATTTTCTCGTAGCTTGTGATGCGTGGCTTCTTGATATGCTCCATATGAATATTTCATCATTTGAACCATTGGCGATTGTTTTTTCTAACCGGTTTCAGCTATTATGAACGACTAAATGTCTATGGCATTGAATACGCTGATTTTGGGAATTGTAGTTTGCAACCTGAATCAATAACCAATAATTCCAACAATTAAATATTCGCATTATCTGTAATGCCTGCCATGTTTAATTTCATTTCTGAAGCAAAAGCAGAAAAATTCATTCTATTTTTAATAAAATGTACAAATTAATTGTCTCAATTGTCAAAAAGTTTAATAAATATGTACTTTCCCTTTCCTTATGATATTTTATATTTTTTAGATTACATTTCAACAACAAAATTACACACCAAATATGTCTGCATTAGAAATAGCTGCTGAAGAAATGCGAATTGGTTATGCACGTCCAAAAGACGTACAACAAACACTTGAAACACGTGAAGAAAGCACTGTCTATTCTCAAATTATACATTTTATTAATCTGATTATTAATTTTCGTATACCAGTTCATATTGGTGCAGCTGTAGCTGATATCTACGGTCAAGAAACTGAAATCAATACTAATCACAATAATCATAATCATCATCATCATAATAATAATAATAGTAATAATAATAGATTATTCAATGATAATACTGAAGTAAATGTTATCTTTTCAAAAAATTCTGATTATTATCCTTCTCATAATACTACTACTTCTGCCGCCAATGATCAACATTATCGACAACATTATACTAGCAGTACTAATTCATTAAATGATATGCCAATAACTAGTGACACTAATCATGCTCTCAAGAATATCTCACAAACTGAAGGATATACTAAAAACACTGGTCGGTCGACAGTTGTTGACAATTATTCCAACAATTTATCAACAACAAGTGTAGTTTACAGGTGAGTAGTAAAAAAAATCTATAATACTCCTTGTTTATTGACTAGTTCTGTCTAATTATGAATTATTGTAGGCGATCTTTCTTTTACCGTATAAACTTTTCTACATCAAAAGAAAAGCCATTGGTATTTATATGTTCATTTATTTTTCCAATTGATCAACTTCTCATGGAAATGATCAATTTTCCTTTTTTACACTACTGATACTTTTGAAAGATCATGCTTTTATCATCTTTATTAACAACAAATAAATTAATTTTGTTAACATTTTTCAACAGAAATCTATATCCATAAACTGTAGACCATATAAACTGTCTTGTGATGTCTTATTGTAATAAATTGCTGATGCTTCTCGTGGCCTTGCTGGTGTAGGTATAGTATTAAGCCTCCTAGGGCACAACTAGCTCTCTTAGACTGGATCACGGTAGACAGTCGTTTATGCTCTGTCTGACTAAACGGGACGGTTTAGACTCGGAAAGATAGGAACACTCGCCGTTGACTCTTCGGCGTATCTGCATACGCTCCCACTGACTGCAGTTTAGACGAGGTGAATGATGAGTTTTACAGAAAACTTTTGGACCCCCTCCAAAAAGTTAGGTGCTTTGATATAGTAATAATGGCTGGTGACATTAATGCTCAAGTAGGTAGATCAAGTGTAAGGGGAAGACACCTTGGTGGATGTTATGGTGTCGCGGCTAATAGAACAGATAATGGCGACCGTCTGCTGCAACTATGCTTAGATAACGGCCTATTTCTAGCAAAAACTAACTCTAAGCATAAGGAAAAACATCTCTTGACATAGCGACCCCCAAAGCCGACCCAACGCTGGACCAAACTATATCACATCGCCATCAGCCAGGCGAGATATCCGTTTGCTGACCAAAGGACGAGTGTACTGAGGATTAGTACGCTCCGTCCTACTTTATGGCTGTGAAACATGGCCAGTCAGAGTAGAAGATATTCGTCGGTTACTGATTTTTGGTCCTCATCACCTTTATATTTTGGTTTTTAGTTTATTTCACTAGATTCTATTTCTTGAATAATATCGTTGAACCCTAAAATTTCCGATTACTGATAACAATTCTAACAATTCGCTAGCATTATGGTATTCAAAGTGACATTCACATCTCTGTCCTAACGTCGTATGGTATCTTGAACTTGATGTACGTACGTACGATGTTCTATGTTGTTGTTGACTGACTGACTGACTGATTCACTTATTGCAATAAATGAATTGTGGGAGTAGGAATGAGAATCAAGTTGTGCATTTAGTTCTTTGTACTTACGTGCATCCTAGTATTGATTTGAACAGAGCATAATCACATCGCTGATAATAAGTACCATGAAACTTTTAGGCAAGACTAACATGGATATGTGATTATTTCCCAGAAGCAATTAAGCTGTGTGTACATTTTCGTTTTTCAATTCCATTTTTAACAGTTAAACATATCTATTGTATAGATGTTCTAGTTTTTCAGTTTGTTCACCGATTTTTGAGTATGATCATGTGAACAGACATGTCATTAATGCATAAACTGACATATTAATCTCTCTTTGTGATTGATTCACATGTAGGACTATTCATTGTATGAACTAAACATCAACAGTTTCGCTTTGTTTTGAGACTATTTACATAGTTTTTTAAACTGTATCATAACACTCATTCGATATTTTAGTAATTCCGTGTCCTTCATCTTTTAAAATACACACATAGCCAGCTACTTACTTGATCGATTCGACCTATAAAAATAAAAAAAGTTGCCAGATAATAAAATATTATTTTTAATCATCTTTTTTTTTATTATGTGTTTGTTACCAAGGTCAAATAGACTGATGATTATTTTTATTATCATTTCATTTTACACATCACAGGTATTCAACTATCTATCTACAAAGTAGTTCATTTGCATTGATCATGTCATTTACATAAAGAGCCATAATTAATTGATTTTTTTTTTTAAAAATATTATTTTTAACCTTGAAAAATAACCGGAATTTTTCAACCGATATTTGTCTGATGTGATGTGTATGTGGAAGTATAGCTACCATGTAAAATCTAATCAATATTACAATTAGTATTCTTTTTCTCTCTTCTAATTATCTCTAATTCATAAAATATCTTTTGGAAAATTATTGTTTTAGAAATTACCGTTTCTTACTAGCGATCCCTACTTCTAACTTTGGTTTGCTTGTCTGTATGTACTATTTTTTTTTAAATTTAAAACACTTTACCGGTAGCCTAATTTTGTCTGCTTCTGTTGTCGATTGAATCCAACTGTATTTTTTGTTCAGCATTGTAAAAGTACAGAAAAAATAACTGATTTTATTCATAGTTGATTTCATAAAGAAAGATTGATAACATCTACTTTCTATCGACTAAACTACCAATAAGTGGATAGTTTTGTTCTTTAAAAGATTCACTTATGCAAATGTTTGAATGATGAAGTTTTTCGCTCGGATTTGAAAAGAAAATTATGCTCACTGTGAAGTGATTGTCAAATTTATTCTGTTCTATGCAACTGACAATCTGCAGTACATGTGTATCAGTTCAAGTTAACATACCGCATCAGCAAAACTAGATTCAATTATTATGAAGATCTCAGAATAGTGAACAGATTACACGTAGTAAAAATAGATGAATATTAAAAACGAACAAACAAACAAAGAAAAACACAACAGACGATTATGGGATGCAAGAGCTATTTGTGGTAAAAAGAGACAGTTAACATATCTTCAGGGAAACCTTAAACCTAGATTACGTGCTAGTTGTTAACTTATTAGCAAAGCGTATTTATCAGCTGGATTTGATCAGTACTAAACGTCCTGATTAACATAACACCTCTCACTACTCAGTGATCAGTAAATTATAAATATTTTGATCATTGCAAACGGTTCTGAGCCATGTCATTCAGGGTCTCTAACCATCTCGCGGACCCCAACCAGGTAGTCGACAACTACCGACATGATTTAGTTCACTTGTCTGTGGCTTGTTTTTAATTTGGCTGCCTCCAGCTTTCGTCCAACTTATTCCTACACCGCAAAATATAGCTCGACGAGGCAGTTGGTGGCTGGGCGTATATAACACATGTCCCAACCACCTCAACTGATGAAGTTTCATTACTTCATCTATTGACTTATCATCCTTAACTAGCACTTGTTTCCTGACAACAGCATTGCTTACTCGGCTGTTCCACGATACTCGAGCAATGCTTCGGAGACATCTATAATCAAATACTGATAACCTACGAATGTCTTCTACTCTGACTGGCCATGTTTCACAGCCATAAAGTAGGACGGAGCGTACTAATGCGCAGTACACTCATCCTCTGGTCAGCAAACGGATATCTCGCCTACGCCATAAGTGACGCAGGTTGGCAAATGCCAGTCGAGCCTTCTGTATCCGAGCTGAGATTTCGTCATTCACCAGGCCATCGGCACTGATGACACTCCCAAGATGAGTGAAGCGATCAACATGCTCAACTGCTTCACTCCCTATCATGTGCCGTATTTTGGTGAGGCAGTCGGTGGTTAGGCATACGCAACAGATGTCCTGGCCACCTCAACTGATGAAGTTTTAATACTTCATCTATTGATCTGCCACCGTTACCCAATACTTGTTTCTTAATAGCAGCATTGCTTATCCGGTTGTCCCAGGATACACGATCAATGTTTTTAAGAGGTCTATGATCGAATACTATTAACCTACGGAAGTCCTCTACTTTTACCGGCCATGTTTCGCATCCATATAGGACGGAGCGAACTGCTGCACAGTACACTCGTCCTTCGGTTAGCAAACAGATACCACGTTTACGTCATAACAGACGCAAGTTGGCGGAAGCCAATCGGGCCTTCTGTATCCTTACTGAGACTTCGTCAGTCACGACGCTATCAACACTGATGAGACCCCCCAGATAAGTGAAGCTGTCTACACATTCGACTACTTCACTCCTTATCACTAGTTCAGGTGCCGATGCAACCCAATCTTGAAGCAACATTTTGCATTTCGAGGGGGAAAACCGCATCCCGAACATGCTTGCATTGTTGCTCAGGGTAGTCAGAAGACTCACCATTTTGTCAGTGTCTTCATCAAATAGAACTAACTATGTCATCGGCATATTCTAAGTCAACAAGCGAACCTCCTGGTAAGAGGTCTACTCCTGAAAATTCGGATGAGCATAAGGTTATATCTAGGAGCATATCTATGACAAAATTAAACAAGAATGGAGAGAGTGGACATCCCTGACAGACACCACTTGAAGTAGAGAATTCCGATGACTGTTCGCCATAAGCTCCAACTGGACACCTTTACAGAGGATGTTCATTTTGTCCTCTTAATCTTTTATATTCTTTGTTTTGTTTAATATAAAGCAAAAACTTTATTGGTTTCTAAGCTTCAGTTATGCCGAAGTGTTTTATAACCCCCCTCTGCAGGTCCTTTTTTTTTAGGTCTCCAGGAATGTTTTCATGTTAGATAGTCGATTCGCTAGACATTTTTTGGAGAAGAGAAACTTTATTAATATTTGTTCATGACTAAAGATTACTGAAGTGCAGAGTTTTTGAACTGTTCTGAATTGTTCTGACTTTCGAATTTACTTTTTTAATTTGTCATCGACTTGTCATTATTTTCTAGCTTAGTATTCGATTCATATAACTAAATTTTTGACACAGTAGAGTTCCCGATCATTATCTGTTTTCTTCGTGAATTAAGATATCTCTACAAAGGACATTTTTGTCCAAATTTATCATAAATCTTAAGAGTATATGATCTTGAAAATCTGATTGAATATTGATGTAAACTTTCTTTACTGATGCAATTATGATTTCCACTTGCTTGACTGAAAAAATAAGGCCACTGTCTGTGTACATAATTCAAATTCATTACTACTAATATTGTTGATTGATTGTTCCAAAAGGTAGTTAAGACTTAAACGTTCACATACAACAAAATACTATTGTCAGTAGATTACCAGATTGATTGGTCAATAAACTTCACATTTATTTAGTAGTTAAATAAAAAGACGCCAAGAATTTTTGGAGCTAAATAAAATATTATTTAAGTTAAGTGAAAACCAGTTTGTATGACTACCTAAGTGCTTTTCTAGGTGCTCATGAAATATAATCTTGGCTTTGCTCTTGTCTTGTAGAATTCAAAGGGTTTTACATGCTATGTCTTTCTTACCTCCTATTAGATACAAACAAATACGTGTCAGCACTAGAGCATGATCTGAATCTAAACATGTGCGGTATTTTCTATCGATCCTCTCCACTGGTGGCTGAAAGCTATGTGATCTATGTGGGTGGATTTTGCGGGTTGCGAAGAAGAAAAATGTTTAGTATTTGCTAGAAATAGGCGGTTATGTGAGCATATCTGCTCGATAAGCCGCGACATCATAAGATTTACCCCGGTGTCTCTGAGTTTCACTTAGCCCACCTACTTGATGATTGAATTCATGAGCCACTATTACTACATCGAGGTGCTTAAGTTTTTGGAGGAGGTCCGAAAACTTTCTGTAAAAGTCATGTTCTACCTCGTCTGAGCGGCAGTGAGTTTGTGCATAGACAGAGACAACGAAGACTTACTCTCCCGTTTTTTCGGACAGCGCATATGCGACGACGATCTATTTGGATGGAGTGTAAGAGAGTGAGTTCTTCTGTGGACCTAAGTGCTTTTCCTACACGAGTGAAGCCTCGAGAAGCAACAGCAGGTTCTCTCGACACACGGAGTGTAAATGGAAACGGTTGTTTATGTGGACAAGGTGAAGTGAAATGAAGATTTGTACTTGTATACTGTATGTAGGTTTGTGAAACGCAGCGTACATCGATTGCATTAGATTGTAGAGTTCTAGTTAAGGAATGTTGATGTCCTATTTGACACATTGTCTGTACATTGAAAGCTGTGACATGTAGTTTAGATTTTCAGGAGACTAGGAATAACGTTTCACGTGCTCGAATCGTCGGCATTAGGAGTGCAAAGTGATAAAGGAACGTGGGGATGATAAGTCGTAATGATAATAGAAATATTAAGTGTAGGAAGAATTTGATTGTGATCAATCAGTTCTCGTGTGTTGTTACTAGTATGAAGGTGGATGTTACGTCCTGGCCGCCCACACTGTGGAAGGGTGTTTCTTAAGGTACTTGAAAAGAGAATCTGATCAGCGGTGTTCTTAGCAATCAGGGAGCGTGACCGTCGAGTCAGAGGGACAGCTGCTTTTCCCCAGTCACACACAGCCTTTATATGTGATGTATTTGAGGTGTTAGTTCCACCATTGAAGTGGCTTTACGGTCGTAGACGGAAATCTGTGTGGTGAAGTAAGGTGTGGTATTTTTAGGACTTTGCCCTCAGATCTTGAGTTGCTGCCTTTAGTCATACCATTCTCCAGTCGACGTGCCTGGTATGGTAAAAACTTTATCTACGTAGACAAAGCCAAAAGTGGCTATGAATAATATAATAATTATTAATAAAAATAGATATACTATGGATTGTAATAATTTTTCAATTGATTAAACCAGAAGCTTACTCTATGTAAAATTTGTTAATATAATAATCCAATTATTTAACGATTGTATAATAAAATTATGAAGAATGATATTTTGAAAAATTAGTTCTAATTATTTTTTTTTTGACAATATTATTCGTTTTGTCATTACATTTATTCGTGATAAAATTTGAAAAAAAAATAGATATCTTATTTTTCATATTCAACATTAATATTAAAACGTTAAACGACTGGAGAAAAAAAAAACAGGATAGTTAATTTCATTTTATATTGTATTTTATGGAATTCATTAATGAAATGTTTTTACAGTTCATTAGTTTACGCATCTACAATTTTTGTCTATTAATGGCAGTGTTTTTTCTTTCTTTAGTTTGATTTGTTTAAACAAATTGCTTATCTATTTATGGAAGTTTGTCAGATGATGCAAGTACCAACTAGAAATGTTTTGTTGAATCTATCAGTTTTATTGTTGTTACCTATTGTTGTTGGTAAAACAAAACGAAGGAATTGTGTAAAATGTTAACTCTAAGCTAAGTTATACGGTTTCAGTGTACGATAGGCCTTAATCGGTAGTTGCCTCACTCCACTCTTCAAGTCGTTTGCTCTTTGGTTTCGCTTTCATTTACTACCTCACGATCATGTAATCTTCCTGCAACTTATTGACCTGACAGCCATCTGTGCACTGCTTAACCACATCCTGAGCGACCAACCTGTTGACGACTTGCCCATTGACAAAACTGTATATTTTCCCTTATGCTTTTTGCAGAAAAGCATTCTTCATATTGTATTCCATTCTACTTATATTGATTTTTTTTTCTTTTGTCCTCTATTCACACTAGTCGGTACAATAATCAAAATTTTGAAAAATTAAATACAGCCACACTGTTAAATCATATCAATGCTTTAGAAAATTGGTTATTGAAATTTGTGAAAGTTGTTGGCGATGAGAATAATCTATTACGCAAGCGAATTACTGAAATTGAAGGCAAAATTAAAGGTAATGAACTTATTGGTTATTGCTGTCCCTATTATTATTATTATTAGCATTATTATCGTTCTAATAATAATGTATCTAAACCGTCTCATCACGTGTTCTACTCAAATTATTATGTGTACTTAATATTAACCGTGTTATTATTTATTTGTTGAACCATTATCAAAACGATAAAGAAAAGGAGAAGTGTTGACAGCACTGATCAATATGACGTAGTTACATTGAATAGTCATAATTTAAGACATATATATATATATATATATATATATATATATGCACACTCACACGCACACACATACACACACGAATACCTGATAGTCACTATGTCATCATATCTGTTGCTTTTTTTTCGAAATGATTCTTGATTGATCACTTTTATGAGTGTAATGATGCCCCACGTGACAATCACACATTTGATGATGATTGTCTCTTCTTCTGCTTCTGGCTTCATTCTACGCCAATAGATCATGTAACTCTCATTTGTATTGTATGTATGCATGCACCTAATGTGTGTTTACACACTCAAGAAGAATGTTTCAGTGACATATTGTAATATGTTTTTTGTTCCAACGAGTATATATATATATTTATAATATTTACTTTTTTTGTAAATTTTGCGTAGATATTTACTTGAAGTAGAGATTGTGACATAGCAACAATACACATAGACATCATGATATCGAGATTTATTTATCCTAATGTGTTGTTACTTTAATCGACAAGTATTTTGGTTCATGTTATTTGGCATAGTTTGCAATGTATGTAGAATCTCAACTATTGTCATTATGGTAATTAATTAGTAGTACACATTGAAAGCAAACAATAGTTATCATGAAAATGTAACTCGAATGTATTGTGAATTATGTAGTATCATAATAATAATTATAATAATCATCATCTAGATTGGTTGTCATTATCATTAACTAAGCTGACTGTCATTACATTCCATTGTTTACAGACAGTTATAATTCATGATTCTTTTCTATAAATTTTTTTTGCAATGCATTTTTGATGCATTCACTGAATGAATACACGCAAAATGAACATTAGTCATATCAATCATATGAATTGATCGACAACAATGACAACAACAACAACAACATTTTATGCTTTATTTTATTGCTATTTTTTTTATTTTTTTTGTTGTTGACATATTACTGACATTTAAAATTGTAGCTTCTAGTTGATTATTTGTAAGATTTGCTTTTGGCTTTACTATTGATTATTATTATTTATGATTATTATGATTATTATTTTTTTCTTTAATTTACTTGTAAACATTTGTAGCTATCATAGAAAGTCATTTGATTAATCTACAAGCTATTTATCCTAAAGTACAAAATATTCCACATATGAAAAAGGTATGCATTTTTGCCATTCATTCTTTCTTGTCTATCATTTTATTTATTGATTCACATAGAAATTAAATTTCAATTAATCATTTCATATCAAGTAGCCGAGAATGAGTTACACCCTAAATATATATACATTAAGATGAACAGATTCTATTCGATTGTTCAAATTAAAGTTCAAGTGTTCGAATTTTATTCAAGCTAAATCAGCTACTAACTGTATCGAGTATTCATATTGTTAACGCGATTATGATTAATTTCACTATCACTGAACTTTCCTGTTGAAATTCAAAAACCGTCAAGTTTGAAATAGGTTTTAACGGAATTACAAATCGGTTATTTGTGTTCAGTTACATCTTTGTCTCTGTATATCGTCACTTTTATAAAAACAAAGATAATATATCAACGGGACTTTTCATGTAGTCATTTTGTTGAATTGTGTAAGGGCATTAATCGTCTGATTTAATGCAGTTTTTTGATTCTGCAGACAGTTGTGTTTCTCTACAAGCTTTGTGTGTTGTCAGACATGGCTGTTTTTAAACATAACTGCCTGGCCTGAACTACATGTTTAAGACAGCCCATGTTTTGTGTTACGAATGCCCAACCACCGACTGCCTCGATCAGCTATGTTTTGTGGTGTAGGAATAGGTTGGAAGAAAGCTAGAGGGGTCGACTATCTGGTTGGGGCCTGCAAGATGATCGTAATCGATGATTAGAGACCCTGAACGACATGGCTCAAAATCGTTTACAATGGCGCAGATGCATTCATTCTTTCTGTTCTCTCAAATCCTAAACTTCTGGATTCTTCAACACCTCTAGTTTTGACTTTCTAAACTTATCTCACTGAATCATATTTCTAGAATAATATTGTCTAATCCTAACCTCTCCGATTACTTCTAATACCATTACTACCTCTACTACTATTGGATTTGAATTGACAATTACATCTCTGTACTGATGTGGTATGGCAACATGAACTGATGTACTTACGTACAAAGTTCTACGTTGCCTCTGACTGACTGTCTGCATTAATATACATAATGTTCATTTTACACCGAATAAAGCTTACACGTCTATTACTCTGTCCGAAATTCATTCTGAATTTGATATCGAAAGTATTGACCGAGCTAATCGCTTTTAATTTTTCTCCTCCCCCTCTCTTTTGTTTTTTCGTAAAATGTTTCATAGCCTGAAATTGCTAATCCAATTCTATTACCTGGTGAAATAGCTATTCCAATTGGTGGTTATGATTGTTTATCCTGTCATCTATTGCCAGATGGACGTTGTGAACGTAATGATTATCAATTATTAGATCCATTCAATAGTAATATTCATGATGTAAACGGTCTAAGTGGAGGTCATATGAATGATCACAATGACAATAATAATCACCATCAAGATTCATTGATGAATATGGAATCAAGTGATCTAGACGTGGATCTAATGCTTAGACCATTGTTACCTGCTCAAGGAGCATTATTTGTTACTAATTATCGTATAATATTTACTGGTGTACCGAAAGATCCATTTCGTAAGTTTTGATAAATTATCAATTAATTCAATCAGTGAATATTTTTCCCAGGGAATTTTAGAAATTATCAAACTAATCAGGCGAATTTATAAATCAGTGATAGCAGTGGAATAAAAGGTACAAATCGATAGCATGATAATAAGTGTACTATGCATGATAAGATTAATCAAGTCTCGAGTCAAGGCTACATAATAGGGAACTAGGTCAAACAACTTGGAAAACAAGAATCCGGTATAACATTCATTAGAATTATAGATTACTTAATAAGAAATGTTAAGATAGTTGCGTGAAGACGAACTCAATCACAAGTTACATTTTCTTGATGCTCTGTTAAACAATTGAAGAAAGTGTCTATTGAAAAGGTTCTCCGTCAAGCCGGTAAACAAACTTTTTAGGCTTTATACCCATTCATCATAACAGGAACCTAGTTAGATGTCTTGCAAATAGAGCTAATAATATACGTTTAGATGATATGGTAAATAAACAGCTAGAGTTTATTAATAATATGTTCATAAAAATGAATGATCCCAAATATTTTCTGAAGAAACATCTATGTAAAATTCATAAGAAAACGGTGAGTAGAAAACCTCTCTTTTCTGAAACGATCTAGCTGATGGACAGTGTAGACATCAGCAAATTAGTTGTTTTCTTTTCTCCTGTATCAAAAAATACCTTCGATTTGTGTATACTTTCTTGCTTCATAGATTGACGACAGTATGTATTTTCAACCGATAACGCATATAGCTTTTTTTTGAGAAAATTACGCTTACTGTTGACCGGTATCGTACACGTTTTTAACGTTTCCAATTCAACATTTGGTGAATTTAAATGACTAATTATTTTTACTTCATTTTTGCTGATATCAAAATATACTCATTCATTCAGAAAAAAAGCACTATTTTGTAAATAAAGTTAAGTAAACACGATTTACAGAATAACGTGAATTCATTATATTTGAAGGCTACTCATGATTTTTAAATGGCCTTAGTTTATGTTAGTAATGTCAAATGATTTAACATACCATGAACGAACGAAGTTCTACTTGAGATGGCATAATAAGCCAAACACCGCATTCGACATAGTAATAAAATCATTTAGAAAAAGGTATATATATATTTTTTTCTATGTGGTTATGAAGATTGTCGAGTTTCATTGAAATCATGAATCGATCAATGTTAGAACACCATTAGAAACTCGGAAGCACTGGATGTCCCTTTCATCCAAGTATGGGACTCACCATCCGTTCGCATCCATAAGCCCGGCTCACGGTAATTGAACCTAGGACCTTTTGTCTGATGCCTGAACGCTTAAACTATGGACCACTGAGCTGGCCTCTAACGATGTTACTGTGTAACTCCACTGATCACGACTGTTAACTAGAGCTTGGAGAAATTACCTCAACTAAGCTTATACATTTTGAAATATAAATTTGTTTTTTTTTATTCTACAGAATCTAATAAAGTCATCAATCGAAGTTTTCCTATATCTGCATTGAATACTATCAAAAAGCTTGGTTGTATTCAAATAGTCACTGCTTTTCAATCATCATCTTCAACAAATCCTAATCCTGTAGCAACAATCACATCTGGTTTTCGTTCTGCCACATTATTTGTTGGTAAAAAATCTAAATCACATACAATGCAGTATAAAAATGCTGCTTCATCAAAATATTTCTCTCCATCATTACGTCCAATGTATTCAACTACTACTTCAAATAGTCGTGGTGTTATTTATCGTACTGAAAATTTAGATGTTCTATTATTACGTGCATTAACATTTCAAATGCTTAAAATTGGTTTTGATGTCGGTGAAATACAACCGGAAACAAGAGATGAACTACGCAGTCTACTAGAAGAATTACGCTATCCATCAATGATGTGCATGGGATTTAATTCAGCTCCATTGGGATTACTTTTCTCACGTTCTACAACTACAATTGGTAGGAGTACTATGCTTATAGATCCACATTATAATAATAATAATAACAAAGACTATATATCACCAAATATGGTTCGTATGAAGCATATAAAAGGTAAAATGTATCGAAGCAACAATGTATCAACAAATGGAAATTATGCTTCAATGATGAATAAGGATCGCAGGTATTTACAATTTTCCGGTTGTGTTGTTTTATTTATCTGTTTGTTTGTTTGTTCGAGTTATTTTATCTTTTTTTTTAAAAAAAAAATTTCAAATCTTAAGCAAAACACTCCAGGAATTCCATTTTTCACAATACTTTTTCTAATGAATAGACCAGTAATGATCCTCATTACTTAGTGCCTATCGTTTGTGCAGTTGTCATCAAGTAACTGATATTCAACTGTTGGCTATTATTGATTTATGATTGTGTGTATTTTCTTCAAATAATCCTATTGGAAGCGGATAAATAACCAGTTAATTATTGATCATACAGATAATCAAACAGATATTCCCATGTATACTTTGCTTTTTTACTCGTAATCGATAACTTTTTTTATTTGACCTTTCTTTCTTTCTCTCTCTGTGTAACTGCTCATATCATGCCAGCAGTACTAGTGATTAAGCAAACATGAAATTTGATACTGATAAGTGATGTTAATCATTGTCAACCACTCAGTCATTATAGGATTCGAATAATATAACACTACGATTACATACATGATTAATCGTAGATGATGCTAGTTTGAAGCATTCTACAAGCCATTCGTTATTTTGCCTAAGGTTATTTGGTTTCATGAATTAAATATTAACTGTTTCTTATAACGATAATCATAATTAAAAATTTCCTTATTCTAATTTCTCCCAACAATATCAGATACATTTTACCAACATTAACATGAAATCTAGGGCACATGGTTTATTATTATTATTAGTTAACTTCAACCTGCTTTGATACACTAACTAGATTCACGAACTTGTTCATCAATAAATCAATCAATCAATCAATGTAGATTTTATTCTGTTTAATTATTGATCATTTTTTCTTCTGATTTTTAGACGTACACAAAATAATCAGCAATTAGTTAATACAGACAATAAAACTCCAATGTATCAATCATCATCTCGTTCGCCTAAGAGCAATCATTATAATCAATTAAATTATATGCGATCTACATCTTTTCCAAATTGTAAGTTTTTTTTTTTAATAAACATTCTATAATTATAAATAACTTTGGTAATAATTAGGAAATAAACACTTTTTAAAAGTACTAAATATATACTATACATTGGTTTATGGGTGTGTTTATTCACTGTGAAATGATGACTCAGTGGTGAATCTGTTCAACTTTCATCTATTGAGCTGCGAGTTTGATCTGAAGTTGTAGTATTAGTGAAAATCAAGGATTATTGGACAGATGTTTTACCCCGTGCAAAACATATCATAGTTATGTGTCCATGAATTCTCTAGGGATTGAATCTGAAGCCTTTACCATTTCGTCCAACGTAGATCGTAAATTACCAAGAAACATTTCAGACTGCATTTTTTTTATCCCTGAGCCCATCAAATATTTCATCCTTTCATATAAGCAAATGATGTACAGAAACGCAAATTATCATTAACGTTTTACCTTATTCTTTTGCAAGACGGTGTTTTCCCCTTAAGAGATAGAGAATTCAGTTGTCATAAGTTTCTACTTTCTAATTCTAATTATTAATGTCAACTAAGGCTACTGTTCTCAATTATCGGTTCATTTAGTATCAACACATGTGAAATGGAATGAATTGCAAACATCTGGTTTACCTTGTTTTCAGTGATTCTACTTAATGCAATAGTTTGTATTATTTAAGTTAATAATTCAAGAGCAGTTTAAACCTTTTATTTTAACTTTCGTTTTTTTTTAAAAAAAAAAATTCCTCCAGCTATTTATTCTGAAGAAGCAGCTGCCAATTTAGCTTCTGCATTGAAAACTTTTCTAGTACCTCCATCTATATCTGCATCATCAACCGCATCCACAGTAGTTGATCCAAATTTTATAAAACTGTTAACTCAATCTTCAGGCTATTTAGATATGGCACGTTTTGGTAGTAGTTTCAATCTTGCAACCACTACGGGTACTACATTGTTGACCGTACCAACAACATCAACACAGTCAACTAATCTTCAAGTAACATTAAATGAAAGCAGTACCGGTTCTTTGTATCATTCTTCTTCTACCGTTTCCGGAACTGGTGGGGATGTCGCTAGTCGAGTACATTGTGCTGCTCGTCTTGTTGCGTTCAATGTTCATCATAGTTTGGTTAAATCTTATCCAAGCGTTTTTATCATACCACAGGTAATTTCGTTGTATACGTTTATTCCACAGTTTTGATTATAATGACTTGGTAGTGATATTTCATATTAGTTTCATTTATTTTTGTTAAACTGATTTAGAACAATCAACCAGCTACAATGTAAAACCTCGTACGTACGCAAGTACGTATGCATCTGCACCATTGCAAACGACTTTGAGCTATTTCATTCAAGGTCTCTAACCATCGGTTACTATCATCTTGCGAACCCCAACCCGGTAGTCTACACCTACTAACATGGCTAGGTCCAGCTGTCAATGACTTCATTGATTTGTGCCATGTTTCGGTTTGGCCACTCCTAGTTTTCTTCCAACCTATTCCTTCACCAAAGAACATTGCTTATCGAGACAGTCGATGGTTCGGCATTCGTAACACAAGTCCCAACCACCTCAAATAATGAACATTCAATACTTCACCATTTTATCTACCATCCTTACCTTGTACTCTTTTCCTTACAGTATTACTTACTCGAAAGTACCAAGATGTGCGAGCAATGATTTTAAAACATGCATGATTAACTACTAATAGCCTGTGATTATCCTCTACTCTAGCTGGCAAAGTTGCCTACGGGATCAGTGACGAAAGTTTACAAAAGCCAATCGAGCCTTAAGCATCCGTGTGAGATTTCGTCACACAGAAGGCCATCAACACTGATGAGACTTATAAGTTAAGTAAAACGGTCAAAATACTTCACTTCTTACCACTAATTCAGGTGGCGATACAATTTAATGCTGAAGAAACATTTTGCATTTCAAGGGGGAAATCGCATCACGAACATGCTTCCATGGTTGCTTAAGGTGGTCAAAAGACTGCATTTTGTCAGCGTCATCACAAAATAGAACTATGTCACCGGCACATTCTTAGTCAATAAGCTTGTCTCCTGGTAGAAGATCATCCATCTCCTCAAAGGTGAGACTATGAAAGTGTCGTCTCTAGAAGCATGTCAATGACAAAGTTGAATAAGAATGGCGTAAGTGAACAACCCTAACGAACACCACTTGACGTGATCAGTTCCAATGATAGTTCTCCAAACGCTTTGCTTCGACCGGTAGTGTTTGAGTAGAGACCTGGTATATGATTAATGTGCTTCTCTGATACTCCTCTCAATGAAAAATACTACTAGATAACCTGACTGTTAACAGAGCCTGACGTTTCCTTGAGGTCAAGGAATACAACTGTTGTCGGAAGCTAAAACGTGTGTCTGTGTAAAAGGTCCGTACTAAGTATGAATATGTGGTCTATACATCCGTGTGAAGGTGTGAAACCAGCCTGGATTTATCGGATTCACTTTTCAGGAACTCTATTTAGGCGTTGAATTATTATTGAAGCTAATATTCTAGTTAGACTGAATTTTCTGTGTTTGTTACAAGAGTAATTTTATCCTTTCTTATGGACTGAGACCATTAGTGATGGCAATACGTCTGGTTACGGGATTCCAGCTAAGATCTCAGTCAGTCTGACTGCTAAAACGGATCTACCATTTCTAAAAATCCCAGGAGTTAACTTACCAGAGCCTGCTGCTCTCCTTCGCTTCAGATTTCTTGTAGCCTTCTTAACTTCATCGAGATTCGGAGGGCATATATCAACTTCCCATTCAGGTTGAATGGAGATGGTAGTTAGGCGATGTATCACAAAAGGTCAACTAAACCGCTCCGTAAAGTGATCTACTCTTCGATCCAACATATTGGATCGAGTGAATAATAGGGCCATCTTTTACCGAGATATTCTCACTAACATTCGGATTAATAATACTGGTTTCCTTGATACGTTTGATTAGTGGCCTACGGTTACTTATCGCAGCAGCTTTTTACATCTCTCTTGCTTTCGCTCCTCATCATGTTCAGAGTTAGATGGGATGCGTTTCTGAGCGTCTATCAGTTCATTAGACGTTACTGAAATCCTCTGATTTTCTCTAACGTTTTGGTTTACGTTGCTGGTAGATATCACTGTTGTTTCTACGGCGTTTTGGATATCAGTTGAAGCTGCCTCAGGATGGGAATCACTTGCATGACTGCCTAATTGCTTTTCTAGGTGTTCCTGAAATATAAGCTTCTCTTTGCTGTCGTCTTGTAGAATTCAAAGGGTTTTACATGCTGTGTCTTTCTTACCTCCTGTTAGATACAAACAAATACGTGCTAGGACTAGAGCATGATCTGAATCTAAACATGTGCTCTCAAACGTGCGGTATTTTCTATCGATCCTCTCCACTGGTGGCTGATAGCGATGTGATCTGTGTGGGTGGATTTTGCGAAGATGTTTATTCGTATGCTTAAAGTTAGTACTTGTCAGAAATAGGCGGTTATGTGAGCATATCTGTTCGATTAGTTGCGACACCGTGAGATTTACTGGTGTCTCTGAATTTCACTTAGTCCACCTACTTGATGATTGAAGTCATGAGGCACTATTACCACACCAAGGTGCTTAAGTTTTTGGAGGAGGTTCGAAAACTTTCTGTAAAAGCCATGTTCTACCTCGTCTGAGCGGCAGTGAGTGTGTGCATAGGCAGAGACAACGAACATTTACTGTCCTGTTTATTCGGACAGCGCATATGCGACGACTATCTATTTGCATGGAGTGTAAGAGAGTGAGTTCTTCTGTGGACCTAAGTGCTTTTCCTACACGATTGAAGCCTGGATAAGCAACAGCAGGTTTTCTCGATACACGGAGCGTAAATGGAGACGGTTGTTTATGTGGACAAGGTGAAGTGAAATGAAGAATTGTACTTGTATACTGTATGTAGGTTTGTGAAACTCAGCGTACATCGATTGCATGAGATTGTAGAGTTCCAGTTAAGGAATGTTGATGTCCTATTTGACAGATTGTCTGTACATTGAAAGCTGTGACATGTAGTTTAGATTTTCAGGAGACTAGGAATAACGTTTCGCGTCATAGTAGCATCTATGGCCGTGAATAGATTATCGTTTTGTTGGTTGGTACTGTAACTTTAAGCTTGTACTATTTTCTACCATTCGCATTGATAATTTTCTAATGTTTTGTTAATGTGATGATAAAAGGTTTAACGGATACACCTATGTAGAAGGTTTTAGATTGTCTATGATTGTTAACTGGCTTACTCATTATAAATTGATAAATGTCAGTTGCCCTTCACCATTGCTATTTTGTTGTTGAAGGTTGAACAGTAGATATACTTTTTCCACGTTCTACCCTGATTATTTTGAGTCGTTGGTTTAAAAATCATATCATTGGCATAAATCTCATATTTTCTGTCTTTATATAGCATATATATATGTATTTATTTTGTCTTAAAGGGTATCACACAGAATTGTTTAACTAAAGTAGCTCGTTCACATAAACGTGGTCGTTTTCCTGTGGTCACATGGCAACATCCTGAAACTAAAGCATATCTATTACGTGGAAGTGAAATACAATCCAATGTAATTTTGAATACTTTGAAGAATATTAAAGTTTCATCTAAAAATAACACTGAAAATTATGGTATGTTGTTAATATGAATTTATACAAACCAGAGTTTTTCACTTATTCAAACTAATATTATAAATTGACGATTTAATTAATTTATAGTGGTGATGTATTGAATGTTATTTTCTTCATGACAAATTATAATGTGTTCATCGTGCAATAATTCACATATTCAGCATTCACATTGGAATGAAATTCAAAGAATCTAATTTGCGATAGAATTTTCTATTGAGTTGAAAATGTGATGATACCCCTCTTATATAGTTATAATATAAAACCGTATACATTTGATTTTGAATGTTTATTGTCTGTGGAGAAAAAAATATCTATGATAGTATTGATTTATTAGTGAAATTCATGCCCTCACTAGTGTTAATCGGTTATTTATGCAAACGGATTAATTTTACTTGATCATTTATATTGTTCTATGAAAGTACTATCACATATCAGGAATAATTTTTAATATAAAATAAAATAAAATTATAATCTGATTAAAGTTTAAATTATATCATTGGACATCAGTTATCTTATTAGTTAGACGATGGTCATCAAACTGGAAGCTCTTGGTTTCGACCGTTGACTGACTGACTGATGAGGGCGTACTGTTGTTAATTCATATACTCTAGACTAACTAACTAGGTGAACAAAGCTCTCTAGTTTTCCATAGTATTTAAATTGCGATCAATTTATGATATGTGAAACTTTTGGAAAAACAAAATGAAATAACTTATTTGAATACTTTCATTGTATATACTCTATCAGTTTTCGATTCAACAATTGGCAACTGTTTATTTTATTTTATAAGCAGTATATGAGTACTTTAAAGTATTTTTTTTTATTTAAAAAAACAACATTTTCTTTTCATAGACGATAATGCTGATTCTACATTGACTCATGCAACTGTCTCTAAAGAACATATACGTTACATTCGTGCACTGATCGATATGTCTTTATCAGCTATTAATGGTAGTCGACCAAATAGTGTTATCACATCAGAGACTGGTTATTCAGCAATAGATGATTTGTCAGATTCATCACAATTACCTATTGTTACAGATTCTACCACAATTGCTTCTTCAACAAATCAACTATCAAAAGAACCTCTTAGTCCAGCTATTCCATATACAACGAATAATAAAACAAAATGTAAGTTGATAATATCTCTTATTGTTTAAATGAATTATAAATTATTAATGGTGACATAAATTCTAGTGAAATTACATCTGTACAAATTGTATTTTGACGTAAGTAATCGTTTTGTACAGTGTAAATCACTAGCTGACCTTAATTTGTTAGTTATTGAAAACCAAGAAGTTTTAAAGGACTATTTCTTATCAGCCTGAAACTCTTTATCAGCAGCAACACACATCCATGATCTCACTAGGTATCAAACCCAGAACATACAGATCTCGCGATGAACATATAATCTTAAAATCACTGAGTTGATTTACAATGTATTGTAACCTCCATTCTATTGCTAATACGAGTCACCACTTCAAAGACTAATAACAAATGATAATACAAGCGAAGAGTTTATTGATCTTACAACATCACATCTTAACTTTTGAGGTACATTCATTTAGATTATATTATTTTTATATACATACACTTGATTATTATTTGATAATATTATGTATGGTCATTTATGAGATCAATTTATGCAACAACCAACATTTGTTCAGTGAAATTTTACATTGAATTGATACAAATAATATTTGCGTGTAACAAATATTTCACTATTTATCCTGGTCTTATTACACTTATGATAAGTATGAAACAGAGATATACATGGATATATCTATATATATATATATAATCATTCACATATTATATTCACACTTAACCTTTTACAGTAAAGAAATACAAAGGTGAGTTTCAGATCACGTGTTTATGACAAACAAAATACATTCAATAATACAGATTAACCTGTGTGAAAAGTTTGATCGTCCTTTATAACTTGATTCGTTTCTTTGGTGTGTGCATTGGTTTTGCGCATTATTATTACTTTTCAAAATCAATAGGATTTATTTCTTTATTCTTTATCGATTGATATTTTCCCTAAAATACTTAACTGAGTTATATATATATAGGTTAAAATAAATTCCATTGCATTTTACCACACCAAACTATACAAAATAATTCTTTTGAACTTTTATCAACTACTTATTAGTAATAGTAGTATAGTTACTGCAAAAAAAATACCTCCTACACTGTTAGACGATTTACTCTTCAAAAGTTTTCACAAAGTCGGTTGAATTCAATTTTAATGTGACCAGTAACGTACTTCACTCCTAAATATGTTTTTTTTCTTTAGTTGAGGAAACTTTTATGCGATGACTTCTTACAAATTATCACATCATAACAGTTACACTTAAAAAAAAATTGATTTGATAATCTGTTCGTCTCCAAATAAAGAAAATTTTATCATTTCTCTCACTTTATTTATTTGTATTTTCCTTAAAGTGTAATTTGATTGCAAAATCAAATGTAGTTCTCGTTATGATTATTTAGTTCGTCTAAATTACACTAATAAAAACAAATTATTTAAATAGACTTTGTCTAGACAATTTTAGCATATAAAACAATTGGTAGAAACGGCCACATTGCATAGTTCATGTCATTAATTATTCTTAGTTGGATTTCCATTGAAAATTAATGAGTACTGAATAGATGGGATGCGTTTCGGAGCGTCTGTCAATTCAATAGACGTTACTGAAATCCTCTGATTTTCTCTAACGTTTTGGTATATGTTACTGGTCGATATTACTGTTGTTTCCACAGCGTTTTGGATATCAGTTGAAGCTGTTTCTGGATGGGAATCACTTGCATGACTCTAACTAACAAGGTTAAGCACTATAATAAATTGATTTCCGTCCTTTCACTTCCTCTCTACATGGATAAATATACAGGGAGGCTTAGTTTATTTATATTCATTTGAATTTATAATGATTTTCACGTATTTATCTTTTTTTCCGTACTTCGATACTATATTTTCTTTGGTATTACTTACTTACGCTTGTTACCCCCAATCGAGCATAGGCCACCTACCAGTTTTCTCCAACCAACTCCGTCCTGGGCTTCCCTTTCCAGTTCTGTCCAATGTTTGTTCATTCTTCTCATATCTTTCTCTATTTCTCGGCGTAATGTGTTCCTTGGCCCTCCTCTTTTCCTTTTGCCTTGAGGGTTTCATGTGAGGGCTTGTCTTGTGACGCAGTTTGGTGCTTTTCGTAGTGTATGTCCTATTTCTTTGGTATTGATGATGGCTAAGTAGCTACCATAATACAACCTGGTTCCGTAGTTGTTATTCTTGTGTTGCAATTCACAGTTTTATCATCGTTTTATTCATTTTTGAATTTCTACGCATGTTTTTTTCGCGTTTACCTCAGACGTTACACTTATCCTGCAACCTTATCTAACCAAAAATCTGTTTGCAGTCCATTTAATTTCCATGTATGAAATTTTATGCTTTATTTTCTCAATGACATCAATTGCGACTGAGTATGTATCGATTCAAACGTTTTTAACTTAAAGTTACGTAACTAAACAGACAAGGCATATGTTCATGTTATATAATTCATATCTCAAATACTACCTATTACTGTAAACAGAAGATATAAAATCATTCAAAGTTGAATTTGTAAAATTAAAACATTTCAAGTATGGAATAACATTCTACTCAAAGCTCTAACTACAGCTAGTTGTTAAATGACTAGCCAATAAATTATTAACCTTCTTGTCAACAAATAAATCACAACACTAACATCGATTTATCTAAGAAATAAATCAATATAACATAACACATTGAATTATAGCTATAATGCTGAATTGCAATCGGACTAATTTTTTAACCTAACCCCTTTATTCTCTTCTCCTCTATTTGCTTTCAGTTCGTGATGGTAAGATTGTTGTTGTTGATGATTTTAAAGCTATTATCCTTTTTGTTTTTAAATTTTTTGTCAAACATATTCCTTTCATTTCTGGCTATATATATGTATATTTGTATATTTGTATATTATTTCAAATGATTCCCACATGAAAAAGAGTGTAGTTGTTTTGTTTTCATTTGTCTAGTAGTACGTTTTCTTGAAGGGAACAATCTATGATTGTATTCGTTTGTTTCTCTTGAATTGTTTTATTCTGATTAAATAATGATTTATAACAAAAGCTAAATATATTTTAATCAAAAATGTCGAAATAATGGTCGAATCCTTTTTCATGCAATTGCAATTTATCTGAAACAGCGCGCTACTGAATATTTAATTTTTTGTGTGTTCATGTTTATTTGACTGTGTTTTTGTTTTTTTTTTTAATTTTTCTCTCACATTGTGCCATTCACTGTTTGATATTGGATGTTGTTCTAATATATCATTTTCGAAGTGTTTGTGAAATTGTTTTGAAGGAGTTGATGAATAATATCGCTGTTATTGTTGTTGTTGTTGTTGTTGTTTTGATTCGTTTGTTTTTTCTACTTCTTCTTCTTCGCCTTCTTTGCTTTGTGTTTGTCATTGTGTTGGGCAATGATTTTGCTTTTATTTTTTTTCGCTTAATCCTCCTTATTTGAATTACTGTGTTTGTTGTGTGTGTGTGTGTGTTGTTTTTTGCTGTTGTTGTGAATTCGAATTAATTTTTTTCGTTTTATTTACTGTTCATACTTTTTTTTGCATATTGATAATGTGTTCGCCTACCTTCTCTATCGATTATCATGTTATGTTAGTTTTTTTTTAGCGCTTAATAATCCCATAATTTTTCATTGTATTACTTCGAATTCGACTTGTAGTTTATTGATTAATGTTAATTAGAAATTAGATTTTACAGGAAAACTTAGTCATGTCCCTTGCAATTTATTGACGTTTAAGAGAAAAAAAAACCAGCACGAGCTCGTTTCGTCATAGCAACGTTTTTACTTGTATAAGTAAATGCTGGTAGTGTCATGTCAAATGAAATCAATGGACGTATAATAAATGCTCAAGCGGCTCATCTCAGTGTTTCTAGTCTGTCTGTTGTATATATATAGTCGACTTTACAATACATTTGTGAGAATAGTTTTGCTTATTGTTTTTGAAACCTGGATTCTACCGAGTTGAATTTATCCCTAGGATCACTGATATTCAATGGCAATACTGTGTTAATTATGAATGTGTGGGTTTAGGGCACAGTGATAATAAATCTGTTTGTGTCAGATGCTTGAAACACCAGCTTCTTTGACCTTGACATATGTTCATGTCAGTGACTTCCACATTATAAGTTTCTTGCTGATGCTGAGACACTGATCAGAGAAAACTGTGATTTTATGGTGCTATGCTACAAAAGAAGCCTATGTACAACTCCTCCATTCGGCTTTTAGAGATAGAGGCTTGTAAAGTTACCACATATGGTCCAGAGTGCAAATCACTAACAGGCCTGTATTAACTTTTCTTTACATTCTGCATAAATGTGTGGGCAACTTCTGTGCTTGAAATATTTATTACTGGTTATACACCTCCCTGACTTGACTTGTTCCTTGTTGATTTCTTTTTTCCTAATTACACTTGTCCTTTCTCCTTCATTCCTTCGTAGTCTCATCTTATTTATGCGGTACATATTTTTGTTGCCTGTTTTTATCAGGTTCTTATACAGTGGGATTGTAGAGGCGTACACTTAGTGTTTGTCTTAAATATTTGTATCTGATAATACTGAAAATTTCGTGAAGTTTTCGTGTTCGAACCTACACTACAACAGTTGCCAAAAAATTAATTAGTTACATCACTAACCATGGTTTCGATCGGTCATTATCAAAGGTCGACTGAAATGTTTCTAATTATTTTGAGACTTATTTAGGCGGATTAGTAATGGGTTCTCTCTGTTAATTAAATATTTATACAATTCACTTCCATTTGAAATGGTTTGAATTATTCTGTTTTTGATATTTTTACTGGAATTTCATCAGTTTCAGCTGGTATATGTGTGTATTGCCTTGATGTAGTCATTATGAAACAAGTTTACTTGGAATAGATAGAATGCGTCTAGCAGTTGAAGCCAAGACGAGCATTTTGTCTTATTCGGGACTTGTCAGATGGATGTATCTGCAACTCAGACTAAATGTTCACTCCAATTTTCAGTCGAAATATCAACAACAGAATAATACAAACCATTTAAATTTGAATTAAATTTCATACTAAATTCACAAGTTAGTGACTATTTAGACTCAGTAGCTAAGTGCACAGTATGATTACGTTTGAAGCTGAAGGTATCAGTTTTGAGTGCCGTAGTGAACTGCAATTCAAAGATGCATATACATCCAGTTAACGAGTCATAAACGCGACGAAATGTACCTCGTTCTGTCCACTGCTTGCCGCATTCAATCTATTCTATATTTAATCGTATTTATTTCATAGTTCCACATCGAGAATTGTTCACTTTTACCTTTTACTTGTATCGGTTGGAAATCATAACAATTAAATACTTCATGATCGCGTTATTACCTTATTTTGGTATTTAGTGTTGATATTTATATTGATTCTTGAAATATACTACTTAGTATTGTGACAGTTAATTAGTCATAATTGATGTACAGGCTCTCTTCATAACGAGATGTAATTGAAAAGATGAACAACGAAGAAGTCTATGTTATACTAGCAGTACAAATAACAGTGAGAATAAGATCTCAGTAGGCGCGATGTAACGGTAAACACGAAGAAATACTGTGAAGTCAAAAAGCTTAACTGCTTCATTCCCCTTGATATCATCATAGTTTTTGATTCAGACCAGTCTGAAAGTAGCATTGTGTGATATAAAGCTCATCGCTAAACCCCATTACTATTGTGAATGAATGAAAACTGTAAAATACAAAGTACAATAAATGTGTGGATAATTTGCATTTGTGAAATATTTTCGATATGTTTTCATGTTCATGACATATACGAAGAACAACATACGATGATATGATGACTATAGTAAAACTATGAACAAACAGAAAGTTCACCTTTGAAGTGTGTGATTGTGTTCTTTCTTTTCTTCAAAATATATATCATCACTTTATGTGTACTAACATCGTGTGAATTGAGTTTTCCTTAGAAATCAACTCACAAGTGAAGATATTTGACTTTTTTGAGTAGTTCGCACTACAAGTCCACCTTGGATTGAACATCGGTGTTAGGAAGTAGGAAGTAGTCATTAGTTCAGCCTGTCAACGTACTGTACTTAGATTCCTTGCTATTTAGCACTCGGCATCTAAGGAAAGTGAGGATCTCTATGGGACTCGGATCAGGGTTACTATCAATCAAGCTATTGACATCATGAGCGACCTCACATACGACTTAATTGTTTAAAACTAACTGATCAGTACTAACTTTGTCTACTTCTCATTGTTTACGGAATTCAATTAATCAAGTTTTAATGTGACCATTGATATGGCATGAATTGTGTTGAGATGTAAGGTGATGGTTGTAGATAGTAAACGCAACTAAGTCCCATAGGAAGTCACTGACGGCTCTGATAGTTCAGTTATAATTCTCTTTGAACCTAAAACTATTTGGTACGGAATCAAATCCTCCAGAAAGCAACCTGAAGATTTCATGTACATCTTGCTGATGAGAACCAAATAGCGAGAATCCCAAGTTCAGGGTTTCTTGTTGCCTACCTCCAACCACCACTTTGCTTCTCAACATGGTGTATGTATGTAAGCCACTTTGATTAATAGCCCACCTAATTACATGATAAATAAGATTTGATTAGTTCTCAAAAATGGTGGAAAACACCATTGGCGACTGCTCATTGAATCCTCAATTTTAAGTAAAACATCTATTCCACATAATTTTCACTTAATAAAAGTTCCCCAATGCGGAGCAATATAAATTAAGAATGCTTATCGCTTAAAATTAAATCCCAATCAAACTTTATCATATCTTTTTAGAGGAATAATATTTTTGGCTCTATATGAATTATTGTACAATAGACATATATCTGCCATTACATTTCTGTCTACAGTTTGGAACTGTCATACTAGCTATTATTGTGTATTAGTTGTATTGTATAAATTAGTTGATGCTTGTATTGTTTGATTTTTATATTCTCCTATTTCTAAGCATTTGTTTTATATCACTTATCACTAATTTGTGTAGATTTTAGTATTTGTTCGATTGTTGCTGTGCAGTTAGGCCTTTTTCTTGAGTATATTGTTTCAATGTGTTTCCTGTCATTATTGCATAGACTACAATAGTGAATAAGTTTTCTTTCTACTCTATCCTCTGTTTCTGTACTGGGTTAGCAGTTACTCAAGCTGTAATAGTGTGATGCGCCAATTCGGTAAATAGATCACTAGCTTATCGACATACAAGTTAACTAATCAGTAGTTGAACTAGAAAGCGATCATACAAACGCTTTCCCGTTATTTTGTCTCGGTCATGCTAGACGCAAAAACACTAACCAATATATATTTTTTCTTTCACTTAACAATGTTCTATTGTAAACAATGTACTCTAGTGTTCGTTATTTTTCGTTCATTTATGTTTGTCCGTTTTTCTCGGCTTGTTTTTCTTTCTTCTCTCTCTCTCTCTCTCTCTGTATGTGTGTTTGTGTATATATGTTCTTTGTTTTGTTGACTATTGTCCATTTCATTTTCCAGCTTTAGGAAGAATTGGTAAATTAGCTGCACGTCGTCATCGTTTACCACGTTCCGGTGTTTCACCAATGGGCAGTGTATCATCTGGATTAGGTGAAGATTTACTTGGTGCGGATAGTGCATCACAAACCACACATCTTCATCCACATGATTCAAGTTATCCTGGTGTTGTAGTCAGTCCTGGTAGTTGTAGTAGTGGTTTATCAAGTTCACATAAACCAATTTGTTTATATGTTCTGTGCGAAAAACAAATGACGAAGGTTAGTGTTTTCGAGTATGAATGATTACAGATGGAAATTTTTTATGGTTTCTACTTTGTTTTAGCTGTTTGTTACACAAAGAGAGTCGTGTGTTATTACTGATCGGTTACTCCTAATCACCATCAAAAATGATACCAATGCGATTATTCGATTCTATAAATTTTATGACAATAAAGAATTCCCAACATTAATGCGTCTAAGTTTTGGTTTGGTAGAAAAAAAAACAAAAATAATTGTAAAATGTTATTCTTTAAAATTCTGAAGATTCTCATTACAAAAATTAGAACAACACATATCAAACGAACCAAATGATTTTCAATCACATAGTCAGTCATCAGGTTTTACTCTAACGCATACATGAATATTTGTGTGAAATTGTTAAACCAATCAAGGCAATTTGAGTGATAATCACAATGAAATGAAAAAGGCAAAAGTACAAGTGGATAGTAGGAAAATAGGTGAACAGATAGTAGTTCGAAAATTTATAAAATATGATAACTAAAGTAGGTCAAAGGTGGATGAATAGACTTCAAATAATCATTAAAAACATCAAAACCATTACGTAATAAGCAAATGTGTAAAAATAAAAAATATAATGTCAATCGTTAGTTACGTCATATCCGGCGACCACGGAAGAGATAGGAGTGTCACGAATTTCTTCTGAACACATAAATTAGGGTTGAATGTACGTATTCCTATGGCTCCTGCAATGTGTAGTAGACGAGATCGAACTCCGTTCGGAAATGATGGAGGTATACGAAAGATCACCCGAAAAGATCTAGATTTATCTACAATGTGACCACTATCTACCAGGTGTGCTAAGATAGAACTGCGTATTGTTTTTGACTGACCCTTCTTAAACCATGCTGAGAGATGTTCACTCATTCGTTGTGTAAGTTGCCTGGAAGTACACCCGATATAGCTATCTCCACAGGAGCAGCTGAATTTGTAAATGCACATAGAGGAGGCCAACTCAGGTAACTTATCCTTCGTTTGAGTAGACATCTCTGGTCGACAGGAGAATGTCAATGCAAGTTTGGCAGCGTTGAATGTTCTATTAATTACTCTTAATTCATTAGCCAATATCTGCCCTCGATAGTGAATCTTGAATACTTTCTGAATATTTGTCTCATGTCACTTTTCAATGAATGGATAAAGTAACAAAAGTGTGAATAACTGCATTATTTGCTATTTTGAGTACTTTATTGTTTCAATCAGTTGTATGTCAGTCATAATACTGCATAAATATACACAATTCGAATTCATACTTGTATTCAGTTCAAACAAATTTAAAACAGAAATATTGCTTACACAATTGTTACAGTCAGAAATCAAGTGACCCGAAAGTTTAAGCCAACTCAATGTTGTAATCTAATCATAATGTCTCAGACTGTAGTGATGCGTTGCATGGGCTCAATACCTCGTTTACAAGTTCTAATTAACGAGATGCCTCGATCTTACGAGGGGTTTTCTCTAGTCACCTTATATCTCACGCAATATTGAATCACTTGGCCTTGTAGCTTTAAAACGATTTAATCAAATGAAGTTCGATCAGTACTATTAGTTGGTTAGATAATGATTACTACTCTGGTTATACTACTGTACAATGATCAGTCTGTTACTATTTTAATTGTTAAATATGAATTTGTAAATTATTATTATTATTAGTTTATTCATTCATTTAGGTTCAATAGGATAGAGTGACTGAACGATGCATGATTAAATTGTCAATAGTTTTAGCTGATTTAAACAATAATAGACAGTTACTCAGTAAATCACATTTAGACTGTGACACCGGTGCTATTTAAGAATTTAAAGTAAACTTTATAAAAACTGTACAATAATACCTAATCGAGTTTAATGACTGCTTAACATGAAATGGACAATTGTGTTGCCTGTTGTTAATATGAAAGTAATTAAAATTACATGTCCTTTATTTTTTTGTTTAAAATAAAAATAACAAAAATTAAAAACAAATTGTTTAGAGTTGTTTTTTTTGAAAACTTTCATTGAAATTGTGCATAAACGCATACATAATTCAGTTGTGCTTGTTTTTGGAATTTGTCTAGCGAAACGAATTTCACTACTGATCGTCTTACATTCATCAATGTTAATTGTAGTAATTGTATAAAAAAATTTCTTATTGAATTTATCAACTAATCTGAATTAGTCAACTATTAAATAACCTAAAACCATTAAACAGTTGTCCCGTTTTGATTTCAAGTATTTAATGGCTAGTCTATTCAAAAGGCGGCTTATGATCTCCATAACAATTCAACAATCTCTACACATCTTCCCTTACAGATTATAAAATATCGATTTTTTTTTATTTCGTAATTCTTCTCTACTTTTTTTTTGCTTTTCTTTTATTGTTGCTTCTTTTTTGGTTTTTTTTTCCGACTAGATGTCAAAAATATTTAATTCATCATCTGTTCTCTTATTACCAATCGACTATCCTACAGTATCCACAGTGACTAAATCATTTAAAGGATTTTTCAAAGCATGCCTACCGAATGATTCGAATCGATCGAAAACAGCAACGAAACTTTTATCTGCAGCAGCATCTACAGCTGCTGGTGCTTCATTAAATCATAATAATACTAACAGTACTACTACTACTAATTCTACTACTCATACTATTGCTGCTACTACTGCTTCTAATAGTAGTAATAATAATAATAATATTAATCCTCAACACAATGATCATAGTCATGAAAATAATGCAAGTGAATACATGGAAAGCGATCATACTGCAACATCGAATATAACAAACAATAGTAAATTTATGAATGTTTACATTGAAGCTCATGAGAATGGTTGGTTTATCCATTTGAAATCATTGTTAGAATTAGCTGGCACAGTAGTGAATTTGTTAGATTTACAAGGTGCTAGTGTAGCATTATGTTTAGAAAATGGCAGTGATGTTGTGACACAAGTGAGTTGTTTTCTGAAATTATGAAATTATGAAATTGTAATAATGACGGTTTACCTTGTTTTCTGTTTTTGTTGCAATTCAATGTGATTTTTAGATATAGAACAAAATGAGAAGATGTCATTGATTGTGCATTTTTTTTCAGATCAATTGACATATCTTCTCATTGTTCTATTAGAATTTGGATTTAGGCTGGTGAATCCTTTTTGTTTGATAGATGTCGCCTTTTATTAGTCATTCAATGCGCACTAATCAAAACACAGTGATTTTACAGCTGAATAAAATTCATGAGCACAAAACGGTGTAGAGATGATGTAAGAATGAACATTTCTTTTTAGACAAGCAACTCGCGTGATCATGGAGCGAATTTGTGCTAGATCGTGTTGTTTTGTCTATTTAGCATTTTTTTTAAACTCATAAATATGCCTTCTTATGCACTGTTAACTTGTCGGCTAATGGGTTTCATTACAGTGTTTTGTGAATGTAAGCTTAACCTTCTTGAGTTTATGTTTAAATTAATCGTAGATGCTTATCACTGACATAATAATTTATGTAACAGTTTGTAAAACAGACTATCATGTTGAATATAGGAGGATTTCTGCCACTTGTTGTTATATAGGTAGATAGATAGAAAGCCTGAGATCTGTTTATTACATCTGTCTTCAATCGTAGTCGATAAAGATTCACTTCTCTCAATCGACTACCAAATTGTTATCCTTATCAATTTTTCAATATATATTTCTGTTTATATATAAATCTTTTCATTATTCTTTTTTTGTTATTGTATCTATCACATTCTCATTAATTTTCTATTTTCTATTTTTTTTTTAGACGGTATCACTTGTGCAAATTATGCTTGATCCATATTATCGTACAATAGCTGGTTTTTGGAGTTTAATTGATAAAGAATGGTTAATATTTGGGCATACATTCAATCAGAATTCAAATCAAACATTATCAACTAAATCGAATAATTTTTCACCAATATTTTTACAATTCTTAGATGCTGTACATCAATTGTTGAGACAATTTCCTTTAGCATTTGAATTCAATGATTATTATTTACAATTTTTAGCTTATCATCATTTATCAAATCGTTTTCATAATTTTAAATATGATTCTGAATTAGAACGATTCACTGTATGGTTTCCTGATTTAATAGAAAGTTTAACTAATAACTTGAAATTTGGCACAAGTATTAAATCAAACATAGATGAACATGTTTTAGAAACATATCATTCACGATCTATATGGCCATTTATTCAACATCAACATTATGAATGGCCTATATTTTTCAATTTTCGTTATTCACGTACATTTGGTGAAAAGGTAATGACAATCAATAAAATTGATAATATTTCACATTTTTTTGTTAATATTGTATTCTTAGTGAATTGTTTTACAGTGAAGTTAGTAAAATTGCATTATGTGAATATGTTTAATGAAAACGGTCCACTTCTCAAGGCTCACACATCCATAGCGTGAATGAAATTTCGTGATAAATGATAGAAACCACAAGTACGCACATTGGAAACATAGGTTTTCATCTATATATCCCTTGGTATACATATAGGTATTTCCGCCCCATGGTAAGCTAGATAGTCGTCACTCCCTTACACATATTTTCTACCACGGGCATGCACATCACTGGTACATAAACTTTCGTCTATGCACCTCATGATATATACATAAGCACAAGCACTCTCAGGGAAGATTGATGGATATCTTTCCTTAGTACTTGCTACTCATTTGGTATCCTATTTGTTAAGAGCCTTCAAAAATCCAACTCTGCCTGGAACCCCTGTAGAGGAGGAGCATTGGGCTTCGGGTTGGCGACCCCATCCCGTAGAAAACCAACTCTTTAAACAAACGCTAACCAGAGCAAATCATTTAAACCATTTTAACTCTGCACTGGGAATTAGAAGGTCTTCATTCAGAAGAGTTATGATGTCTCATGATGAAAGCCGAGTTCCTTCGGGAGTCACGATGCCGATGTCCCTTCTCACAATCAAAGCAACCATTGACTTAGCTACATGTAGTTTCGTACAATGTGGGACACCGAAAGACTGTTCCAAGTTGCTGCAGAAATGAAAAGATACAACCTGAAGGTGCTTGGAATCAGAGAAACGCAGGTTGGACAACTTGAACAGCTTCAGGAGAGCTACTGTTATACTCCGGCCATCAAGAAGAAAATGCCTCACACACAATGAGTTGCTTTGATGCTGTCTAAACAAGAACAAAAGGCAGTTATAGGATAGGTATCTCATGGACCCAGGATCATCAAAGCATCCTAAAAAACGAAGAAAAAGGCATTACAAAGAACGTCTTCCAATGCTTTGCAATTACTAATGGATACAATGAAGACGTTACAGATCAATTCTATGAGAGGCTGCAGTCAATCGTCGAAAGATTCTCATCAGTGGATTTGAACATTCTGATGGAAGACCTAAATGTTATTGTTGGCATGGAAAATACTAGATATGAAGATATAATGGGACGACATGGACTGGGAGAAAGGAACGAAAACGGTGAGAGATTTGCAAACATATATGCCGTCAACAAACTGATCATCGTCAGCACAATATTCCCACACAAACGCATACACAAAGCTACATGTTTTTCACCGGATCAAACTACTTGCAACCAAATCGTCCATATCTGTATCAATAAGAAGTTCAGATGGACTATGAAGGATGTGAGAACCAAGAGAAGAGCTGAAATAGCTTCAGGTTGTATAATACTGGTCGGTGTCCTATGCTCTATTGGGGTAACAGGTAAAAGTAAGTAAGTTCAGAAATCCACTAGAAAGATTTTAGCGGCTGTCAGAAGGTTCGAAACATCTTGGACGATCAGTATTTAACAGTAATAACAAAAGTACCTATAACAATAATAATCGTAATAGTGGCTTTATCCAATTTTGCGTGTTTAGTTCAAAACAGAATTCTCAGCGCGGAATATTTCAACAAGTTCTCATTGGCAAAATCAACGAAAAAATTACCAATAACCACATACTGATATACCTTAAGAATTCCGGTAGACGCTATTTGGAATTTATGACTCCATTTTTTCCAATAAGATGAGAATCTATCTAGCCTTTTATTGAAGCAACTTCTGACTAAATCAGCTCTTACCATCTGTTCGTCGCATGGTACATCGGCTAGCTAACGTTTCGTAGAATTTCTACAGCTTATGTGCAGAGATATCCCAGTCGCTTATATGAAATCGGGTAATTATTTATGTATGGTAGTTAAGGGGGCATATGATTGGTCATTGAGTGTGAACAAACCGGCACTTGGTCTACCGATCGTAATTTCCTTCCCTCTTCTATCCCAGACTCACTGTATGGAACAATGTTGTCTGTTATTGAAATCATGAATCAATCATTGTTAAACCAGTATTAGAAACGAAAGTACTGAACGATCGTCTCGTCCTAGTAAGGGACTCATCATCAATGCGGTCACGCATAAATACAAAAAACATCTTTGTTTTGTAACCTTTCGAAGTAAAGCTTTTCATACTTCCCATCGTTTGTTTTTTTTCTTACGAGAGTCGGTAGTGGAAAGAGATTTTTCCGTGGAGAGCTAGGAAGTTGTTTAAAGTCACTGTCAGACACTTAACTAGCAGATGTGTCAGTATAACAGGCGTGAATCTGTTTGTTTTTCTCTATACTTGATATTTTAAAGAGATTGAGTAAAATTAAAATTTGCTTATTGTATTTATTATTTTCATTGTTTTTATTTTGTAAGCTAAAATTCTTTCTTATTTTTCCCTCTTTGATTGTTTTTTTTCTTACATTACGCAACAGGTTCTTAGACCAGCGACGAATTTAGCTTCATTTGATTTATGGAAATTTTATTTAACTGAAGATTTAGCCACGGGTTCAATTTATGATTTAGATCATTTCTCACCTAGTTATCGCAAGCATACTAATCGTCCATATGAACCAGTTCTACGACAAGGATTTAATAATAGTCATATAGTCAGTTGTGATTGTTGTGATATTTCAAGTTTATTGTTTTAATGGTTGTCATTTATTATTTGATTATTCGTTTTACTGTTTAATATTAATATGAAATAAACACAAATTTCCAGTGTGTGAAATTGACTAAACGGATTAAATCTGTGTTATGTAAGCAGTATATCCTTGTTTAAATGATCGAATATGCCGAATTTTTTAAGTGTTTGTAGATAGTCAACAAGGAACTTTCTCTAACTCCCAAATTACGCGTTATTTGGTACTCTTCATAAATGTGCGCTTGTAATCTTAAGAGAACTTATGTCCAAGTAATTGAATGGTAATGTCTTAAACCATGAAACTGTTTGACGTGTATTTCAATCCCATAAGAAACATCAGTCCCCTCAAGATTGACGAGTGTCCACTGGCGCGAAGCCTCAATTCAAGGTTTCCTACTGACTACTTACAAACATCTAGTATCTGAGAATACTGCACGCTATGTTGAACCACTCAGACTAATACTGACAATGCTACTTACTCATCATAATTCGTTCAGCCCCAAGAAGAAATCGACAAACACAACGCTAGTCAATGATCAATCACTTGTAATTACATTTCTTAGTGTGTACAACGTAGTCTTATTCATTTTAAACCAAATATTTGTTTTTCACAAAAGAGTTACCTTCTAATTCGGGTTTGTCATAAGTATTTTTAATGTCTTGAGTCATTTCTGTTTGGTTATGTAGTTAATTCAATAAAATGAGTCCATATAATATTTTATAGTTAGTCTAGTTATTTGACGTTTACTTGTTTTCACATTTCAATCAAGTCAATCATAGTGGGGTTAAATTTTTTCTGTTGTTGTATTGTCTGTTCCGTTTTGATTGACCATATTTTATGCATTGTACGATTGATTCTTAAATAACTGCTTTTGGTACACCTCACTCATACTTTCATTTCCATCATTCCAACTGCAGTAATTAGAAATCTTCACAATACTTGCCGAAACCATGTTTGAGTAAACCAATTTATGGGAGTTGTAGTTGCAGCGTTTCATTCTGGCTGACTTTGACTAGAATAATTAGTGAATAAATAAAGGATTGAATCCTAACAAGTAATCAATTGTTTATCCGAAATTCACTTGTGATCTGATGAATTATCAAACGATTTTAAGAAACATTCTAACAGTTTTAGCTATTTGCGTTGAATATGTGATACTGAAGAATTTGATTGTATCAGAACAGCAGCTACACTGTCGAAAATCAATTATTCTAAACACATTACTAATCATTGTTAAATAGAAAAATTTAAATTAACAAAAAAAACTCGATATACATGATTTCAGATTTCTCTCAATATGGAATTTATTGGAAGTTTATATGTCATATCGTTTTTTTTTACTGTAACAGTTCGTACTGCTGAAATAAAACTCTAGTGATTACAGAATCATATATTAGCTTATCTGATAAGCCAAATCATGAGGTGACACGGTCTTAAAACATCAAGGCTTGTCAATTTACAAAAAAACTCGTATCATCAATATTTCTTAACTTTCAATATTATGAAAGTTTCAATTGATAACTGTCATTTCGGTGTATGACAGTCGGGTTGTGGCAATTTTCCTGTATTGATTCAAATAAACAATTAGTAATTGTTTGTTTTTGTTTTTTTTTCTTTCATTTTCTCTTTTTTTTTTTTATCTTATACACTAAAGGAACAAACATATGCTGTGTTAGGATTACGTGAAGGTGAAGAAGCTGTTGGTTGGCAAGAAACATGGGAACAAGCACAGTCTGAATTGCTTAACTTTTATTCATCATCTACTCCACCTAAACATTTGACAACACGATATGATAAATCAACTGCCAATATCCAATCAACTTCGAATATACCAGGAACAATTGTAGATACTTCTACTTCTACTGCCACTACTACTATTATTACGAGTAATAGTAGTAGCAATAGTGGTAACAATAGTAATAATATTACTAATAGCAATACAAACACTCATGTTCAACCAGTACTTAAGTACAGTCATTTACTACCACATTTTACACCATATAGAGAAAGTAGTGAACCAATTGAGAGTTTATCACATCAGAAATTAGTCACATCGGATTATGCAACATCTAGACGACGTGTTCGATCGTCTAGTGGTTTGTTAGATACAAATCAAACAAATAGTGTATTCCTGTCATCATTCGATAATGCTACATTGTCATCAACAAGTTATCCACCAACTAATGAATTAACTCAAACATTGACTCCACAAGCACAAAGTAATGCTAGTATTGATTTGCATAGTACATTTGTCAGCTGTTCAGAAATAATTCCTACAAATTCACAACATTCTAATGATACAACTCAATCATCACATGTTATTATTGTAAAAGATTCTTCTATGAAAGAGAATGTGATGAGTCAAGTTAATGGTGACATGAATTCATCTTCAACAACTAAAACAGTACGAACAATAAAAGTTTCTAATAATTTGAAAACTAAAGAGATATTCAAATCCAACGACAGTCGAACAACAACAACAACAACAAATGGAAATGAAACAAAACATTCAATTATTTCTACTAATACCACTGATAATACTACTAATAATACTAATAATAATAATCCCAGTATTATAGATACAACGTATAATGGAACGAACATACCAATATCGGAACAAATTTCCGAAGATGAAGCATTTCATGAAGATAATGATTATATTTATGGTGATCGATATGATTCAATTGGTGAATCGTCAGTGGATGATTATGATTTCACTCGTCAAGCTATACTAGAATACAATCAAACAACTACTTTGAAACGTTTAACTCGTCGTACTGGATATGCAATTGGTGTCGGCGGTAGTAGTAGTAGTAGTGTTGGTGTTGGAAGCAATGCAAGACTATCATTGACCGGTCAAAATCATCGTCAATTCATACATGCTTATACATTATTGAATAATGATTTAAGTGCAGCATATCAAGATTCAACAATTGAATGTGAATCAGATAGTGTAAATAGCCTGTCTGGTGTTGCGAGTAATTTTGGCGCTACCATTTTACATGATACAGTTAAACTTGGTGATATTGATGACACCAGTGCTCCTGTACAACAACAAGATGAAGTAAGCTAGATAGATTATATGTGTTTTTTTTTCTTTAGTTGTTGATTTTATTTGAGAAAATACCTATATACTTATAGAACTAACGGTTTCTAGGTAAATTGACAAAATGTCAAGTTCACTAGTGTTAACATTTTCCCGTTGAAATTCATATGAGACATAAGAATTTGATTGTGTATTTACTACGAACAATAACATTAAATAGATAGAATACTTTGATAGTTTACATTATACAAAAAATTAATCAGACATATTTCATCTTCATTGTTTATCATTTTTTGTTCATACTTTGAAATGTGAAGTTATTTTCATTTGTCTATTATGATATATACTACTACTACTAATACTACATTAGATGAATTCATTTCGTGCACTTAGTTATAGTAAACAGATTAAATTACTCACTATTCTTAGTTAAATCATAAACTATATTAATCATGCTAGTTTATTGACACGTCTCAATGTCTGATACTATACCGTATAATAAATAATGTTACTACTGATAAGCTTAAACATGGTACTTATAGTCAGTCACCTTTCTTTTTTTTCTAAGAAAAAGGCCTTTTTAAATTGAACCAACTGTGACAAGATGTTTATGTACTCAATTGGATTTGTTTGTGCTATCGTGAAAGTATGGTTCATTATTGTAGGCTTATTCTTATTGTAGTAACTAGAATACAGAATTCAGACAGTCAAAAACGATGTAGAACCGGGCACTTGTGTACATCGTTTCAAGTTTTCATAGCTCATCCACACACAGAAAGCTCTCAGTTTAAAATAAAAAGCAACAGTATAGTTGTTAGCCGGAAAAGATTAAACTTAATGGATATAATCTTCAATACCAAAGAAAATGCTGAATGTACATGCCACAAGTGATTTAAATATTCTTAGGTGTCAATAGATGTTCTGTTTGACAAATTAACAACAAAGTGGACAATATTTATCAGACAGACAGATACAACACAGAACTTCGTATGTAAGTACATCAGTTCAGGTTGCCATGCCCCATCAGCACAGAGACGCAACTGTCAATTCAAATCCAACAGCGATAGCAATAATAGAAGTATTATCAGTAATGGAGAAGATTAGGGAGCGAAGCTATGATTCGAGAAGTATAATTCAGTAAGATAAATTTAGAAGGAGAAAGGTAGAGATTATGAGGAATGAAGAAGCTTCAGTCAGTCAGTCAGTTGCAACGTAGAACTTCGTACGTATGTACATAAGTTCATGTTGCCATACCACATTACCATTGAGACGCAAATGTCAAATCAAATCCCATGGTGATAAAGATAGCACAGGTGTTAATGGTAATGAAGAAGACTAGGGTTCGATGATATTGTTCAAGAAGTATAATTCAGTGAGATAAGGTTAGAAAGGCAAAGGTAGAGGTGCTGACGTATACAGAAGATTAGGATTTGAGAGAGCTCAAAGAATGGATGCACTTGCGCCATTGCAAACGATTTTGAGCCATGTCATTCAAGGTCTCTAACCATTGGTGACTTTCGTCTCGCGGAACCTGACCGAAGCTGCCACCTTGACGTGGTGGTCGGGCTTGCCTATCGTGATGACCCAACCGAGCTATATTGGCTGGAACATATGTTCCTGAAGGTTCTACCATGCCAGGCAGGTCGATTGGAGAACGATGAGACTAAAAGCAGCTACCCAAAGTCTGAGGGCGAAGTCGTACTGCTGACTGCAATGGGGTGTGACAGACCAGGAACGACGTTTCGCGAACTCATGTCGTCTGCATTAGCTGTGCACTGTGATAAATTATTGTGAGAAGAGTTAGTCGTTGAGATAAGAGAGGTATTAGGGGGTGTAGGAAGGATTTGATTTTGACCAATTTGGTCTTGCGTGCTGTTACGGGTATCAGGGCGGTTGTCACTTACCGGCTGCCCACACCGTGGAAGGTTGTTTCTTGAGGAACCTGAAAAGCAAGGTGGATTAGAGTTGTTCTTAGAGACTTGGTTGCGTGACCGCAGAGTTCAAGGGACAACTGCTTGAGGCCGGTCACGCACGGCCTTTTATGAAACGTTTTTAGAGGATTATCTCCGTTCTTAAAGGCCCTTAGTGGGCACCCTTACCCAAGGAGACGGAAATCCGTGAGTTAGGGGAGGTGTGACATTTTTAGGGCCGACCTTTTCTAACCCTTCCTTCCTTGTGAGAAGGCAGCATCGCTGCAAATGCTGGTTGTCCGAGGGAAACACCTTACTGCTGTCACACCCCTCTGCAGTCAGCAGTACGACTTCGCCCTCAGACCTTGGGTAGCTGCTTTTAGTCTCATCGTTCTCCAATCAACCTTCCTGGCATGGTAGAACCTTCAGGAACATAGCCAATGTAGATCGGTTGGTTCATCACGACAGGCAAGTATGACCACCACGTCAAGCTTGCAGCTACAGCTTGGGACCATGTTTATCAAACATTTTGATACAAAACTTCTAATCAAATAACGAATTATACCATCGAATAGTAGAATTCACATTTAGGCAAAGAGATATTGAATTAAATATATCTGTTACTACAATATTTATTTTCTACTTTATCGATTTATTTCTTTGATTAGTGGAATATATATATTTTCTTTTCACTAGCTTCAATATCATCCGCATAGATTCACTTCATTTCGTTTAACTGACAATACTAATTTACAATGTGAATTATGCCAGAAAATTTATCAATCATCAGATGATATTGTTAAATGTGTTAAATGTGATCTACTATGTCATGCAACATGTTCATCATCCACAGATTCGAAATGCTTTTCACCATCTCTCAGGAATGCATCTCATCAAATTAATAAAACAGGCAATTTACTCATAAGACATAATTCTGCATATTTTCCAAATGAAATAGACAATGAAAAATTCAAACAGTCTAACGATGAAGACAAGTCTTCTATGTCTTTCGGTGTAACTAGTACTGGTGGTGGTGGTAGCCTGTTCAGTTCAACTTTACCATGGCGAGCTGATCGAGATCAATCATTCAGATCTTCTATAGTTTTCATGTAAGCTATTGGTTTAATGATGATGATGATAATGATGAAAAGTGATTTTACACTTTTATTAATCGTAATATTAATTAAAATCAAGAGTTAATTCATATGGAATAAGTGTAATGTGATTAATTGGCGAAATTCAGAACACGCGTTTTGTCATGATCTTAGTTCGTCAGCTGGATTTGCATGCATCCCAGAGTTGTGCGTTTTACCTTGACGTGGTGGTTGAGATTACCTATCGTGATAACTCAACTGAGCTATTATTATATTCTCTGGGACACATTTTTTTATGTACTACCATATCAGTCAGGTCGGTTGGAGAACGTTAAGACTAAAGCTCCTAATTAACTGACCGCCGCCAATAATCCAGTTTCCTTTCCCAGATCTCAAGAAAAATTACGTTTCCACGGTTTTGGCAACCAGAAAGTTACAATCATCCTCATATCGACATTGATCGATTTGTTATGCTAATGTTTCTCACAGTTCAGCAACTCGTTCTCTGTTTCAGTGATTGCCTTTTCAATCTATTTCCAGTTGTTCTCCATTGTAGTTTCGTCTTTCTTGAGTAGTTTGCAGTATCTCGAAACTAGGTTGTATTAGACTTTCGTAATGCTGTTTTTCCAGTTGTCCGATGTTTCAGTTTGATTTTGACCACCATTAGATAGTCATCTAAAGGGACACCTACTCCTGTCGTTGTTTTCAATTTTTCTATAGAGCTTCTGAATTTTTATTGATTTAAATATGATATACAGTTTGATCTGGTGAAACTCATGCATTTTCAGGCGAATATATTGTCACTCATAACCATTTTGTTGAAGGCACATAGATTTGCGAATCTCTTGCCATTTCCGTACCTTTCTCTAAGCCCATGTCATCCCATGATATTTTCAAACCCTGTGTTATCTGTACCGATCTTGATGTTGTTGTACCCTAGGATGATCAGACCTCTTCGAGAGAGTTTTGTATGTTGTGCTGCGAATTCACCTAAAACTGATTTGGATCATCTTTGCTTCTTTTATTGTTGGTCGCGTAACAGTGATTGATGTTCATTTTAACCTCTTTCTTCTTTATTTTGAAGGATGCGTTAATGATCCTTGATCCATGAAACCCCCCAACTTGCAAGTGTTCTGTATGTTTCTCTCTAGAGAGCATCAGTGCAACTCATTGCATGTACGGATCATTTACCTTTGGATAAATAGAATACAAGAGAATCCGTCCTAAAACTAATCTTTTCTGTCCATTCTGCTTCTAATCAATTTCATGTATTCCAAATATCAAGTCGTATCCTTTCATTTCCACAGCAACTTGAATAGTTTCCCAGGTTTCCAGCAATGTGCACCGGTTGTCAGAATGGGCATTAAACTCGTGACTTCCGGTGAAACTCAGCTTTCATCATAAGGCGTCATAACTTTTCTAAATGAAGATTGTTCAACTCCCAGAACACAGTTTAACCGATGTAAAATATTTTTTTTCTAGTTAACGGTTTTTAAGTAAGGTTGTTTTTTGCTAATTCCATCGACTTTTCTTAGCCCTATGCATCTAAAATCTTCTTTGAAAATTCGTTATCTCTTACTTATCATATCTTAACATTCTACATTATTTTTCTTTCGTTTGAAAAAAAAAAAATTCTAATTTTAGACATGATAAACGTGGAAAACGTAAACTAAGTGAAAGTTCTTCATCTTTAGCACATACCAACACAATGTCTGATTATCAATCACAAACTGGTCGAAATTCATCTGGTGGTACGGATTATCATTTACCGAAACATTTAGCTACAGCATCATATTTTGGTTATTTATACAAACTAGGTCATCGGAAATTTTTACAACAATGGAAACAACGTCTATTCGCTTTAGATACAAATAGACATCAATTGAAATATTATGAAAGTTATGCGAATGCTTCACCACGTGGTTGTATTGATTTACAAGATGTTCGAACAGTGAGAATGATTAAAAATTTTGCATTTCAACGTAAATCACCTGCATTCGTTGTATTTGAAGTGAGTTGACTAGTTGTGTTTACATTAATTTTCGACATTATGCTAGGGTCTAATATATATATATATATATATATATATATATATATATATATATATATGTGCGATTTTTAGTCAATCAGTGAATACACCATTATTAGTATCTGTGAGTTTGTGAAGATTGTTGCATTTCGCCACTTACATCACCAACTGACTTAACTATACTCACCTTCCTTTCTGTCTCTTTACAACTTCATTTTTATTTTGTGGTTCATGTATGTTCGGACTCCGGTTTCATCAATGTTTTAATTGGATAAATAATAAATAAATCAATAATAGATAAGGAATAAAAGTCACGAAACACTATCAAATAATGCGCATCCACGACCACTCTATGAATCAAACTTAAAAACTCCAGGTCTCACCGATGGACGCTTAACGTTTAAACTACTTACTTGACATCCATTGACATAAACAATAAGAGTAGAGGATATTCGTAGGTTACTAGTATTCGATCATATTCGATCATCAAGGCATTGATCGAATATCCAGAGACTACCGAGTAAGTAATGCTGGAATCGAGAAACCGCTACTAGGTAAGGATGACAAATCAACTGATGAAGTGGTGAATGTTCATCAGTTGAGGTGGTTAGGACATGTGTTATGAATACCCAACCACTGACTGCCTTGACGGAGAGATGTTTTGTGGTGTAGGGGCAGGTTGGAAAAAACTTAGGGTTGGCCAAACCAAAACATGACACCAGTCCATTAAGTCATTGACAGACATGTTAGTGGATGTAGATCACACGGTTGTATGGGGTCCTCCAGACTGCAATAACCTGTGATTAGAGCGTTCGAATGACATGGCTCAAAATCGTTTACAATGTCGCAGATGCATTCAGTGGTTGTCCTCTCTCAAATTCTAATGTGCTGAATCCCTCATCACTGTTTTTTCACTTTTGAAATTTATTTCATCGAGATATACTTTCCGAGTTATATCTTCGATCCCTAATCTTTTCCATTACTGTTAATACGTTGAACTACCTCTACCACTATGCGAATTAAATTGACAATTCCATCTCTCTGTACTAATGTGATATGTCAACGTACGACATTCTCTATTGTAGCTGACTGGCTGATCACGTTTTTTTCATTATTATTTTTTATTATTACTGTTATGATTGATATTATTAGTTTAATAAATTTATGTATTTCTCAATAGCTTGAAACTAATAATCGAACATACAAACTTGGCGCTATCAATCAAGAAAGTGCTAATCAATGGATTGAACGGATACAAACAACTATTCAATAAGTGGAATATTACTCATTGTGATTTACATTGTTTAGGCAAATACAGATTTCCATTTTTCTTTTTTCTTCTTTTGTTTTGTTTTTACAATTGAAACCCCCTACTCTTAACAACAACAATCAACACACGTACACTGAGAGATGAAATCACTTATTGCATTATTATCATACTTATTATAACACACTGTTATTATTATTATTATTATTTGTGCTTTCGACTATAATGTACAGATTTCATATATATATATATATATATATATATATATATATATATATAATATTAGTGCTCTATCATTTAATTTTCACAATAATCCGATCTTGTTGTTTTATAAATCACAGAAAATTAAAAAAACAAACAGAAAATAAGTATTGTATGCTCAAATTGAATCATATTTATATTCATCTGCTTCATAATTTTAATTTTCACCCCCCCCCAACCCCCACACCCCGCTTTATATCATTCTCATGTCCAAATTGTCTTTAGGCTTATATGCTATTAACTATTTTACAAAATGAAGTGTACAATGATGCGCCAAAACCATTCGGTACAAAAAACACAATTGTTTACATCAAACTACAATTCTCTATTACACTTCTTCTTTTTCCTTAATTTCCCTTCTCTATGTGTTATATCATTTCATTGTAGTGCTGTTGATGATCAATCACATTGACTAATTTATATTCTTCTGTTGTTCAATTGAAACAAAAGAAAAACAAAATCAAGGCTTGTTTCGGCCGCACAAATATCGCATAATTGTATAATAATAATAATAATAATTTAATCAAGATATATATACATATATACATATATATATATATATCACTTTATTGTTCTATTATTATTATTATTACATCAACATCATCGTATAATTTTGACTATTTGATAAAAATTGTTTCAACATCTAGCACACTGTTCATATGCGTAGTTTGTGTTGTGTGTGTGTGTATGTGTGAGAGAGAGAGGATACTTTTTATTCACTGATGTGTGTTATTGTAAAAATTAACAATAACTTTGCTTTGTTTGTTTTTGGTTTTTTTTTGTTCTCTTATACAAAATCTCACCATGACCAAAATTGAAATTTGGTTATTCAACCAATTGTACTTTACTTTTATCAATCTATCTGCATTCAAGATGAAATTGAATATTGATAATCACTGTATTGGATGGATGTGTGTATTGAATTTCAGTTAATTTTATTGTACAGTTTTTTTTTTATTCATTAATATTCATTCACACGATGATGATAATGATGATGATGATGATTGATCAGCTAGCAAATATACATGCAATTTCAACTTTCTTTTCTTCTATTATATTACTACTCTCATAACAGTAGGTAGTAGTATTAGTAGTAGTAGTGTGGTGCGCGCTACTTATAAGTAGTATATGACGCGAGTGTAAACGTAATGTCTGGAAGCAGAAGATGAGGGAAGATCAAGAAAGGAAAAGTGGGAACACAATGGAATTTGTATGAAACGCATGAATAGTGAAATGTCAGACAATGGATTGAAGATGTGCAAATTAACGGTTACGACATGGTTTTCCTATTTTACTGAGTAACTCCGTAATTTTCGTTAAATACAATTCGGTTGCCCTCACCTGTGTTCTCCTCACTACAGTAGTAGTGTGATATTTCACTAGTTTTCCTCCACACCTTCCCAATACATTGAACAACTATGCAATAGATATCGATTGATTACGTCATTAAGTAAACCAGAGTTAGGATATATATACATATATGTACATTTGGCGAAGACACATCTTACTTACAAAATATGTACGTAATCTCCGAAAATCCATTTGAAATACAAGCAAATTTTTGACCACCTCTCATATCTCGTCTCATTTTTGATGTACTCCTATCGGAACATACATTTTGATCTGCAGACACTGGTATAAAATTTTGTGTGATGCTACGCTGCGCACTATTTATATGCCACATTGTGAGTAGCATCCACAACACTACTAGCAAGAATATTGGGAATTTAGAAATATTAAGTACCGTTATGTTATTAATAGTCAGAGTAAAATAAGAATAAAAATTACGTATAACAGAGACAAACATACATCAAAAACAATTCAGAAAATGAGTGATCTTATAGGACTAGGACAAATAAGACATTAGGCATTGTTTATAGATCAGTATTCATTCACTTATTATTCATCAATTCTCACAATATAACTTTTAACCGCCTGTTTCAATAGGAAATTGAGATTCAAAACCTGGTGTCACTTTTAGCTGAACTGAACGAACACCTTAACTGATAAAATGTTTTTAACTACATGTGATACATTTTCTTAAAGTGTCGGCATGATGTACACGATATAAAAATAATAATAATAAGTTTATTGTCCCAGAGAGAACCAACCACTGGTCTACTTAATCAATCTTTTAATAAATCAATTCAGGAAAGTCAATAATGGCAAACTAATACAACTGCAGGAACTTACTCTACTTTACCTGATCGTTCGCTACGCGCATTGAGATTTAAGTTGAACTTAGCCACGTAAGGCTTTATCACAAAACTCAATAAATAGGACTGGTTTTTGACTTTTCGGTTTCTATTTATAAGTGCAATATATAACTTACTTATGCCTGTTACCTTAAATGGAGCATACGTCGCCAACCAGTATTCGACAACCTACTCTGCCCTGTCGTATTTTTGTTCATCTCATCGATTTCTCGGCGTCATGTGTTTCTTGGCCTTCCTAGTTACCTTTGAAGGTTCGACTGAAGGCTTGTCTTGTGACTCAGGTGCTTTCCGGAGTGTGTTCCCGACCCACTTCCACCGCTTCTTCCTGATTTACTCCTCCACTGAATTTCTGCTTTGTTCTCTCCCACAATAGGTTGTTGCTGATAGTGTCTGGCCAACGGATCCGAAGTATTTTCCATAGACAACTGTTAATAAATACTTGTATTCTCTGGATGATGGCTTTCGTAGTCTTGCAAGTTCGAGCCCTACATACAATAGAACTGTCTTGACATTTGTATTGAAAATTCTGATTTTCGTGTTGGTTGATAGTTGTTCGGAGTTCCAGACGTTATTCAGTTGTAGAAATGCTGCCCTTGCTTTGTCGACCCGCGCTTTCACATCTCCATCAGATCCACCTTGCTCGTCAATGATGCAGTCTAAATATACAAATCTTTCTACATCCTCCAAGGCAGCATCTCCATCAAGAGTGATTTGGTTGGTGCATGTTGTGTTGTATCAGAGAACGTTGCTTTTCCTTTTATGTATGTTGAGATCTGCTGGTGCTTTGGTTGCTGCTACACTCAACGTTTCCATCTGCACTTCTTATTGTGTGTGGTATAGAAGAGCCAGATCATCTGCGAAGTCTAGATCGTTCATATGAGTCCTGGTTATCCGCTGTATACCGTGCTTCCCTCCATATGTTGACGTCTTCATAATCTAGTCGATCACCAGGAGAAAGAGAAAAGGTGAGAGTAAGCAACCTTGCCTGGCAGTGGTCTTCATCTGTCAGCTGTTCTTCATGCACGAATTCGCAGTTTAATCCATCATCGGAATTGCGTTTGATGTTGACTAGATCGTGCAAAGCCGGGAACCAATCGCTGAGGGCTATCTTGAATTCGTTGAGCTTGTAGTGCCTCTACCTGGTTGTGTGGGGTCCTCCAGACTGCAATAACCGGTGATTAGAGAGTTCGAATGACATAGCTCAAAATCGTTTACAATGTCGCAGATGCATTCAGTGGTTGTCCTCTCTCAAATTCTTATGTGCTGAATACCTAATGACTTTTTTCTCTTTTGAAATTTATTTCATCGAGATATACTTTTCGAGTTATATCTTCGATCCCTAATCTTTTCCATTACTGTTAATACGTCGAACTACCTCTACCACTATGAAATCGAATTGACAATTCCATCTCTCTGTGCTAAGGTGATATGGCAACTTGAAGTGATGTACGTATGTACAAGGTTCTACACTGTAGCTGACTGACACTGTTGTCTTCAGTTAACTCTATAGCTGGAGAGGTGGAGACACAGTTACCATATTTTGTTGTGTAGTTCTATATATAGTATTACTAGTGTCATCGTCATAAATTGAATTGAGTGCTCTGACTTTTTCGATGCATTGCCTACTCATTTATAGGATCTTCTCTAAAACTGGTTTTCAGTCCTTTTACATTGCGTTGATTTTCGTACATAGTCAAAAGGATGTCATACCTCACTGATGACTGAAATTACCTAGGATATTATTCGAATTGGTGATGCATAATACACGATCTAGACGGTGAATGGAATAACAACTATCAACTGATGGCTAGGAATTTATCTGAGTTTACATAATTACCTAGTAGATTTAAATCTCAAATGTTCTTTCAACAGAAGCAACTGATAATACGACTAGTATCACAGCTTACAAAATCGAAAATCTGACTAATATTTACTTAATTCTGTATAAATTGTATGAGGCAAAGAACAAAGTCAGAATTAGTATTTACTGATTTTACGGAACATTTTACAGTGAATCTCTATCATTTCAAACATTCTTGTTCAGATATATTATTATCTTTACAATTTTAGCATTTTTTTTCCGTTAGTGAGACGGACATACGAAATCAGATAGACTAAACTGGTCAGGTTTATTTACATGATGCCAGATAAAAGATATATCCGCAAAAAAAAAACAAGTTTTACCAAATATATATAGTGCATTTGATTATATTATCAGGTAATAGGTTATAAATAAAATGTTTCAGTCACTTTGTTTACCCTTTTCAGCTAGGGGCCCAAAATATCGGGTGACATCATCACAGTCATTTATTTATTTTGAATGGATGTACAAACGTTACAATAATGCATGTTATTATCATTTAGCTGTATACCACATTTATAAACGAAATTACTCTTAGGAAACAACAACATCAACCCATATTCGTACAAACTTTATGCTTAGATTTTGTGTAATATTTGTATATGTTTGTGTACATAATATTTCTTGCCTGCATGATTAACGTCCTCATTTTCTGTTTCTGTAAACCACGGAAGCAACAAAATAGAATTTATAGATGTTCAACCTGCCTTTCAAACTAGTACCTGCGACTGCGCTAAAGAATTTCTTCATTCTACGAATTATTCATTTAAACATAAGCCAGTCTTATTTTCATCATAAATAACAAACAGCATGTAAAATCTGGAGTGTTTAAGAGAAAAACTACCCGTATTACGTTTAGTAACTGAACGAAATAAGTCCTTTCGATAATACAGTTTTGAAGGTAGTGTGGTGTGAGCTACTGATAAGTAGTATATGACGTGAGTGTCAACGTAATGTCTGGCAGCGGAAGATGAGGAGAGATCAAAAAAGGAAGAGTTCGAAAACAATGGAATTTGTATGAAACGCATGAATAGTGACAATGGATTGATGTTTTGCAACAGGAACAGTCCAGTTCGATATGATGAACTGTTATTTTGCAAATGAACGATTTACGATATGGTTTTCCAATTTTACTGAGTAACTCTGTAATTATTGTTAAATACAATTCGGTTGCCCCACCTGTGTTCCCGTTCACTACAGTAGTACTAAACGATAAATGCATAATAAGCAATAGCTAATTAATTAATTGAGCTTTGAGAAAGATAGTAGTTATGAGAAAGCTCTGTTTTTGTTTATGTAAATTATCTCCTAAAATTCCTGATAAATGCCTCAAACTAATAAACACTTTAGGATTTTCTATTAGCAATTCACAGAATTTTTTCCAAATATACGTAAAAATCCCGTTCAGTGATTGATTATTTGGGAAAGATTCAATATCTGACTGACTTTCAGGCTTTTCGGTTGCATTTTTACAAAATTCACTGGAAATTTTCGATAGGACTGTCCGAAATCCGTAAATTCTTCCCCGAATTCGGGAGCTTGAGATCAGTTTCAAAAACACTGATCCATATTCTTCTGCTGTTGCTTTCTTTATAAACAAATTCACTTCATATGATCTTGTCTCTGCTTTGCTTTCCGAACAGCTATTAAGAGCGTTTTTCGTTAAACTACTAGGCTGAAAGGGCGGATGCTAGCGTCTTTCGTTGTTGAAACCGGTTATCGCCTATAGTCTTCATACAAATTGTGTTTCAAGGATATCAATCTGTACACAATATACGATGTGAATGTAATCCGTGTCCCGCCCAAAATTAGTGTTTGTTGTAGATTTAGACCTATCTGTGTAGTCTTATATTGCTGATTACTTGCAAAATCTCCTACTCAATTCTATATACTAATAGTAAGTAGCGCCGAAGCTATAATAAAGATCGAACGGCAGTTGCACTGAAAACCATTTATTTACAAACCTTACATCTCGTAGAATTGCCTTTCATATCACAATTAAGCACTGTTGATTCGCTCTTTATCTGTAAATCAATAACGTGTTCCGTGAATTTGTATCTGTAAAACCTGTAGCACCGATACCAATATTGCACTAAGAGATGAAGCGTGGACACTCACACAAATCACGACACAATTATGACCTGGAGTCTTATTTACACAGCTTAAGTGAATATTGTCTCGATGACTTGCACAGAAACAGTGGACAAGTTTGAGTCCTAGTATAATGTATGGAGAACTCATCTGGAGTACTGGTGATTAAAAAATGAATTGATGCACAGCACAGATGCTAACTACACCTACCATTACAAACGAAGTTAAATTCAAAGCCAGATTTAATTCCATTGGGAATGATAGGTGTAATAATAATGAACGTGAAATTGCTTGAGGCTTAACAAAACATTGAATTTCTAGAAGCTCCTTAATTCTTAACAAATAGCTTATTCCAGAGGACAGTGCAGTTTAGCAATGTGCAATTCCCTTAGATGGAAATCAAGTGAACAGTTTACATGAGAGCGTCAAGTCTGTGTGAAATGGACGCACTAGCCGCACTCATAAACTACTAGAATCCGTCTGTTTATTTAAGCCATCAAAAGTTAATTTGCTTTTTCAACAACGTGAAAACGGTCTTACGTTCTACATCTCAAATAACGATAAGAGATTAATCTCGAATATCAAAAATCTACTAAAAACTGAACCAGAAACAACAATCCTTTCAAGTCTGGAAGGCACACATAGATCATGAAATCCTGTGAACTTGGTATAGAGGAATGGAAAATTAAGTTTTGTGACTTCAGTATGGAGGTTTTGCCATCCATATCTCCGAAAAATGTCTACATAATTTATGTTAGGACTATTAGGTTACAAGTTTCGGCTGCTATCGAACTGCATATATTACGTAGGACGCATGAAAGGAACAAGTTAAGTTTGGCTTAAGACATGGATCTACCTATCGCATTTCCACCGCCAGCTAGAAACTTGAACATCACATATTTTGTAGACAAACAGTCTGTATATAATTCTGACATCAATGAGGGTCTTGTTAGATAAGACCGAAGTCCACGGACACTTAACCTTGTGTCACTTAACTAGCATCTTGAAAGTCATCTAAGAAACATAGTCTAGGATGAGGATATCCGAGTCTGCCAGGATTACTATTCACATAACCATATAAGATTAGGGCTCTTGAAAATCAATATGTTCATCTGAGTAATGCAGTGTTGGTTGAACTATGGTGAAGTCAATTTAAGTATAATGAAAGCCTGAGGTTTTGTCATTGTGGAATCGGCTACATACTAGACAGATTTTATGCTTACAAGAATTAGAATAAAACCGGAGATATAACACACAGTTCAGGTTGCCATACCGCATTAGCACAGAGACGCAACTGTCACTTCAAATGCGATAATGGTAGCGATAGTACAAGTATTAGCAGTAATGGAGAAGATTAGGGTATGATTCAGTGAGATAAAGTTAGGAAGAGAAAGATAGAGATGATGAGGAATTCTGAATTCTAGAATTTGAGAGAACACAAATAATGAATGCACCTGCACCACTGCGAACGGTTTTGAGCCATGCCATTCAAGGTCTCCAGTCATCGTCGACTTTCGTCTCGCGGACTTCAACCAGGTTGCCTACATCTACCAACATGACCCGGTCCACTTGTCAGTGATTTCATGGATTTCTGCGATGTTTTGGTTTGGCCGACCCTAGTTTTTTTCCAACCTTACACCTGTGGTGCGCGCTACTTATAAGTAGTATATGACGCGAGTGTAAACGTAATGTCTGGCAGCAGAAGATGGGGGAAGATCAAGAAAGGAAGAGTAGGAACACAATGAAATTTGTATGAAACGCATGAATAGTGAAATGTCAGACAATCGATTGAAGATTTGCAAATTAACGGTTACGAAATGGTTTTCCTATTTTACTGAGTAACTGTAATTTTCTTTAAATACAATTCGATTGCCCTCACCTGTGTTCTCCTTCATTACACACCTACACCCTACACCACAAAACATAGCTCGACGAGGCAGTCGGTGGTTAGGCATATGTAACACATGTCCCAACCACCTCAACTAATGGAGTTTCACCACTGCATCCATTGAATTGTCATCCTTACCTAGTACTCGTTTTCTAACGACAGTATTGCTTACTCTGTTGTCCCAGGATATACGAGAAATGCTTCGGAGACACCTATGATCGAATACAAGCAATCTACGAATGTCCTCTACTCTTAAAGGCCAAGTCTCGCATCCGTACAGTAGGACGGAGCGAACTGCTGCACGGTACACTCTTCCTTCAGTTACCAAATGGATATCTCGCCTGCGCCATAGGTGACGCATGTTATCAAAAGCCGACCGAGCCATCTGCATCCGTGCTGAGGTTTCGTCAGTCACCAGGCCATCAGAACTGATGAGACTTCCCAGATTAGTGAAGCGATCTACACGTCCGACTACTTCACTCCCTATCACTAGTTCAGGTGCCCACGCAACCCAATCTTGAAGCAACATTTTGCATTTCGAAGGGGAAAACCGCATCCCGAACGTGCTTCGATCGTTGCTTAGGGTAGTCAGTAGACTCTGCATTTTGTCACTATCTTCACCGAATAGGACTATGTCATCCGCATATTCTAAGTCAGCAAGCAAGCTTCCTGGTAGAAGGTCCACTCCTGAAGAGTTAGACAATGATAATGTTAACTCTAAAAGCATATCGACAACAAAGTTAAACAAGAAGAGAGTGGACATCCCTGACGGACACCACTTGAAGTAAAGAATTCCGATGACAGTTCGCCATAAGCTCTTACTCGAACAGTGGTGTTCGAGTAGAGAGCCTGCATAATGTTAATGTACTTCTTTGGTACATTTTTTAATGACACAGGACCTCACGATTGATTGAGTCGAATGCCGCCTTAAGGTCGAGAAATCCTAATACTGTGGGGTGTTTGAACGTGTGTTTTTGTTCTAGGATTTGACGTAGTGTGAATATCTGGTCTAAACATCCACGTCCATGTCAAAAACCAACCTGGTTTTCTTGAGTCTGCTCTTCAAGAGCTTTCGTTAAGTGTCGGAGTATTGTTGAGGCCAATATTTTAAATAATATATTAGTTGGACTTATTCCCCTGTGATGCTTACAAGAAGACTTTGTCTTTTTTTATAGACTGGGACAATCAGTGATTGAGACCAGTCAGGTGGTATTACGCCCAGTTCACAGATTCTACCTAAGATCTCAGTCAGTCTAACTGTTAAAACTAGACCACCATCCTTCAATATCTCAGGGGTCAATCTATCAGGTCCTGCTTCTCCTATGACAATAATTTTGTGCTATTTGTAAACAATGAAATGTATTTCCAGAAGGATAAAACTTAAACTGATGGTATTCCTAGTTGCGCTAAACTTAATAATATTAGTATCCATCGTTTATATCCCACGGCTTTCCCACAATACCAAAAAATTTCTGCCTCGCACTATGATAAGCATTCCTACATGTTTGTTTTTATAGACATTTTTGAATAAAATAAAAAACTCTGTAACGACTAAGAAACTAAAACTGTACTGTGTTCAATTATTTCTATTTATTACCAATTATCATAAAAATCTTTTAAAAAATTAAAATATCATGAATGTTCAAAAAAATAACGCCAAATTTGAAGTGAAATCACAGCTCAAGTATACATATGGTCTGTTTTAGCACGCTCATTATTGCAGACTGTAGTAATACACATCTCCCTAAGTTTTTCATCCAATAACTTATTGTCCCATTCATTGTTGGATGAAAACTGCTCATGCATTATCTCAATACCAACTGGTAATAAACAGTTGAATATCTCTTTTACTGATGACCATTCACATACACTAACGTGTGGTAAATAAAATACAATATATACATTGACTGGTAAGGACTTGAAATAAAACCAATTCAGAGCTTCAGCCGGTAGGCCTGTTATGATTGTCGGTTCTTCTAGCTTTGAAAACTGACTATTCAATAAAGAATAAGTTGGTATACATCGAATAAAAGGGGGACGTGTTTTTAACCTTGGAAGGTACTGAGTCACCGGTCGACTACATAGTACACTAATATCTTTAATGGTCATTAAACCATTATCGAAATTCTCTTTATGACAAAAAACACGTTGGAAGTAGTTACACAGAATGTGCTTGTGTTGATAGCACAAATATTTAGGTTCATATTTCATACAAATAATCAGTGTGTTGTCATAATCTTGAAGATAGTAACTGTTAAATACTAGAGAAGTTTTCTTATATGATACTTTAATAACCGATGGATTTCTGTCGGTGATATCCATACCAAGAGTTATGAATGCACTTGTTAATGGTCCAAAAGTTAAAATGACATGTGATATTGATGTGTAGCCTCGAAATACTTGATAGGTGTTTGTTTCTTCATCTTGTTCATTTGTGAATAGCACGGAATTACTAGGAACATCATGATCATTCTGATCAAGGACTAAGTCTTCGTCGTCATCATCACTGTTAGAATCAATATCACCTAATGCACGACTGAATGCAGGCATCCGTTTAAGAAAATGATCCATCTCTGAAAACAAACAACAGGAATACTTAGCCAAATACCTAGGTATTTACCAATAATTTACATTACATTACTCAATAAGTAACACTAATTAGTTGACTATCTACTGTTCAGCCTCAACCTTTTACGTATTATATTTGACGATATTTGTAATTGTTATCATGTAATTGTTATCATGTATAATATAAGCACTTAGATACGACACTTTCATAATCTGACTTTTTAGGAGTTGAACTTTTACCGGGAGATCCACACGTCGACTCAGGATATCCTAATAACGTAGTTCTCTTCAGCAGCAATACAAGCATGATCTAAGTGCAATTATCCCCCTCAAAATGCAGTGTTACTTCAAGACTGACTTGCGTCGGCACCTGAACTAGTGACAGGGAGCGAATTAGTTGAATATATCGACCGCTTCACTTTATTGCGGGTCAAATCAGTGCTGATGGCCTAGTGACTGACTAAGTCTCAGCACGGATATGAAGGTCCGATTGGACGAGTCTACTGCGCTGCAGTTCGCTCCGTCCTTCCACCATACCTGCCTTTAAGGCATTGATCGAATATCCAGAGACTACCGAGCAAGCAATACTGACTGTCTTGAAGAGCTATGTTTTGTGGTGTAGGGGAAGGTTGGAAAAAAACTACAGTCCGCCAAACCAAGACATGACATCAGTTCATTAAGCCATTGACAGCTCGACTTAGCCATGTTAGTGGATGTAGATCACACGGTTGTGTGGGGTCTTCCAGACTGTAATAACCGGCGATTAGAGACTTCGGATGACATGGCTCAAAATCGTTCACAATGTCGCAGATGCATTCAGTCGTTGTCCTCTCTCAAATTCTAATGTGCTGAATCCCTCATCACTGTTTTTTCCCTTTTGAAATTTATTTCATTGGGATATACTTTTCGAGTTATATCTTCGATCCCTAATCTTCTCCATTACTGTTAATACGTCGAACTACCTCTACCACTATGAAATCGAATTGACAATTCCATCTCTCTGTGCTAAGATGATATGGAAACTTAAAGTGATGTACGTAGGTACGAGGTTCTAAATTGTAGCTAGCTAACTGGCTGGATAGCTCCAGCCACGAATGAAGGTATAGAGACGAAATTTTCTCAAATCATATTGAGCTATGCAGTGGACCCGAAAAGGAATTGTATCAGCGTGTCTATATTTACATATTATTCCAAAATCAATATTAGTATACGAAATGGAAACAATTATAAAATTATAACAAAAAGGTAGAACAAGAGAACTTGAAATTTTAAATTAAAAAACTGATGACAACCTTTAGATAAAGAATGTTACTTGAAAGGTGCTTCTGAAAATATCTACCACAAGTAAAGGTCACTCGGTTAACAAATGCTACTCAGCAACGTTTGTGTCTTGTAAGCAAAATATAAACCCGATAGCGATAGTGAATAAGAAAACAAGCCAATGGTGCAGAACGATCTATAATAATAATGTATTATGATCCTCAACCACAGGCCGTAGCCGAAATAGTAAGCAACCTAATGGTGTAGGTAAAATATATTTGGTGACCGAAATTACAGCGGTAGCAAATATGTAATTATAACATCAGCGTTTGATAAGTATGCGTTTAGCCTGAAGGCACCCGGTGTGCTGTGTTATCTGGAAAAAATAACAAAAGAAAAGGTGAGATAACGACACAGAAAACACGTAAAACGCCGAGAATTTAATATTATAAACAATCGAAAACAATCAGAAATAACACAAGCATGTGATTAAGACAAACTAATAATCCGAACTGGGAGTTGGTAGCGCACGGTTTTAAATGCGTTACGTCCAATAATCAATATCTTTTTCACGAGATAGTGTAGACCAATTTGATTTCTTCGCGCTCGATTCTTGTTCTTTCGGTACGGTTCCAGGTGTTTGATAAAGTCAAATGGATGGAGGTCTGGCCACTGGACTGTCTAATTCTAGTCAGTTGGCAGTTGGTTATTTGTATGTCTCGGGATTTTAATGAAACGTTTGTTTCAGGGCAGTAGGGTTTCTGGATACCAGCAGCCGTCACATTACCAGACCGGAAATCATCCCGGAGACCAGTCATTTGCAATGCGGTGAGTAATAAGGATAATAAGGATAAAGTTCTAATGCTAATAGGAATAAAATTTCAGAACTGAGTAATATTTAGATGAATTTAGTTTGTTAATTGGTAGTGAGGATTGTGAGAGAGAACCGTAGTGTAAGCAAGGGGGTAGGAACAGAGATGACAGGCGAGATAGATTAATTGAGTGATCTGAGGAGATGGCGATGATAACAACTAGTATGTCTCAAGGTATGCATCAAGAACAGCTTGTCTAATAGGGAGATGATAGTACGTATATGAGTACGTGAGTACGTCTCTTCTTAAAGCAGTCCACTGAGGGGGATGTGGTCACCTCGGCTGGGAGAGCATTCCAAGTTGCGACGACTCTGCATGAGAAAAAGTGTGCAAGAATCTGAGTATTTGCTCCTTAATGTGCAATCTTTCGAGGATTGCCTCGAGAGGAGTGGTGGTGATGCATCGGTAAGGTGCTCACGTTGAGATTGTTTGGCATGCTTAATATGTTGTAGGCCAAAATCAAATTACCTCCGATTCTCCTGTAACGCAGGGATGATAATCCCTAGTGCTGGAGTCTATCTTCGTTAAGTTTGTTCTTCAACCCTATCACCCATTTTGCTGCTCGTCTCTGCATTCGATCAAAGAGATATATGTCTCTTTTGAGAAGATGGGGTACGACGACGTTGTGAACCTGAAGGTGTGGGCGTGCATGTCTCAAACAGCGTTAAGAATAATTCTGATGTGACAACACCAAAATGTCTTCGCATAAAGTGAAGAGTCGCATTTGCCTTGGCTGCGTCTCTATATAGCTCGGACTCACATGGAGGCTTTCTGTGGCTATTAAACCGAGATCGCTCTCTGAAGAGACATTAGGGAGCGGACTTCCATCGATAGCGTATATCGTTTGCGTCATGTGGGGCAGGAAATGCAAGACGTAGCACTTCGGTTGGTTGAGTTGCAAAGTCCTTTTGAAGCTCGGTCGAATCCCCTTCGCTTGATATGAACCTCCAGATCTTCGCATCGTCTGTGTAGATCAATGCCGGTGGGCTAACAGTGTCTAACAGGTCGTTAACAAATATCAGGAAAAGAAGTGGACCTAAAATGGTACCCTGCAAAACTCTCGATGTTGAGACTCGCCAACTCGCCTGTACTCTTTATACGTTGACACAAAACATTCTATTCTTAAGGTTGTTTCTGGGCCAAGATGGGAGTGCGCTAGTGAAGCCCATTTCCACAACCTTTGCGATTAGGTGTGCTTGAGGTACCCTGTCGAAGGCTTTTGCAAACTTGAGAACTACTGGTATTCTTCGGTACAAACAGGTTGTCCAACTGTCTCATTCTATGCGAAGATTGGATGAGCACGACCTACCTTTCTGAAACCAGTATTGACCTTCTTGGAGTATTTTCTTTTTATCCATGGGCTCTTTCATCACTTCAAGTGGGACAGAACGTTCATAACGTGGCTTTTCGACTGGTTCAGTTTAAATCCATTGTCTGCTGCCCATTCATCAACAGCTGTAAGGTTCCATCGAAGCCCAGTCGCTTCGTATGGACCTCAGGAGCTTTGGGTTATATGCATTGATTAGTGGTGCACAGCTGATTTTATCTGAAAGATCAGTGATAAATATCAGGAACAGGAGTGGACCTAAGATGTTCTCCCGTGAAATGTTTGCTGTTGGAACTCATGTTCCCAAGCTCTCTATTCATCATGGTACGAAATTTTCTATTTTCAAAGTCGTACCAAGATGGGAGTGAATCAGTAAAGCTCATTTTCGCATTCTTCGCAGTTAAGAATAAGTGAGTTAATCTGTCGAAAGCTTGTGGAGAGTCAAGGGGTACTATAAGAACTGGTAATTTTTTGGTTGCTTTAGGTTATCCAGCTATCACAAGCTATGGGAATATTCGACGAGCACGACATACCATTCCCATACCCATGTTTGAGTTTATGGAGGATGTTGTTCTCAAACATGAAACGTCTTATTTGCTCATTCACCAATTCTTTCAATAATTTCGATCTTACTGACAGTAATATAACTGGCCTGCAAACGGCTAGATACTTCCTACCTTCTCCTTTAAAAACTAAGTACAGAGCAGCTTGTTTTCACTCAGCTGGGAGTTGGTGGGATTCCAGAGATTGCCCGAATAAATGTGTCCTATCCGTTTGAACTTTGGCATCGCATCTGCTTCTCAAGGCTGGGTAGGAAATGTGATCAGAATCCCTCAGACAGAATTTCCAGTTGTTCAATACTCTTCTTCTCACAGCCAGAAAACGCTTTTTGCTTTTCTTCTTCTGTTTCTAGGTGCATGTGATTTGCCTGAAGTACGGTGTCCAGGGAAACATTCTGAATGACGTCTCTATCTGCTTGCAGGTCAACATCTATCGTTAGCCTACACAGTACTCGCAGCCATGGGGCTGAAGCTCCTCAGCCACGTCTTCCAAGTTTCTGAAATTTACAGCCATTAAATGCACAGACTTAATGGTCACGAGACGTAACGGATGAAGTAGCCAGAAAATGTTGGTTGTCATGGTTGCGTGAAGGCCTATACTACGTGATGTCCATCACCATTGTTGCACCTAATGTGTGTGAGCCTCTTTCAAGCAATACCAACCAGCTCGGGCACTCCGTGAACCGCTATCCTGGTTTGTTCTTGAGTGTCTGTTGATGTGCTAGATGAGCTTTCCCTTTAGCAACGATCTGACCCTTGAACAAACAGTATCTTTTACCCGGGGTACTGCTCATTTTGAGCATTGAACAGTATTTGTCTCCATTATTTATCAAAGCCATACTCTCCAGTAAGTTTCTTTCTGACAATGGGATAATCGATGAAATTAATGAATTTCTTCTAACATTCCTATCTCTAATTTACAGCGTTTTTGGTGCAATAGCGTTACCATTTCCCTATTTTACACTCACCCACCACTCCGTGCTGTTAAGAGATAGTGGGGATTTTAGAACAATGGGTTGGTGTATTAGCTAATGTTACACCTACTATTATCGCTGAGCCAGATATGTTTACTAAGGGGGATTGGTAAGTTAACTTTTAGTTGTTTTGGAGGCTTCTCTGGTATAAATTATTTAATCAGTGGTTCTACACTGTGGACAATAGTGCCAGAAACAAGAATCGGGGTGGCCTATACATGAGTCCATAGTACTGTCTGGTTACTGCAGTATTTCAACGACAGTGAACCCATTTAGCAGTTACATTAAAATGAAAAGTCTCTGGTTTTTCAAGTAATAAACATGCGATGCAACCCTCCTAGTGTTCCTTCTGAACAACAGGCTGTGTCATTTCAGTTTTAGGACGACTTTTTCTGATGTTTCTTTTCGGATTACTAGTAACATCGTGGTAAGAATCTAAGACGGAGTGTCATACTGTACTTTAAGTTGGAGACCTAGTGGAGGTGTTTAGGTCGAGTGATCCGAGTCATACACATCAAGCAATGTTTACTATCGCATGACGATTTGAGTTTTTTCATAAATTTGTTGCTTATGAGTGGGATTTTTGACTCATTACTAACCAAGGAGTTCAGATGTCTACTAGTTTTTCTGGTTGTTACAGTATATAAATTGAATGAATGTGTGTATTCTATTGTTGAATTAACTAAAAGCTCTGCAGTTGATCGAGGTAGCTAGACCTATAGCATGTTGTTTCCAACTTGATGCAATAAAGTTTGTTCCGTTAGTTACTTCGACTTTCTGTCGATGAATGGGGAAAAATCTTATTTCCTCGAGAATATTTAAATTGGATTGTTTCCTAATTATGGATAAAAGTTAACGAGCACACGTCGATTTTGAATATTTTTGGCTGGCAATTATTATAAAGAAACAGTTAATAACAAATATAAATGCAACTACATATAAACAGTCACAAAAAAGGAAATATGGTCTATGTAGTTACAAACATGCCACTATATACTTCCTCTCCCTCCTGCGACATGCAAAGCATGAGGTATTTGAAGAACAATGTATTGTCACACATGCCATGGAGAAGAAAAACAAATAAGCTGTTATAAAACCTAATGTACATATATAGAGGGGACGATACAGTGAGTAGCAGCATATCAAGAGTAATAACAAAATATTTCTGATAATCATGAACGATTTGTTACTTGCTCATTCACTTCAAATGGAACTTCATACAGATGCTGTAGAAGACACCTAACGGCGTCGACGCGAAAAAACGAAGATACAGGTATTTGGGAGCTAACGAATTCCTTCCTTGACGAAACGTGGTCGAGGTGAAATCGGTTTAATATTTCCCATTGGCTTTACTAACCTTTTTCTGAATGTCATGATATCCGCATAAATGGCTTAACGTTTAGTATTTATAAATAAACTAAGGGAATTAAACTGATCCCAGAAGCTATGGGTTCACAATCGAAGTTCAGTGTTTTGATATAGCTACTACTAAAGAACAATGTTAAGATCTCACAAAGATCAAGAAATTAACTGTGACTCTAGATCTGTAAACAATATATTATTAATGATTGTAAGCAAACCAGAAAAGATGTAAATGTACAAAACTGTAAATAGTAAAAGAATTGAAACACGAAATGGACAAATGAGTCAATAAACTAGTTCGTCTGGTTTAGGACGGGGAAATGTCACGATCCTCCGCTACGGTTACAAATGTTTTAGAAACTACGGCAAAACTCTAACTATATAAAATATTTCTTTTAAATTGAACATTCTCAATCCATTTACATGTTATTCCTCCACTCTGTAATTATTTCGATGTTTAACTGTAGAAAGATTTCTGTACAACACACAAAATGGTGTGCTTGTAACAGTATGAAGTACTAATGAGTTAATCTATAAAATCTAGAAACCAGTAGATGAAATACTACAGATAAGTATAAAGCGTTCCTTATCATCGTATATTCATTTTAACTACTAATTAGTCCTTAAGATTGGTACAATTAAGTGCTGTCAGCATCTCATAATTGAAGTAGATACTAGTTCTCTTTTACTATCCTTATTCCTATATTATATAAAAAAAAATAAATAGGTATTTAAGTCTAAGCGGAATACAACACACAAATATTCTAATTCTTTCCTAGATGCTATTGTAGAATAGATAGAATAAAGTAGAGACGGCATCAAGATAAAGGAGTATAACATTACAAAACATTCCGGGAGACGACGAGAAACAACAGTATGTATCAAGACACTATTCTAACAAGCTATGGTAGATATACAGCTAAGGAGACCGGTAAATTTTCCCGTAATACGATACAAACAACTATGAAACTCAAAGGACTTAAACATTGGTTAAGAAAACACATGGTATATTTCATAAAACAAACTTAAAATTATCGTATTAAAAAATAACTGTGCATCGATTATGTACATTTCAGGCAATAAGGAAGAAGGTAAGCAACAATAAATAATGAAGGCAATGATTATGAACAATTCCATAAGTTATGAAATACAGAGAATTTGTATGTTAATATTGAATTCAATTGATCATCCAATTGGTTCGTTATCAGCAAGTGAACTAGATGCTTCTGAATCTGGACTATGGCTGTCTATAGATGAATGAGAATAATTTAATTGAGATAGTGTTTGATTAACGTCCAATGCAGCACAATGACATTGACATCCACTAACTGGACATTCTTTCGTATAACCATTATCGCCTAAATCGAATGAGTCACCATAAAACCAATCTGTCAAATGACTAGCATGACCACCATGCCTACAAGCTTGACACCAAACAAACCAATCAGCTATAGATATGGAATTCGGTACTGATGATTTTTCAGGTGATCTATATTTGAAAGGTGTACAATTTAATCAGTAATATTAGTGTGAAATATTGAAAAATAATAAAAATTTCATTAAAATAATAGAATGTATAGAAAAACAGCCTAAGGAGTAAATAAAACTGTCAAAGTCTAGACACATCGCGCTACTTTGTAAGAGCCAAGAAACTCACGATATATGTCTGAATGTCAAACAGGTGAGAAGTCACATATGGGGTTGCTCTAGAAGAAGAAATCGTCATATACACCAGTTTTCACATTATTTGAAGAATAATTTGTCTCGGTTTGAATTCGAATGACTTAAAATAGACTTGGTGAATTAATGAGAACAAAGGGCATGGAACATATATAAACATTAAATAGTAATATACGCTGAATATTTCCTTCTCTGAAAGACGAATATTCTTTGGGAATCGTTGCAAGTGAACTTCCCCCAAGTAAGCTATTATGTAAAGTAGGATGACCAAGACTTTCTAACATTCTTTTAGTCAAATATGTAAATATCTCAAAATATAAACTCATGAATTGCGAGGGGGGGGGAATTGAGTTTAAGCAAAAAAAGAAAGTCATTTACTTACAAATATAGATTTTTTTGATTATTTGTATTTACAACACTATTTTCTGGCAATGGTATTGACGAATTCGTGGTATTGATTTGCAATGCATTCATGAAATCAACTGATGTTAGTGCTGTTTGTTGAAAAATTGATTTAGCAACTTTTATAGCATTGGAAACAGACATGCATTCATTCAATGGAATCGATGTACCTAAATGCATTAAGCATATTGAGCATCTAGGCAATGGTTTACGACAATGTTGACAGATTGTCTGTTTACCACCACCTCCATGCATTTGTAAATTAGAAGTTGTTGCTGTTGTTGTTGTAGTTGTTGTCGGGGAACATGGTGTATCAGTGATGGACTGATTGTTAATGGCACTACTACTACTGCTACTGCCACCACCACTTATACAACTTGAATTGGATATGTTCAACTTGTTACTTTGAGGTTCTAAACGGCAACCACAGAAACCGCAAGCAACAAATACCTGGTGAAAACAAATAAGAGAGATTGGTAATAATGTAACATTTTTAATAAGGTAGCATCAGTCTATGAAGTCAATGGTCTGACCCATGTAGGTGACTGGAGGTTACCTCGCAGAGATCCATACGATTATCACATCTAAGGGTTGGAAATTCCAGTTGGTATAGGTCAGAATCGTTCAAAATGATGCAGGGATATTCACTCTCTGTCTTCCCTCAGATCCCGAATTTATTATATCATCTTTATTTTTTATCCCACGAATCAAGATTAGTTTCTTAAATCAGTTTGATCATTACTACTACCACTAAAACTACTTTAGTGTCTCATTGTCTTGAGGCGGTGCAGTAACTTGAACTGATACACATATGAACTAAGTTCTAAGATAAATATAACAGACTGGCTTAGTAGTTAATGTATATGACTTTTACCAATAAGGTTAAGCAGTTTGTCTGCACCTTATCAGTTCTGAGTGCCAATATTATGAAGCTTTGTTGCAATTAAATAACAACCTGATCTCTCTCACTTTCTCCACCCGCCACTGTTCACGATCATTGCGTAGACTTTTTATCAGCCTGCGCTGACTTCGCTCTTCGTCATGTTCAGAGCCAGGCGGGATGAGTTTCCGAGCACCCATCAGTTTGGTGGATACCACTGAGATCCACGGCTACTTCTTAACCCTATGATTTACCTTGCTAGCAGATATCACTGCTGTTTGCACAGCTTTGTGGACATCATTCAAAGCAAACAAATACGCGCTCGCACTAGAGCATGGTCTGAGTCTAAACATGTGCTCCAAAATGGGCGGAAGTCTTCGATAGAGCCTCTCCACCGATGGCTTATGGCGAGGTGATCTAGTTGGGTCCATCGTTGGGTCGGCTTTGGAGGTCGCCAGGTCAAAAGGTGTTCTTCCTCATGCTTAAAGTTAGTGTTTGCTAGAAACAGGCGGTCATCTGAGCATAGTTGCAGCAGACGGTCGCCATTATCTGTCCTGTGGGCCGCGACACCAAAAGATCCATCCAGGTATCTTTCCTTTTCACCCAGTGTACCTACTTGAGCACCACAGTCACCAGCCATTATTGCTGTATCAGGGCGCCGAACGTTTCGGAGGAGGTCTGATAGCTTTCTGTAAAACTCATCTTTCACCTTGTCCGAGCTGCATTTAGTAGAGGCGTAGGAGGAGATAACAAAGAGGCAACGGCGAGTGTCCCTATCTTTATGAGTCCATAATGTCCCATTCAGTCAGACAGCGCATAAGCAACTGTCTGCCGGGAACCAGTCTAGGACAGCTAGTTCTGCCCTAGGACTTAATACTATGCCTACACAAGTGAGGCCACGGGAGGCGGCATCAGGGCTACCTGAAACACGAAGTGTAAACCGCGTTGTGTCTCTATCTGCACTAGTTGAAATTAAATTGATGACTTTACTCGGATCTTGAGTGCGCGTTTCAGAGACACAACATACATTGATCGCCTGGGATCAAAACTGTCGATTTATCGTTTTAGGGATGCAGCATACATCAATGGCGAGGGATTCCAGAATTCTAACTCGTGAAGAATGGTGCCCTATTCGGCGCAAGGTTCGAACAATAAAAGTTCCGAGATGTGGCTTAGAGCGGTGATTCAGGAGGCCAGGAATAACATTACGTGGGCCCAAAACGTTTGCTTTAATGGCGCGAGGTGACAAAGGAACGAAAGCTTGATCGTGGAGACAACAGAGTTATTAGAAGGTACAGTAAGGATTTGGTTGTGACCGATTCGGTATCGAGTGCTTTTATGAGTATGAGGGCGGGTGTTACTTTCTGGCTGCTCACACTGTGGTGCGAGCTACTTATAAGTACCATATGACGTGAGTGTCAACGTAATGTCTGGCAGAAGAAGATGGGGGAAGATCAAGAAAGCAAGAGTTAGAACACAATGGAATTTGTATGAAACGCATGAATAGTGACAATGGATTGATGTTTTGCAATAGGAACAGTCCAGTTCGATATGATGAACTGATATTTTGCAAATTAACTATTTACGATATGGTTTTCCGATTTTACTGAGTAACTCTGTAATTTTCGTTAAATACAATCCGGTTGCCCCCACCTCTGTTCTCGTTCACTACAACACCACGGGTGTTTTTTGAGGAAACTGAAAAGGTAGATTAGTGTTGGTCTTGACGACCTGAGAGCGTGACCGCAGAGTCCAAGGGACAACTGCTTGAGGCCAGTCACGCACGACGATTTTATGAGTTTTCAGTTTTAGCTCCGCTGTAGTTTCAAAGGCTTTAACGCTGGAAACGGTAATCCGTGATGTAAGGTTATGTGTGGCATTTTTAGATACGACATTTTCTAACCCTTTCCTTCCTGGTGAGAAGGCAGCATCGCTGCAGGCGCTGGTTGTCCGAGGGAAACACCTTACTTCTGTCACACCTCTCTGCAGTCAGCAGTACGACTTCTCCCTCAGACCTTGAGTAGCTACTTTCGGTCATATCATTCTCCAACCGACCTTCCAGACATGGTCGAAAATGAGTAAAATAACTTTATTAGATCAGTTTTTTTAAAGTTTTTCAGGAGTTCACTGGTTTTTACAACACTACACTGGTAAGTGTTCAACATTAGCACGTTTGATCAGCTTAATTTTTTCAAAACATAGTTAAACTTCACTCTTGATGCCCGAATTTTAATTATTGCAGGTTTTATAAGCAGATCGATGAGATTCAACAAAATATATATGTTTACACGTGGCTTAAAAAGCTATTTTATACCATTTATCAAGAATTCAAATCAAAGAAAATTACCAAAAAGCATACAAAGTATGACACGTACTTGATTAGTGCCAGCAATAAATCCAATATTTCGAACTTTATTACCACATGATGAGGAATTAATGTTGGTTGTAGAAACAGCGTTATTAGTAGTAGTACTACTACTACCACATCCAGAAGCAATAGTAGTAGTAGCAGGGAAATCAACTTCAACATTCTTTGATGATAGTACCAATGAACTAAACATTTGAGTTCGAGAAGTGCTCGCAGATAATAAATAATCAGATAAAAGACGTGATTTATAAGTCACATCGAAATCAGCTCGGTAGAACCACATTTGCCACTGATCTAATAAGTCACGGTAGCTAAGGTAAACAGTTTTTGAAAAGTAAGCACAAATAGAAAAATCGTGATTTGCCAACGAAATACCACTGTTTACATATAAGATATGACAATAAGTTAATACTTACGCTTTGTAGGTTGTATGCATTACAGATTAATTTGAGATAGGTTACCAATGAAGATCTGGGAGTACTGTACAACTGCTTTATCCCTGTATGGAACTACCCAGCAGTGAGCCTACGAAGCCGAGAACATTTAAGCATAATAACCATTAGTAACTGCTCGGCTCTCAATATGCCGGAATTACATTACTTATGATTACTTACCATAACTTCAGAAACATCATGAATCACGTCACTACTGGTCTATTGTAGTTTATTTAAAGGGGGTTTTGTGATGACTGATTGGATTTATTTGTTGTATATATATTATATATATATTTTGACATGCCAAGCAAGTCGATCGAAGAAAGTAGCAACTTAAGGTCCAGGAGCATAGGTGAGAGATACGTCGGCTAACCAAAGGACGAGTTTGATGTTCAGCAATTATATTTATCCCACTATAAGGGTGTGAAACATCGCCATTGAAAATAGAGGATTTTCGTAAGTTACAAATACTCTAACACAGTTCCCTTCCAACTATGGCTCATATTTTTTGACACTATCAGCTTAGCGACTCTGCGGTTGAATGAAGAAAAATAGGTAGGTAAGGTAAACCAATCGATCGGGTTGTGAATCTTCATCGACTAAGTTGGTTCACATATGTGTTACGTATGCCCGAAATCCGACTACCTCCGGTCCATGAAATCATTGATCACTGAACTGAGCCATGGTTAGTATGAGCGTGATTATCGTAACTAGTGGTTAGTTAGGAACTCTAAATGATAAGGCTTAAAACCGTTTGCAGTAGCGCATTCGCGTCCATTCTCTGCCTTCCCTCAAATTCTAAGCTTATAAATTGCTCATAAATCTTTTTAATTGTATTTTTAATCTTATTAATTTTTGTTTTCGTGAATCGTATTTGCGACCCTCCCCCATCCAATGATACTGTTGTTACCTTTACTACTCTGTGATTTGGCGTCACTATTTCATCTCACTGTGCCTAATATGATATGGCAACTTGAATTGGTGTATGTAGGTGGTACCAAGTTATTGGATGCAACTCTTTGACTGATAGTATGAAGCAATAACTAAAAAGTGATTACCAAGCAGTGCTTTTCGTATTTTTCTACATCTTTTCACTACTTCAAACTTACCACTGAACCCAATTAGCTATTTTAAGACCTCCAAGTTTAATAATCATAGGTTGTTGATCACTATTTCCACCAACTGACGAACAACCACGGCTTTCATATCCTCCTCCTAAAGATGTAGACGATTTCTTATCGGCAGTAGATGATCGTACACCATTCAACACAATTTGTGAATAACGTGGATTATCTTGACTGCTATTATCATTCAAACCAGTTCGTTTGTCATTGTTCATCGTTGAGGAGTTATCAGTTAATGATAGACGACAAGCATGTAAACCAACAATTGCAGCCGATTGAACATCACCAGTTGTATCAACGTAATTTTGTATTAGATTGATAAAATCATTGGAGCATAGACCAGTAAGCAGAATCGATTCTAACTGTCCACGTTGAACCATTGAATCACAAGTTAAGCGTAAAAAGACAAGCAGCTAAAAATGTAGGTGCATGTTCAAATAAATAAAAAAAACGTGTTATTATTGATCACATAAATATGGTGAAAAGTTTGATACACTTTTATGTTTGAAATCATTAATCAATCATCATTGTTAGACCACCATTAGAAACCTGGAAGCACTGGACGGCCGTTTTCTATGTGTAAAAAGCTTTTCTCAAATAACTCCAGATATATTCAAGTTTTTTATTTTGGGAAATCAGATACATAAGATATGTCTATGCTCTGCTGAAAGTATGCATAAATATTATTAATTGCTTGATCACTGAGTAGTGATCGTCAAGTCTAACTTAGTGTTAATCGAATTCTATCGACTAAATTGCAGCGTGGCCAGTAGTTTAAGCAACTTCATAACAGATGAAATATATTTGAATGTCATAATAAGGAATTTGCAAATCATGCTGTTTACCAACATTATTCAAGGAAAAGAACACATATTAAATTAATGAACCTATATATAAAATAAGGGATAATCAGTCAATCATAAACAACGTAAAGTTTGTCTGATATTACCACACCATATGAGCATAATGAATTGAAATTGTGAAAACAAACTACAAAACTACAAACAGTTGTAGTAGGATTTACCATAATATAATTTGAAAGTATAAAATAGTTAGAAAATTCTAAATCCTTAAGAAGACATAATCGCAATAACCATAAGCAGGTAGTGTACTTCTGCTTATACGAATCAGTTCCATCGTCAGTGGCTCCTTAGATTAATGCTAAAGGTTGCTTTAACAGCATACGGATTTGACCCAACTAACTCCCACAACAGTAGACAACGTGTATCATGGTGGGTAGTGTTTGGGGTCACAAGTAATACACATTCAAAACATCTGACTACTTTATTAATCGATCTTTCATGACTATCTACTACTGTGCTTTAGTCAGTGACTCCAACAAATGCGAACAATCCTTCAAAGATCAAAAACTAATAATTCTTGTGGATTGTCTGAAACGGGAAGCAAGAGACAATGGAACCTTATATTAAAGACATTATTCTACTCCATTCAAAGCCTGTTAAATAACAGCATTCACTTGCATTCCTATCGTATTCTGTAAATCTTTTGGTTGATGCATTATTTACTGCCATAGTATTTTATTCCAAAATTATTGCAACACTGACGCAACCCTATACTCTATTTTTCTATCGAAAATGCATAGTTTGGACATAATTTTATTTTTCCAAATCCTTGTGTGTTGTGACCCTGCAAAGTATACATTTATTCATGTGTCTTCTTTCCTTAAATCAAATCAGGTATAAATTGAGTAGCGCTCCAGTCGATTAGTCTTTTCTGTTGTTTGCTATCATTTCCGATGATAGAATAGTTTTCTATCCTCTACCAAAGCCGTTTAGTCATAAACGAACTCACATGCAACTAGTCTCAAGTTTAACTAGATAGCATATCGTGTCAAGGCCTTCAAACTAGATTGGGACGAAATTCTTTCCTGTGTACACTAGTGGCAGACAGTTTAAGGACCTGACAAATAAAACAGCTAATTTTTCAGCCGTATACGAGCTTCTTGGTTAGCAAGCATACGGAAATGTTATATTACAGGTGATGCAAGTCGACGAAACCAAATCCAGCCTTTTGGAACCCAAGAGTAAGCAGTATGGGCCGATGAAACTTTGAGGGTAAGTGAAGCGGCCGATCTTTTCAGTTACTCATTAGTTTAGGCGCTGATGCAAACCAATGCTGAGTCAATGTTTTACATTTAAGGTAAGAAATTCAAAATATCCTTATAGTGAACATTGGATAAATAAAACAATAACATTTATTATGGATATTGGGCTTACATCATCGTCATTTAGATACAAACAGGCAAATGCTACTCGATCAATAAGACATAGAGCATCATCATTCTATAGAGAAATAGAATAGAAAAACAAAACTATTAATTTGGATTCACAGTAAACAGAGCAGTTCTACTAATATAATGAGAATGTCTGACAAGTATTAACTGTCACATACGTGAGAGTTCAAGATATGGAATAATAATAATAATAATAATATCTTCTTTTACATATAAACAATACGCTAATTTAAGCGAAACATCTACAATTTTGTATTCTACGCATGAAATGCTACCACGTGGACACGGCAAACTGGTTTTGACCTAGGAACCATCTGGGGTTACAACCGGTCCAAACTCCGGATAAAGGAGGAGGGTTGGGCTTGGGGTTGGCGACCCCATCCATCGAAAGAAAGAAAACCAGAAAATATAATCCAAACCATTTAAATTCTGCCCTAGAAAATAGGTCTTACTTAAGAACGGACATGACGTCTCTGATGAAAGTCGAGTTCCTTTGGAAGTCACAAGGCCGATGCCCGTTCTCACAACCAGAGACCTAAATGCCAAGGTTGGCATGGACAATAATGGATATGAAGACATCATGGGACGACACAGACTGGAGAAAGAAATGAAAATGGTGAGAGATTAGCCTTCAACAAACTGATAATCGGCAGCGTTATTTTCCCACACAAACGCATATACAAAGCTACATGGATTTTACCGGATCAGTCTTCTCACAACTAAATCGTCCATATCTGTATTAATCAGAAGTTCAGATGGACTATGGAGGATGTGAAAACCAAGAGAAGAGCTGATAAAGCCTTAGATCATCACTTGCTGGTCGCCAAAATTAAAACGAAACTCAAGAAGCACTGAACAACGAAACGGACATCACTTAAGTTTGATACGGCATTTCTTCGTGATACCGAACTCAAGACAGCCCTCAGCAATAGGTTTCAAACCTTACACGACCGACTCAATGCTAAGGAAACTACCATGGAGAACAAATGGAAGGGGATCAAGGAGGCAATCACTTCAGGTGGTTTTAAGCCACAAGAAGAATCATCACAAGGAATGGATCTCTGTTGGTACTCTGAATAAGATTCAAGAAAGGAGGAACAAGAAGGCAACAGTCAACATCATACGAGCAGATAAAGCCAAGGCACATGCTGAATCACAGAAGCAAACAAGCAAGTACAGCGGAGCACCAGAGCTGACAAATACAAATATGTGGAAGATCTAGCAATGACGGTAGAGAAGGCTGCAAGAGAAGGAAACATTAGCCAATTGATCGATACAACGAAGAAGCTCGCTAGAAATTACCGTGAACTAGAACGACCAATAAAAAGCAAGGAAGGCAAAGTAATCAGCAACATCATAGAACAGCGAAACAGGTCGGTAGAGTACTTTAATGATCGCTTGAATCGACCAGCCCCACTGAACCAACACAACAACGAGGCAGCATCTGCGGACCTCCCAATAGAGATTGGTCCACCAACAATCGAAGAGATCAGCATGCCCATCAGACAAATCGAGAGTAGCAAAGCAGCAGAACCAGACAACATTCCAACAGAAGTAATGAAAGCAGACATGGCAGCAACTGAAAAAACACTCCACATTCACTTCAACAAGATTTGGCATAAAGAACAAGTACCAATATCCTGGAAAGGACACCTGATCAAGATACCAAAGAAAGAAGATCTCAGCAAGTGTGAGGACTACAGAGGCATCACTCTTCTCTCAGTACCAGGTAAAGTCTTCAACAGGGTGTTTTTGAACAGAACGAAGAACTCCGTAGACGCCCAACTTCGAGACCAGCAGGCTGGATTCCGTAAGGATCGACTGTGTAGCGACCAAACTGTGACATTACGGATTACTGCATAACAGTCGATTGAATGAAACTCACGACTCTACATCGACTTCATCGACTACGAGAAAGCATTCGATAACGTGGACAGGAAAACATTGTGGAGGCTTCTTCGACACCACGGAGTGCCTGAGAAGATAGTCAACATCATACGCAATTCTGATGATGGATTAAACTGCAAAATCGTGCATGGAGAACAGCTGACAGACTCGTTCGAAGTGAAGACCGAAGTCAGGTAAGGTTGCTTACTCTCAAATTTTTTATTTCTCCTGGTGATCGACGAGATCACGAAGACGTCGACATCTGGGACGAAGCACGGTATAAAGTGGATAACCACGACTCAGATGGACGATTTAGACTTCGCAGATTATCTGGCTCTTCTATACCACACACAATAAGAAATGCAGATGGAGACGTTGAGTGTAGCAGCAGCCTCAGCACCAGCAGATCTCAACATACATAAAAGGAAAAGCAAGGTTCTCTGATACAACACAACATGCACCAACCAAATCACTCTTGATGGAGATGCTGCCTTGGAGGACGTAAAAAGCTTTGCATATTTAGACTGCATCATTGACGAGCGGGGTGGATCTGATAGAGATGTGAAAGCGCGGATCGGCAAAGCAAGGGCAGCATTTCTACAATTGAATAACATCTGGAATTCCGAACAACTATCAACCAACACGAAAATCAGAATTTTCAATACAAACGCCAACACAGTTCTACTGTATGGGGCTCAAACTTGCAAGACTACTAAAGCCATCATCCAGAGAATATAGGTATTTATTAACAGTTGTCTATGGAAAATACTTTGGATCCGTTGGCCAGACACTATCAGCAACAACCTATTGTGGGAGAGAACAAACCAGATTGCAGTGGAGGAGTAAATCAGGGCAGCGTTTCAACAATTGGAAAATATCTGACAACCATCAAGTAAGTAAGTAAGCAACCGTCTTGACCTGTCATAAAGAAAAATGATGAGACTTAAAAACGCAATCAAAGACATAAATCAATAAGTCCGAGAAGTCCTTAAAATAGGAATAAGACATTAACACTACAGACTACAAAAAGGAATATCAACCGTAAATAACAAAATCATTCACTGAAAGAAAAACATACCAAAATTGATTGAAAATTGCCATCTTGACGACTTAAGAATATAAACATAACACGTAGGTAAGGGTTTTGTAAGTGTTTTATTAAATTGGCACATGTAGTTCTCCATAGTTCATTTCGCGTATCAGTATAACCAGATAAAGCCAATGCTACTAGATCAATATCCGAATCTAAATTATTGATCGGTTAGCAAAGAAAAGAAATCGGAACAAATTAGAGACAGGACTAATGTGAATAAACCACCATCATAAAGAGGGATATGTCATAGTTCAGTAAAAAGTCTGTTCTAAATACATTTAGAGTGGATGGAGTGTGGATAGCATACGATTTCTAACTCAGTGGTTGGATACACCAGTGTTGACATTCACGATGGGACTCGAAACTGGTATCTTTTGCTTAAAGAAGCTGAATTTGTGATCCACTGAGTTAGTGAGTCCAGATAGCCACCAAACAAAGCTGAATAAAGCTCACTCTCAAATATGAACAACGAGGTGATTTAAACTTTACACACATGCCAACACATTAACAGAATCTCCTCTCAAAATGAGGAGAAAGTTAATGTGTTTATGTTATTGAAAATGAAATCGATCCTTATAACAAAAAGGAGACAGTGATTCTCTATAATAGTTTACAATTCAAAGAAAATTCAACTGTGCTATTGAAACACTTACAAATTTTAAGTAATGTTTGGATTATTTTAATAGTTTATATTTCATACAAAAAAATAACCTAGCGCACTTACCTGATGAAGCTCGATTTAAAAAGCTTAGCGCCCAATCAAATTTCAAATTAATTAAAGCCATTGCAGCTGCTCGTTCATATTGCCCTTCAGAGCAAAGACTGAAAAAAATTAGAGAATCAAAAATACTGCAAGCAAACATACAACAGAGTAAAGATAATTACCATTTCTCCGGAAGATTAGAACTCTTATCTGATAAAAGATTCCCATAAACCATACAAGTAAAATATTTGTAAGGGTTGATTTACGCGAGGTCGATAGGATACTAAAATCCAAACTAATTACAAAGATTTTTGACTTCCTGGACCCGGTAGTTTCAGTTGATCATGCGACGAGTATCTGATATAACGGAAGTATTGGATATATTCATTATCCTCAGTACTAAACACAACGACTAACTGGTGACTAAGTTTACACTACCACTGAATTGGATACTCGAACGGTACACCACTAAGAGACCAGATCACGTTAAACTAGATACACGTTTCAAGACCAAAACAGTGAACCAGGGTAACCAATTACAAGCAGTCATAGTCAATGAGTCCAGAGTAGAAATCAGTAAGAGGAATGGAATCATACATTTAATAGCCAGTAGGCTGTCTCTGTTTGCCCACGTTCGATGACCAATCACACTTTTCATTCACTATCACATATTAGTTTACGAAGTGGAAGGTATAACGTTTGAGTCCAAGTATGAAAACTAACATTGAAGTGCACGTACATCCAGCTATACAGCCTAAGAAACAATGGAACTCTAGGCCTGGATTTTGATACTGTCAAGTATAAACTTTTGAAAAGTTGCATTGTTTATATCATGGACTGATCTTAGTAAAACAACCAAAAAAAAACCAGTGTCATAAATAAATGTTTTATCCCAGTACGGAACTCCTCAGCAGTGCTCATCAACAACATCACAAAAGGTTAAGCCCAGATCTTCAGATGTAACAGCGAATGAATAACGTTTCAACCACTGAGCCAACATTCAATGATTTACATGTCAAACTTAAGGTAGAGTATTCGTTAAAGTAGGAATATATTAAAATACTGCAAAAAAACGTGAAATCCAAGGTCAACATTAAACCAATTATACTAATTTTCGTTATTGAAAAACGATATAGTTATCAGCCAAATCGATGACAGATAAATCCACTTGAGAGCAGAAAACACTTAACTGTGATTTCATCGCAGCCAGAAAGTTAATAATACACTAACCTAAAATTCCGAAACACTTTAATAGTGCGTATTAGGGCATATATATATATATATATATATATATATATATATATATATATATAACCATACTAGTAAAACTATCTATAAATCCGAAATAATTATCTTCATTCAAAAAATAAAACTAAACATTGTATAAATTCTAACAGTTCTAGGACTAACCTTTCGAATACAGAACGCTGAACAACATCTGTATCATCAAGTGGCCACATACAAAAACGTAAAACACGTGATCTGTACAAAAGCAAACCAAACAGTAAATACATCAACTTTAAATGACAGTTATAAGAGTTGGCCGAAACAGTGTTCACTCATTAGTACTTTATTTATACAGAAAGAAAGTAATACTAAACACCTGATGTCAAATTATTTGAATCGACAATAATCATTGATTAAACACTTGTATATAGCATATAGTCAATCACAGTGATGCAACGATATCTATGTTAAATGGTTTTGTGAATTATAATCACTTTGCGCTTAGTTTACTTGAATCTCTTAATTGTTTTACTGAGGAGCTATAATTGGTACCGTTCTTATTTTTGTGAATTTCTACCATCTATGACGTTATGAATTTTAACAATGATTTAGTGTGTAATTAAAATAAGTTGTATGTTTTTGTGGTTATCTGCTAAGCATCGTCCTTATTGGTCAAGAAATGGATTCATTTTCTAAGGCGGAGGCATGTATATAAGTGTGTATTTATGTATATTATTCGGTAGCCAAATAGACTTTCTCTTTCACCCTTGCCTCCTCGCTCAAGTAGTAAGTTTGGAGGGGCTTGTGTGTACTGCGTTCAGACACCACCTATCATAGTGATCTCCACAAACCTGCCATGCTGGAAAACGAAGATTACGAAAAATCATAAATCAAATAACTGGATTTAACGTGACTAATTAAATAGTTAAAAGATGATTCTTAAGAAGAAAAGGATAAAATTATATGTATGATATTCACAATACCTTTCAGGACTCCGATATCGTGAAAATGGTAGTTTTGCATCTATTCCCTGCCATTCAACATGTAATAAAACTTCACTTGTCAACTTAGTACCAGGTGATGACAAATTATCGCATAAAAGTGAAATAACACCTGAACCTCTAAAAGGTACACGACGTCTTGAAGGATTAGTATCAGTACTGTTTCTTTGATTTGGTGTATAGTTTGGTTGTAATGAATCTACATCCACTAGAATTCAAAAAATAAACAGTCAAGAAAAACCAGAGATTTATGAATACTTTTGCTGTTGAAACAACACTAATACATTTAGTAGTGAGATGGTACTCTTCATTAAACGAACTTATACATTATTAATTATCATAGTCAGTCAGTGAAAACGTAGAATCTTTTTATGTACGTACGTAAGTTTATGTTACCATATCACATTAGCACAGAGATGTAATTGTCAATTCACATCCCATAGTGGTAGAGGTAGTAGAAGTATGAGCAGTAATAGAGAAGATTAGGCTTCGAAGACGGAGGTGATGAGGAATACCGAATATTAGAATTGCAGAGAACACAAATAATGTATGCACCTGCGCCATTGCGAACGGTTTTGAGTCATGTCATTCAAGGTTACTAACCATCCGTGACTTTCGTCTCGCGGAGCCCAACCAGGTAGCCTACATCTACCAACATGACTCAGTCTACTTGTCAATTACTTCATGGATTTCTTCCATGTTTTGGTCTGGCTGCCCCTAGATTCCTACAACCTATTACTAAATCGCAAAGCATAGCTCGACGGGGCAGTCGGTGGTTAGGCATATGTAACACATGTCCCAACCACCTCAACTGATGAAGTTTCAATACTTCATCTATTCACCTGCCATCCTTACGTAGTGCCCGTTTTCAAATAACAGCATTGCTTATTCGGTTGTCCCAGGATATACGAGCAATGCTTCGGAGGCACCTATGATCGAATACTAATCAACTATAAATATCCTCAACCCTTACCGCTCACGTTTCACAGCCATACAGTAGGATGGGCCGAAGTGCTGCACCGTACGCTCATCCTTTGGCTAGCAGACAGGTATTCCGACTACGCCATAAGTTATGCGATTGGGCAAAAGCCAGTCGGGCCTTCTAAATAACTAATGTAGGCATTCAATTCGGAAAATATGAATCTAAATTAACTTGTGATGAAGTTTGGATCACACAGTTGTTCCATGGTTAAGATAAAAAAACAACGAACGATATAGATAGTTAGAATTAACAGGTAAATGAAAAAACTTTATTTGCGAATCCAACAAATAAAATATAGAATAATCAACTAAAGAAGGGGACTTACGATGTCGCCGAATCAACGAATCGTCCATATAATCATTAATATCTAAAAGAAATTTACCGAAAGCAGAAAAATCTTTTGGAGGAAACATATTGACAAAATTATGAACGATAATGATGCAACACAAACATTTTAATGCTTCATAGATCCAGCCAGATTATCCGAACCTTTGTTGATGGATTAATATATGAGGACGGGACAAATAATAATTGCAAATAATGCTCAAACAACTACTAAGAGCCACAAAATCCAATAAACCTAAACTGTATTAATAACCCAGAATGATTCTCAGTGGAAATGAAATAAACCAATCAGAATGAGACATTTTGAGTAAGCGAAACCTGAGAAAAAATGGCAAAGTATATAGTTTTAGGTCTCAGTTCAAGCTTAACATCCCTATGTTAATAAAACAGAATAACTCCGCACCGAGCCCTTCTAGGTTTGCTGTAGGCCCCAGGCCCGTATAGAGGAGGAAGGTTGGACAAGGATTTAGCAATGCTACTCCATGAAAAAAAAACTTGCTAATAGAAATCAAACCAAAAAAAGTTATTTTAATTATTTAAACTTTGCACTGGAAGTTGGAAAGTCATTATTTAAGAGAGTTATGATGTCTCATGGTTAAAGCTGAATTTCTTCGGAAGTCAGGAGGGCTGATGCCCCTTCTCACAACTAGAACAACCACTAATATAGGTATATAGAATGTTCACACAATGTGGAGACCAGAAGAACTATTCAAGTTGCTGTGGAAATCAAAAGATGCAACCTAGTGGTAGCTGGAATAAGTTCAACACAATGGACTCAGATCGTACAGAAAAGATTAGCTTCAAAAAAGGTGCTACTGTACTTCGACCACAAGGAGTTGCACTGATGCTGAGCATATTTTTTGACACTATCAGCTTAGCGACTCTGCGGTTGAACGAAGAACAGTAGGTAGGTAAGGTAAACCAATCGATCGGGTTGTGAATCGTCATCGACTAAGTTGGTTTACACATGTGTTACGTATGCCCGAAATCCGACTACCTCCAGTCCATGAAGTCATTGATCACCGAACTGAGCCATGTTAATAGATGTAGACTACTTGGTTAGTATGAGTGTGATTATCGTAACTAGCGGTTAGGAACTTGAAATGGTAAGGCTTAAAACCGTTTGCAGTATCGCATTTGCGTGCATTCTCTGCCTTCCCTCAAATTCTAAGCCTTTAAATTGTTCATAACTCTTTTTAATTGTATTTTTAATCTTATTGGTTTTCATTTTCGTGAATCGTATTTGCGACCCTACCCCATCCAATGATACTGTTGTTACCTTTACTACTTTGTGATTTGGCGTGACCATTTCATCTCACTGTGCTAATATGGTATTACTTACTTACGCCTGTTACCCCTCAATGGAGCATAGGCCGCCGACCAGTATGGTGTTTTGAATTAATGTATATACGTATTAGGTTCGACTGCATAATCGCTGGTTAGGCATACATAACGTATGTTTCAACCACCTCAACTGATAAAGATTCATTACTACATCTATCGATCTACCATCCTTTCCTAATACCCTTTTCCTAAACCTGGCATTATTTACTTGGTGATTCCAGGATATACGAGCAATGCTTCAAAGACACTGATGGTCTAATTCTAGTACCCTGCGAATATCTTCTATTCCTAGTTGCCAGGTTTAACAGACGTATGGTAAGACCAAGCGAACTGCAGCGCAGTAGACTCGTCGTTTGGTTGCTGATGCAGATACAATTTGTATACAAATAGTACAGTAAAATTGACTAAACGTAAATCATAGTTATATCGTTGAAAAACTATAGACTATAAAAGTTTATTAGTCATATAAGAGTGAACTATACTTTATAAATACTTCATGAATTAAATAAAAACATTCTTACTGCAAAAAATTCAATGATAAGCCAAACTAAGCTTACATTTAATCCATGTCCACATTGTTCGAAGTTGTACATCGTCTTTGACAATCTCAACATAAGTAGTACCTTTAATCTGTAAAATAAAATGAATCCCAAAACGTGTAATCATGCATAAAGTCATGAAAGGTAAAAACGGTATTTTATCCCCTTTATTATACTTGGAGTAACAAGTTGAGATTTATTAAGAAATATATTTCAGCTTTACTTCGATTACGGTTCTGTGAGGTTACTCTAGTGTTCATCTTCAAACCGTCAATTATGATATCAGTTCAGTCAATAAGAAGTAGAATGAAAAATTCAAACGCTCATTTCTAACCACTTGATGGAATGAGCAGGAATACCTCATCATCACTTACAAACAACATTGGAATATTATCACTAATCTACTCACCTTTAAGTTAAACTCCGTTCACTTAAAACTAACGTAATAATCATCGGTTTCAGGTTGCTGCGTTGTTGAGATACAATAAAAGTTGGATATTAATCGTGTGGAATAATTTCCAAGAGTGCAGCGAAACAGCTGATTAGTGAATATTTCAATGTCAGTTATTTTTTAATGACATCTGTACCTTACGTTCGATGTAAAACATCCCGATCGTAGCTATCACTCTGAAATGGCTTTCATTGAGTTATAACGACTAGAACACTAGTACGTTTGCGTCCTACTATGCGAGCTAGGTCAATTGAAGAGAAGTACGACCAAAAGCGGATAAATTACTGTTCGAGGGCTAAGTCGAACTGTATACTGTATTGGGATGTGGCGACAGTACGCGTTTCCATCGGATAACTAGCATCTACAGTGATGCTACCTTCTTAAAAAGAGAAGACAGTATTTTAAGAATGGCGGCCCTGGAAATAGTAAACTTTAATTTACCCCACTGATTTTGGATAGATCTCAAAATTACGGAACTAATACAGTTAAAAGAAACTGACAAGAAGGTCATATATGGCCGGTCACTAGCAGTGGCTCCTCAGGCTCAGTAATTATGCTCTCCAAATACCAACATTCTCCATATCCTTTTCAGGTACCTAGTGACAAAGTATCCTTTCATGGTGTGGGCACCCAAGTAGTGCTGTTATACAACTAAAAGCAACATGAACTTATGTACGTACGTACGAAGTTCTACGTTGTAATTGACTGAATATCACCTTGTTCAAAATCGGACTTAATATTTCTTTCATTTGCATTATTAATCCTCATCTTCTGTTCTCGAATTCTCAAACACATGCCGCCAGTTTTTAAAGATTTCAGCTCAGGAGTGTTAAACAATTAATATAATAAGTACGGAAAAGGAAACATTTAAAGACAAAACATTTTCGAAAATAAACAAAACTCACATCGAGTCCATAACCCAGTTCAGCACGTTTTCGCATAATAACCGCGATGTCCAACTCCATGCAGCGCTTCAATTCAACAAGAAGTGCTGTTTGTTTTTCATAATGACACTGATTGTTATCACACTGATCATCCTTGTTTTTTGTATTCTGACATTTTACAAGATTTTGTGCATTTGGGAGACTGTACGTGGTGTTAACGTCATTAACAGGTGCTGATGGATTATTTTTATCAACTGTATGTAAGAATTCCACTAGTGCATCCAGATTACTACTAACAATTCCTGTTAAACCGAATGCGGTCCAATTACGAGTATATGACCAAACTAATGTTTGATTAGCTGACCATCCCTATACGCGAAAAAAAAGTAAAATAATATGAATAAAATGACAGTAAGTATTGAAAATGAATGAAATGAAATTGAAAGTTTAGTTATTATGACGCACAGTGTCCCCGAGATCTGATTGAGAAAGGTGCTATCTGTCCAAACAGGCTATTTGAGTGAGAAGGTAAGAGAAGAAGAGAAAGTCTACTTAGCTACCAAATATTATGTACAGTGACTAGTGAAAACATATATATATATATATATATATATATATATATATATATATATATATTTCTGCCTCATTAGAAAAAGAAGCCATTTCTTGACCAATGATATGTATTCATCGTTTAGGACATTATCTGATGGCCTTCTCACTTGGCCACCACTTCTGAATATAAACGGTCAAAATAAGTATTAATGTTATTGCAAATCTAAACTATTATTTTAATGTAATTTTACTGAACGAACTTCCCATTGTCACAATCGATGAGTAGAATGTTGACAGATTGGATAGGCTGATGTATACTGACGCGATGTGTGAAAGAGTGATAACGATCTATACATGTGATCGATTCGACTTACAGTCCTGAATTATTCGAAATGAAAAACAAGTTTATCAGTCAAAAGAATACTTTTCTCTAATCAAATAGCATGTACAATATAAAAATAAATTGCTAGTCACAATCACCCTCCAATTAATTAAGTTTTGATTGTTAGACCTCATTAATGGGTAATATGTCATGAATATACAAAAGACAAAGTAAATGTTATTCGTGCAAGGTATATGTTTTAATACCAGATTTATGATTTAGAATACAATAAAGTATAGAAATTACTGATAGATATTTGTCTAAATGACAAAACACTTACAATGGCTGGACGTTCGACAAGTTCAACTACATTTAAACAGCCATCACGATTCAAAGTTAGTAAACTGTTTACATTTGATGGATGCCAACTGAATGCTACCAGGTTAACATTTGATCGACTTGATGCTAAAGTATAAATAAGAAATAAAAATCAGTTTTAAAAACTGCAACACTTGCAAGAAACGAGAGTTGAATTAAACCGTCAATCATAATAAACGTCAGCACCGCTACATCTTATGTCAGTACAATAAGAAAAGAAATCAACGAAATAAAATAGATAACAGAGAAGATGAATTCAAATTCAATGAATAACTTTACACAAACCGAACAAATGAGACCGAAGATTATAAAGCAT